CAGGTAACTAACAGTGCCGCGGATCTCGTACTGCAGCACACAAAAAGTGTTCTGTATATTCACCAGTCGTTGCCTGGTAACGATTCCCAACACTGGTTACACCTGTTTTCATGCTCACACACTCGCTGGCTATCAGCCGCTATCACTGGCCTACTGGCTGTCACTGTGTCCCTCGCTGTCAACTACTTCTGACGGCAACTCCTAGTCAAGAACGGAGAACAAGCTGCCTTTGAGCAGGAGGGCTCAGAAGCGGGGTGGGCAGAACTGTTCATTTCCTTCCAGCTATGAAAGGTGAAGGTAGTATGTCCGTGTATAACTTCCGTTGTAGGAGGGTATAAAGTTGTTCGTGTGCTTAACTGATTAAGCAGTACGCCATGAAGACGTACGGAGGAATGGTTGTATTACTGACCTCGGCATTAGTTGGAGGTGAGTGATAAGCTTCACCCTCCGGACCCTTTACTACCCCCTATGGGTAGCAGGCTGGGTAGTCCTTAGAACCGGTCTGGACTATGTGGATAGAAGTTTTGCCCCCACCAGGACTCGAACTCCTACCCATCGGCCGTCCAGCCCGTACCGACTGCGCTATCCCGGCTCCCTTTCCGAGGTAGGAGAGTCCGCGATATATCTCAGGCGACAAGAAGAGACAGAGTAGTAGACGGAGTTTCGGGTAGACCTCTTGAAGTCTGCTTTCCTATTGTAAAGGATTATCATATTGAGCCACGCAAGTTTATAATTGAGTCGTAAAGGGGAATTTAGCTCGTGGCTTAGCATGATCATGCACATCGTATGCACCTTATACTCCGGAATCCACGTCCGCAACTGTAAATGTGTTAAAAACTATTGTTATCGCTGTGGTGGTGATGGCGGTAGCAGTACGGTCGTGTGGGTTTAAGGCCATAAAGTTCCGTAGAAGTCCACAGAACGTTTCTCCTCCATCTTCATGGTCGACGGAAAAGAAACCAGTTATGAGCAGGAGGCAAGCATAAACGTTTTGAAATGCCAATAAATTCATTCTCTTATCATGAAACTTCGTAAGGCTAAACTGTTTCGCGCTGATTAGCTTGCCGCCATCTTATTACCGGTTTCCTTTTTGCGTTACTCCTCTGCCCAGAAGGTGCAGGCTATGCATTCCTCCGAAACATCTGCACACTCATACCAAACTCCACGGTGTTACAACCCAGAAGAATTGTATGTATTTGACGTCGTCATCCCCGTGAAAACCCCATGTCTAACACAGTGATGATAATGTTTTTTCTTTTTGACAAGAACTTATTATTTACGTGCAGGTTGTGACAACGTTAAAATTGGCGGATATAACGTCAGGGTTTCGCACTGTTGCTGCCATGTTTGCGATCGTTTACTTCCGTACAGTTCTTGTACAGACTACCAGATCTCACATGCCTAGGTTCGGTGCTTCTCTTGTTTTCGCTGTCAGACGGAAAGCTGGATAACATACATACGTGTATTTCATGCAGACGCCATGTTGTTATTTTACTTCCCGAAAAAGATTAATTCGTTCATCTGTAATCTGTCAAGACGACAGGTCCGCAGTCTCTTCCAAAACAGTTCCTCCACTTGATGCGATCTAGAGCTTTCTCCTTCAAATGAGAATATCCTCTTCTGTCCCCAAGGTCATGCAGCATCTTCTTACGTCTTCTTCCTCGTCTTCTGGTCACTTCAATCCGCCCCTCTATCTTTCCTTCAATAACTTCTTTTAGAAGGCAGTTACCGCGTAAGATATGACCAGTCCAATTAGCCTTCCGTTTTCTTATTTCGTGTAGGATATTCCTCTGCTAACTGACTCTAAATAACACTTCTTCATTTCTCACATAATCGGTCCAGCTGATCTTCTCCATCCTTCTCCAACACCACATTTCGAAGCTTTCCAGGTGTTTCTGATCTCCTGCCCTAAGTGTCCAAGATTACATTTACAAAAACTGCAAGATATTGTACGAACTCCTGCTTTTGTTGTGTTATTGGCTCGAAATTGAAACGTACGACGTTCGAGATGATCTCTAGCGACTTGACGTTCATACCAAATTTCTTGAAAATCGGTTAACTTGTCCAAAATTTGAGATACACACGTGCAGACTCATTGAAAACTTGGTGATGTTAGAACTGCTTTGTTGCCCTAAGAAGGGAAAGCTGACTGAAGTGAGGTACATGAAACAAAGAATGTTGATGTGGCATCACATAAGAATGCTGAAGGAAATACTCATATTAGTGAGGTTCTTGATTCAAATCTCCACTTTCACCGGCCACCCTAACTGAGGTTTTAATGGATATCGTCAGTCCCTCCAGGAAAATTCCGGCATAATGCCTCGTTTACATCACTGCCACATCCTTCCGAACCTTTTCCAGTTCAGTCGCCCTTGCTATCAGACACAATATGGTTTCGAAACTAAGAGCGTCGTTAAATAACCCACAAATCAAAAAGGAGAGACAAGAAAACGACCTCAGTCCTGAATTACCGAACATTCATTCATTCATCAGTACTCTGTCAGACGACATGTCCACAGTCTCTTCCAAAACAGTTCCTCCACTTAATGCGATCTTCTGTTTTTGGAAAGAGACTATCCAGGAAAAGTGATAATGTGGTAGTTTTTCCATTTGCTTTCCACATCGCAGTACAACAGCCGTTCAAACCACTCTTCAAACCTCCTGTTGCTATACGAACTTGAACCATCTCGAGCATCATTTGCTCTGTGCTTCAAGTCGCTGTTGATGACGCTGCTTCCGACATCATTTTTTGGTTTTTGGTGTCTCTCTTCGTCTGGTGCCTATCCTTTGACCTGTCCAGCAAGGGAGGCCCTGCCAGTAGCTACGCTAACGCTGGTATAGCTCTCAGGGTCCTTGGAATACTCAAACCCCCTCACCACGATAAGGTGGAGACACCAACGAGGGGGTTACCGAACATAGAGCAACACAAAAAAAAAATGTTAGAAACGTCGAAGTCTGATGAACACTTCTGGGATGAGAATGATCCGGAGCAGAAATCGTCAACAAAGAAGAGAGCTGAAGGGGCCACCAGCCAGCTGAGCATAGACCCGAGTTCCTGCTCCGCGAGGTACAAAGTAGAGCTGCAGTAGTCGCTCTGGTGGTCTGACGGCTTTCGTACAGGCTTAGTGTTCGTAAGGTCCTAAGTTCGTTCTTATTGTCGCCACTGTTCTTCTGTTCCCATTCGGAATTAACTTCTGAAAGTGACGCTTACAATTAGTAGAACATCTTGGATGGGTGATCGGCCCATCGCATCTCCTTTTGTAGGACAGCACATCACAGAAGAAACGTAGAAATAAATGCATGCCTCCGAGTGGCATTTGAACCCACGATTACAGTATTCGAACGAAAATCGTCTTAAATAAACATGGGCCCAAAGACATCGCACACACTTCGTTGTATAAGTTTGACGTGTCGCAGCCTTCCACTGCCTAAAAATTAATATTCTAGATGTTATCTATTTTAAATATGAATAGCTTTAAGTCCATGTTGACAAAATTGCAAGAAGGAATAAATTTCTCACCCTAGAATTCGAACCAAGGGTTGTTTGATAGTGACCATTAAATTATCATTCCGCGAAGTCATTTATGACAATGTTACCGTTGCCAAAATCCAATTACGTTTAGGATGTTGTGGCCTGCAAAATTCCCTTTGGATGCAATTCATCTGTAGGTGATTAAAATTTAATCACGATCGGTCAGGTAATTTTTTAAGAAATTGACATTTCACGTTTAGGGGCCCAGCGGTCTTACTGTTATTTTCCTGGAGATATCACTTGTGGAGTTGTATGAAGGGAGTGAAATTTAATCGCAATTGTTCGAGCCGTAGCTTTTTACACTTAGAGACACCCCATATTTGGAGCAAGAACGTTCGCCTTCACCGCACACCGACCTATGGTGGATAAACCCCTAAGTAGCAGTAAATGTAATGTAAGAAAGATAAAGCTATCCCTGTACAGGCCGTGGAGGCCCATAGGGTTGTGAGACGTCGAGGCTCCTCCATTTTCTCTATACAGTCGGCTAACAGATGACAGGTTGTTAGCCTTACGGACCGGCCACCCCTTACCCACAGTATGATTCCTGGTACTCATTTCTGTTAGAAGCCGAGTGACACCAGGGTCATAATGCGGCTGGAAGGATTCGGTCAGTTGAAAACTCCAGTGATCCCACCGGATGAATAAAATCCTTCCAACTGTTTAGGCGCTAGCAAGGCGCACTTACGTACACATGTACAGACATAGAAGCGGCAGTCCAAAAACCACTTCTGATTCAGAAGCGCTGAAAACATAAACCTGTCAAAAATCGAGATCTATTTTTGTCATGACCGCTGTACTGTCTTGTATGAGAAAGTAATATTGATTAAATCTTAGTATAACGGCATCCAATCACCTGATGACTGGAGCAGGTCCACCTCCTGAAATGTGTATCAGTGTACAGAGTGCAGCGTAAAGCTGGTATGGGCTTACTCGTGAAGCAGGGATATGTAAGGTTCATTGTGATTTGGCAGGTAAGGCGGCGCACCGAATACACGAACCTCGCGCGTTGCTTGAAAGAGTGCCTCAGACCGGCTGAAGTTTGAACCGTGTAGAGAACGTTCCCGTTGTTGTTACCGTGGTACTTCACCGACCGGGCTGAACAGCAGTTCGGAATTTCGGCCCCAGAAGACGTTTTTGAAGGATCAGAGTACCCTTCCCCCCCACTTTGAATCTGACAGTGCCCAACAAAAATATGTGGGAAATTTAATACAATATTTGTGTAATTATTCGTTTTTAGATCATGTGATTGTCACCATGTAGATTAACTCATTTGAAGAAAAAATAAGCAGTGTAAATTCTTCGCAGATCTACCAGCTGTGTTTTATTTTAGCTTTCAAGCAGTGAAACTATACATTCAACTTCTGTTTTGTACTGGGAAGTCTTCACCTGTTACATGCATTTTGTTTAGCCTGGTAGTTACTAAGTTTTCGTATAGAATTTTGACACAGAAATATTTTTCTTGTTCCAGATGGCGAGCAAGGATCATGGGAAAGTGGCTTATCGTATGAATGCAGGTCCCTTCTCTTCAAAGCTCTGCATAATCTCATTGAAAGGTACCCAAAACGTTTTATGTAGTGATAAGTGGTGAAAACAGACCTAATGAGTGATTAATGCTAGGTGTTTTGTATACGGTTCTATAGGCAGTGATGGACAAGCATTTTTCTGCCAAATTCTCATTCTGTCAACTGTTCCTCATTTATTAATTATCAGCTCATCTGTTGCTATATAGCGTTGTTATTTGCAGCATTTTTAAATGAACAACTTAAAAAAATTGAGGAGCAACTACTACAGATCCATATACCATTCATATAGTCTCCTACTTGCTAAAATATTGTGGAATGTGAATCGTGAAAGGTTTCCTCAAAGGTGATGCACTTCCTCACTTCTTCTGTGGCATTCATGCCCTCCTGGATGGAGAGACCATTAGATAGGGATAGAAGGCCCAATTCCCTGGCCCCCTAATTCTCCGGATCTTAGTCTTATAGATTATTTCTTTTGAAGCTTTCTGCAGGACATTTTTTATCAAGAAAGGATTCAAAATGTGAATGGTTGTGTGAAAGAAGTGTTAAGAGCTGCAGAGTGTTGCCAGTACCTAACAAGAAACTGAATGTCACCTTAAAGTGTGTCATGCCATGATGGATGCCAACCAGAGATCTCTTAAGCACATCAGAAACTTCATGAGGTGTAGTGTTCAAAAATGTATACATTTCTCCTACATACCCAGGGACCAGAGCTATATAATATTTTGTTTTATTGACATTTAAGGACACACGTCCATAAATGAGGGTCTAGCTGTAATAAACAGAAATTACTTTTTGGGAGTGAAAAGGTGATGTGGATTTGAGATTGTGGTCTTCTAGTTTGGGACACCATCTAGCATTGTAAGTGGATACTGTTCCATCAGAAGGAATGTTGCTTTGGGACTGCAGTATCCACCTTCAAGTCTACATCTCATCACAGCCCAGATGACTGAACATGTGCCATGAAAACCTCACTTCTCTTATTGTGATTGAATTGCCTTGTGAGGTAGTGTTTTGGACCTAACCTTACACTTCAGCCTTTACTCTACGCAAAACACACACAGATCATAAAAGACACTGCCAGTTTTAATTTCTGTTGTTGCAGTGGCATCCATAAAATTATTTTAATTTAGTGTTACTTGCCATGAAATTCATACTGTTTTCTTTCTTTTTTCTTTCAGATGTTTGCTGTCTCGTGATTTTGTTCGAATTGGCAAGTGGTTTGTTCAGCCCTACGATGGAGCAGAGAAACTCATTGGGAAGAGGTAATTGAATTCACCATTCACTCCCATACTCTGTTGTTTCCAAATTAAACAGCTTTTCTGTTTACAGTATTTGCCAGTGTATAAGAAGCACCATGGTTTCAGAAGTAAACATTCATTACATTTACATAAATTGGGGAGGAGCATCATTCCTTCACCCCAAGAACACAGGTCATTGTACACCCCAAGTCTCTTGCTTGTTTTCTGCAGAAACCTTTAGTGTAAAGAAGGGTGGTGGGTTTGGGTTGTATGCATGCATGTGCACTTGTGTGGATATATACTGAGTGTTCAGTGTGCAGGCTTATTAGATGTAGGGGGTGCTTCTCAGAATGTCTTATATGCAGACACTGTGGTATCCCCTGACAAACGGAAGGTCATTCATTTGGTGATCACCTGATCAGTGTGTCAGTCAGTGTTATGCCATTGAGTGTTATAGAAGATTCTTTCTATTCTGTCACTTCATGGCTCATGTTAGATACAATTTGGAACAAAGAGTTTTCATTTATCATCACTATATGGAAAGAAAAAAAACTTGTACAAATTGTGCAGTAGAAATTTTGCCATGTACAAATTGCGCAGTAGAAATTTTGCCATAAATTTCCTTACACAGCATGTCCATCTAGAGATACAGTCTCCAAATTAATGAAGAAAGTTCAAACCAGCAGCATTTTAATTGACAGAAAACCATTGAAAAGAAATTATGTTTTAACTGAGGAAAAACCTGATGACATCGGTCATCGATTAGAAAATTCTCCTCGAAAATCTTTGCTGCGATTAGCGCAACAAAGTGGTGTTTCTGTAGGCAATGCGTGGAAAGCAACTAAACTGTTGCATATTCACCTGTATAAAATTACTGTTGTGTCTGAAATTAAACCTGTGAATTATGAAGAAGAGTGATGTTTTGTAATTGCTTTATCAATCATGTGCATGATGGACTTATTGATCCTAAGCTGACATTTTTTGCAGATGAGGCTAATTTTAATCTCTCGGTATATGTTAACTCAGAAAACAACAGGTACTGGAATAATGAAATCCTCGTCCCCTAATTCAGCTTCACTATACAACCAAAAGATAGGGGTATGGTGTGCGATTAGCACAAATCGTACCATTGGACTGACATTTTATGAAAAAACTCTTCATGCTCAGTGATACACTAATGAAATACTCAATCAGTTTTTCCTTAATTTGGCACCTGCAGCAGAAATATTTGGTTATATTATGCAAGATGGCGTGACTGTACACAGCTAAGGAAACTAACCAAGCATTCTGCGGTATGTTTGGGGAGTCTATCTGTTTGTAGAAGACAAGATCAGTTTGTGGGTGTACTCAGTACTCTTCTGTAAATTTCAGGTAGTATGGCCTTTCAGATTGGACAGTATACACACATTGATGGAACTACAGATGGTGATGTTTTGTTAATATTGAAAGATATGAAACTGAATGTAGGTTGTTACATTAAAATCTGACTCACGAGTTTGTTTTGTTTGTTTTCAGCACCCATTTCTCATTCTCATTCGCATTTTTCGTGCATGGAGAAAGTACGGTGTGTGCAAGTATGGATGTGCGAGTGCATCCTCTGGTACGGAACCTGACACACCAGCATCTTCTCCAGGCCCAGGCTTCCTCCTCAGGCATACCAGGTTTGTTGCTCGTGAACTGGAAGTATGAAACAAAGGTGACTGAAATTATGTGGCAGTGCTGAAATAATATGGCTACATCCACCGTGATAAATTTGGTGGAGAAGATGAAAGTTGTGGATTGTTAGTCTCTCCAAGAGTTACACCAGCATCCTGAACATGCTGGAAGCATAGTATACGTCATTGAGTGATATTCTAAAGTTAGAATCTCATGTTTTTCGGTTAAAAACTTTCCATCTTTCTGTCACCTTTGTAGAAACCTAATAATGAAAATGTTTTCAGAACCATAATTTTACCTGTTTTTATTAAACTTGGTGTCTGGCCCAAAGGTGTGATTGAATGTGTCCAAAAATGCATTGTCAGAGCAAGATATTTCGGCCTGAGAGAGCAGTTAACAGGAGGATCGAGAAATTTGCATAGTGAAAGCTTCATAATTTGTACTAATTAATCATCATTATGGTGACAAAGCCAACGAAGAGAAGGTGGACAGGATGTGTAGCATGAATGCATAGAAGTGTATGATAATTTACACGTTTGTCGTGTGTTTCAGTGATATTGTCTCCTTTTGGACTGGCGGGGTCTCTCACAGGCCAGTCATACAAGACGCTGGACGTCCAAACAAAGCGTCAGCTTGATGAATGGCGCCAGTTCTATCCCATCGACACCAAGTTCTCAAGCTGTGAATTTGGAGGTGAAGAGGTTCCTCTGCCTCCTGCTGTTGAGGTTGTGGTGGGAGGTGTGAAAATGCGATATCCCACGTGTTACGTCCTAGTTACGGACATGGATGATCCAGCTTCATCTCCATCTTCAGCCGTTCACCAGGGTGCTGCATCACCGGCAGGCACAGCCATGGCAATGAAGTCTGTTGGACTTCCATCATCAGCTGCTGTTGCATCACCGCCATGTTCACCTTGTCCCCAGCCTATCACCATGCGCAGTAGGCCGCCTTGTCCATCTTCACCATTTCCTGTGCCAGCAAGTGGCCATCACCCAGCCTCTATGCAGCATAGCCCTTCTCCAGCGACCAGGTTGCCAGAGCACGTCTGGCAGGACAGCACCCTGAATCCCACGGAACAGAACAGTGTTGGTAGCGATGCTATTCCCAGTCAGCAGCCACAAGCAGGACAGTGGGACTTTGCAGACCCCACACGGAAAGCCATGTGCAGTTGCTCAAAGTGAGTTGCTTTTTTAATTTCTGCTTTTGGAATGACAAAATGTGACATAATGGAGATAATGTAAAGGTCAGTAAGAAAGTAACTGAGTGCTGCTGTTACTGTAGCACTGCTTTTACAGATATGGTTATTCATTTTCCGGTAATCGGATTAAGTCTGGGCTGTCCAACTCAATGGCATGTGGCGCATAAGTTGCTTTTGTGCAGCCCACGGGAGTATCTTTCTATCACAGGTGGGGATTCTTGCCCCCCCTCCCAAGACCTGTATGACAAGCGCTCACTAAATATTCCATTCACATTTCACATGGCACTTAATAGATGATGCAGAAAAGTACAGAATTAGTGTGACCCCATTGTCAGATGCAAGAACTTCTGTGGCTGGTTTTGAAGTACAGTTGACCTAGTGACTCCCACATACGTTGAAAAAACTTCTCTCTTTTGTCATAATCTAATATAATTTTTCTGATTTTGGCATGTAATATTACAGTATATTAAATTCAAATAAGTGTTTTTAAATGTTCTTAATCATTTGCTTGTACTTCCATATATCTGATCTTTGTAGGGTAGATATTCTTATGAGTATAGTGGAAAAGAAAAATGCACATACATTTTTGTAATGTCTGTACAGTGAAGCCTCTGTCTTGTTTGAAGTTGGGCAGCCCTGTGTTAATCCATGAATTAGTACTATTAGGACTGGATAAATACAGAATGGTTTAAAGATACAGTATTTTGGTATTTAATCAGAAATCTAAATGGACCAACTTCAGTCCATACTTGCCTCAAATATATTCTGTATTAAAATGGATATTCTCAGTTTATAGTCAGATTCACTTTGTGTCTTTCCATCTACTAATTTCAGAGAGACATTTTTACCCTATGCTTTAAAGGGCACTTTGAAGAAAAATTATGTGTAATTAAGGCAGACATAATTTTTCAATTTGATAGCGTATGCAAGTGGTATTGAACTAAATTTGTTGCCTTGTGTTTTTATGTTTACATAGTAATTAATAGCTATGATAATTCCTTATTTTAACAAGATTTGCATATTGGGCTTCTCCCATTACTGACAGGTATTGTCATTCTCATTGATACTGTTTGGTGGAGCTGAGAGAGTTACAACATAATGAAGCATGTCTGCATTTTGATCATGACTTGTATGTCTTATAGACAAATTATGTTATGAGAATGGTGTTACATGTGTTAATTTTGTAGTGTCTATGCATATTAGTCTTTAGTAGCAGTATTTATAACCATTGCTTCTACATAAAGTAGCTATTCAGATATGTTTTTCTTATTACTGTGGAGGACTGTTGTCTTTTTTTCATGTTATGTTAGTAAATACTGCATTCAGTCCCTTTGTCTTTCTGTTCACATATTTTTAAATATCTTCAGTTGTGCGCAGCATGCAGCAAGCATTGTCTGTTCTATTGTTGTAGTATTTGGAAATGCATTTCAAGTTCTGTTGTTGCAGTAAATGAGTGTAACAGTTAGTGAAGGTATACAGTGACACCCAGCACAAGAAGTACAAAATTCAACCAGAGTCTGTCAGCTTAGTTTGTCCCCAGCTGATTATGAAAACGGAGGAGAAAACATTTGGAAAAATTGCATTAGTTCATACACCAATTCTAAAATTCTCATTACTTGATGGGAACTCACATAAAGACATTACTCCAGTCTCCTATGAGTGAAGCTGTGGTACTGTTCTCACCGTATAAGAAACACGTTTCTTATAGAGAGTGTTTCTAGCTGTGACTGGAGAGCCCTATATTTCTGTCTGCAGTAGTTCCACTATTATCTATAGGGGGGATGTACACAGAAGAATATGTTAAGCCCTGCAGCTAGTGAGAACATCAGTTGGTAGCTACTTGATGTTCAGTGAGCAGTGTGACACATATGCTTCCAAACTTTCAGGTGTAAGAAAAGTCCAGGCGCAAAACATATGGCTCAGAACAAGGGAGGAGTTAATAATATCGGGGGTGTGAAAGCTCTGAAGGTTGAGAAAAGCGAGAAGGGTAGCCGTGGGTCCGGGCGAGGGGGCATGATGCCATTCCATCGGCGTTCGCCCCTAGCTGAGGAAGGGGCATGGGCTGTTGAGGTGGCTGGGCCGCTCTCGAGGTTCGTATGGCTCTTACGTCACATGAAATAATGGCGTAACTCAAGAACTAACTATTATAATGTTGCCATTGACGCCCATGCTAATTGCTCTCCCTGTGTTGGGACCTACCTATCCACGCCTTCTCGCACATGTGTGACTGTGTGTTGTAAAATGTTTTTCCCTCTGAGCTTTTCTTATATTTTTACTGTTGTTATTGTTACTACTACTACTACTACTTCTGCTGCTGCTACTACTGCTGCTACTACTACTACTACTGCTGCTGCTACTACTACTACTACTACTACTGCTGCTGCTGCTGCTGCTGCTGCTGCTGCTTTCTGCCTCTGCCACCACCACCATTATTATTATTATTATTATTATTGTTATTATTTAAGAATGAAATGGTGAATGGTGTGAATGTATGCGTGTAGCAGTAAGTGCTTAAGAGGGCCAGGCTCGCTTGAATCATGTCTCATACATTATATTGCTCCATTTATTAGATGCTGTATTCACTGGGCAGTGGAGTAGGCCTCATAATATAAATAGCACAAGATATATCTACAGTTAAACGAAAGTCACAGTTAGGCACTGTTTCACAAAGAAGGAATCTATACTTATCCTTCTCTGTCTACATCAAGGTGGGTTTTGACATTTGTAAAGTGATGTGGTAACATGTTTCAGCACTGTGCCATCATCAAACCATTAAATATAAAGGTTGTGCCATTGACTAATAAGCACACACACTTCTTCTGTACATAAATTTCTCAGTAAGTTAACGTTCCTGTATAATGTTATATTAAAATAGTAAAGTGGTATCAGTTTAGAACTATAAATAGTGTGTACCTGTCTATCATTCAGATTTTTCTTGATGTTCTGTATTGTAAATCCGTACAAAATTATATCCACACATACAGAATGAATTATTTAGTGCATGTGGTGCTGCCACCTTCTTCCTGTTGTTTTTATCAAACAAAATGTTGGGCAGTATTTTTACTGTATTTAGGTATTTTCATTATCTGCATTGAAGTAGAAGTTCTCATATGTATTTTTCAATGTGTGATTACTGTGCATACTGTTACTTAATTAGATCATTTGATAACTGGTAATATTGTATGGAATATTTACAGCTAGCAATGTAGATGTGAACTGGATGAGGCAGTCTTAATTGTATTAGAATGTAGTGTTCTTTATTTACTCTCTTGGTTTAAAGCTGTCTCTTCCGGCACTTTGCATGTGACTTACCTCCCAGCCCACTCTTTTTAGGAGTATGCTAGCAGTTGGCAATACTTGACACTAAAGAAATCAGCAGTGAAGAACCTAATGTGTCGATGGAATCGCAAAATGTATCTGATGCATTATATAATGATAGAGGCAGAAACTACTTCCTCAGAGTGCTTTCAGAAAGAAAGTTATTGGCCTTGTGAACGTGTCATGAGCAACCAAACTGCTCTACTGCAGATTGGATATGAATCTGTAAATGCCCAAACTCATTTATGAGGGAGAAGTAGTGTAGATTTATGCAAAGGTATAATTTAAGGTTGTACCTTTTTCAATATTTTTCCAAATACTGTGGATCCTTGTTAAGAAGTTTTCCAAGGGACCAAGTAACATAAATTTCTTAAGTAGAAAAACATCTTAACAGAATAGGCTTCAGAATGTTTACAAAATTAATTAATCCTTTGTTTAAGAAGTAAAGGAATAAACATATTTTTACTTGCAATAAATAAGCTAAAAATGTGCTAAATACACAGTCATTCAGATACACATTACTTTTTCACGCTCTTGTCGAGTAGTCTGTTCTGAAATATTATTCTTTCTTGAGGAACATGTCTATCATCATTTGTTTTATTTGTCATTCAAAGAAATTTGAATTAAAACTTTCCATATCCCAGAGATCTACAGGTATAATGATTGACTCTAGTATTTCAGAAATACCACCAAGGAAATGGTGATGCACGTTAGTTAAAAACAACAATATTTTCCAGTTTTTGGCTGGTGTTCTTCCCACACAGTTTGTCCATGGTCTGCTGTTATATGTATGTATGTATGTACATTGCAAGGGCCTGATGTGCTTGGCTTGGCTTGGCTTCTCTGACATAAGTTCTCAGCACTGGCCCCTATTCTGATTCATTCATATTTCCACACACAAGCACAGAAGTACCTACATGACAGCTTTAATGTTTGAAAGTGTGTCCTTTATCTGGTAGTGGGCTGAAAAACAACCCACACATATTAATGAAACATATTGTCACGTGTTGGTTGTATAACGCAACAAATAACTTCACGCCTTATTTGATATAGCGAATTTATTGAACACTCGCTCTTACACTTATACAATTCACAGTTTCCCAATTACTGCCGTCGGCAGTATCACAAATTATCGCATCAATCTAACCATGCGTCCGGCTCTTCTTCCCACAACTGCCACTATATTTCAACTGTCTTTGGCAACTGCTACACTTTTACTAACTCCTTAGGCAGTGTGGTTCTCTTATAAGCCAGACAACGGGAAAACGCCTCGCTTCCTTGTTGCCTAGTCGCCGTGTTTACGGGTGTTGCTGGGCAACGCTGTCGAGAGTTGTTTACTGCTGCATAGCAACCGCGGGGAATGGGGCGGAGTGTTGACTGGCCTCTTACCATAGTAGCGACAGCGCCCAGTGTTGTTACGTCGCCGCTGGCAAGGGTGGGGATGTCTTCCATAGCACAATACATCACACTGCTCCCTCCTTAAGGCTGTTCATCCCGAATAGCCTAAATGTACATCCCTGTTCCTTTTTCTTCCCATTGCTGTGCTTGCTGTGTCTCCTGTTGTTTCTTCAATTCCTCTTGCAATGACTATTATCCGGCCATTACATCCGCTCCCCTCTTAAGACCAGTTCGTCTTGAGCGGTTTTTCGCTCTTTCTCGGGAGGCCGGTGCTTCTAATTTACTGGCTGCTCTTCTGTGCTCCGCTTCCTTTTCGTTTTGCAAGGGGTCGACCCCTCCACAAGGTCCAATCCTTGCCTTGTCACAGGCCGACAGAAGAGCCGACTATTCTCTTCATGATCTTCTCTGTCACAATCTCGTAGTAGGTCTTATGAGTTCACCCTCTTAGGTGCGATCGCTGTCATGATCTGGTGGGGGAGTGGATGTCCTCCATAGCGCAATACGTCACAATATCCTCTGGAACTGACAGATGCACTTCTGTCTGCTAGGCACCTACTTCCTCCTCACTACATACAATTTTTATGCTCCTGCCCATGGTTCTTCTGTAACTAAGCCTTGCAGATTTTCTGACTTGAACAAGCCATCCATTCTAAGGTGTGAATTCAATCTTTCTAAATTTAGGGGGATATAATGGTTTTTCTTTGTGTGCTGTCACCACATGTTAATTTCCTTAATATCATAGATCATAGACTAATGTTTTTCTTAAGGAGTGTAAGTAGGCTGCTGTTGTTGTCATCATCATCATCATAAGCTGAAATACCCACTCAGCTGTTTGCCCAAGGCACATAGGTTTTGCCATTGGGAAATAGAAAATTTACAGTAGTTTGTCCCACCTACTCCCCCCGCCCCCATTTCTGAAAACCCCCTTTGAAATTTTGCTATTTTATTTTGACATTATTTCAGCAAATTTAGTGGGTTACTTCTCATCTGTAAGAAGCTATTCTAATTTACCAATGAGAAGGTCTGATGTTGAGCTATATAAAAGTACATGTTGAAATTGCCACTTGTATCATAGAGAAGCCAGAAGACAGTGTACAGCCAGCAAAGAAGAATTTTTTGAGAATAATTTTGTGATGAGAGGACTATAGGAATATATATTCTTGTTTTTTGTACTGGCTCTACAGGCCTCCTTGGGCCCTGGCCTCTGATTTCTTTTCAGTTTTGTGATAATTTTACAGACGGTAGGACTCCTTGGACAAGTGATCAGCTCTTCACAAGTCCTCTACCTAAACACAGGATGACGACAAATACAGAATAAACACAGCCACATACCAAACACCCATGCCTTGTGTGGGATTCAAACCCACAATTCCAGCTTCCGAGGGAACAAAGACAGTGCATGCCTTAGACCACTCAGCTACCGTGACCGGCACAAGAAATTCTACTCACTGGAATAATACAGGGAATGGCATAGTGAACTCTGAGGCAGGTTGTAAGAGACTCATGAAAGGAACTAAAATGCTCAGATGGAAGGTTTTGCCATGCCGCCATCTGTACCCAAATGCTGCTGCTTCATGTTTGACACTCTTAGTGAAGTAAGGGGTACTGGTGGCTGAAAAGTAAAAATTCAAGCTTCCTCTGAGTGCCTGTGAATCAGTTTGGTACAAGGGAAGAAGTTAACACTCCTCAGCATTACAGTGTCAGTAGTTTGCTGTCCTTCTGTCATCCTATGAAAGGGATGTAGTGATATTAACCTAGTAAAGAAGAAGCTTAGATCAGTACTGCATAACTCTATTTTAAATAAGCTTCTGATAAAACTAAATGGCCCACCACTTCAGCTGTTGATGTGCAGTTGATTGGTCCTTTTCAAGAACAGAATACACCATATAAAGGCACTTGGTTGCCATAAGATTTGGATGTGCAGGAAGGATTAGTGTGGAACTTAGTTCATGGTGGTGGGCTGCGCCATAGCTCAAGCGGTTAGTCGCTGGCTTCCCACCACGACGGCCCAGGTTCGATCCCAGGTCTGGTCAAGTGGGATTTGTGGTGGACAAAGTGGCGCTGGGACAGGTTTTCTCCGGGTACTTCTGTTTTCCCTGCCAATCTTCATTCCACCAATTGCTCCACAATCATCCTCACCTGTCATCTGAAGCTGGTACAACAGGCCAGAAGTGGCTGCAGTACAAGGGACTTAGTCCCACCCCACTAGCAATAAAAGAAAAATAGTTCATGGTGGTACAGAACAAAGAAGGTTTATGGGTTTTACAGCAGAAAAGCTTATGTGGAGGTAGGGGTATGAGTGAGGTTGTGTTGGTGAGTAGAGCTTGGGAAAAATTTTAACCTCTGATTTATATCACATTGTCATATTATTACTATTCATACACTTCCTTCATAAAAGGAAGAACTAAACATATGTTTTGTGTGTATGTGCTCCCTTTCAATTTTTGGACCAGTTGTTCGATGTTTGTACAGAATTTGGTATGAATGTCATGCCAGTCTTGTTTTTATTTCCTAATTTTTGTAACTTTCCGATGAATGCCATGGAGCGAAGTCGTTCTTGGGTAGTCGTTATTTGTTCAGCCACTCAGAAATTTCCCACCCTTTTTTGTGACCAAAAGGTTCATTATTGTGGTCACAAGAGCCAACCACTTGTCCCTCTTCTGAGCCAGTTGAATGCAGTCCACTTTTTCTGATCCTGTTTCTTTCAGATCATTTTAATGTTATATTCCTGTCTACACCTAGGTCTACCTAGTGGCCTCTTCTATTAAAGTTTTCCTACCAGATTATTATATGCATGTATGTTGCATGCATTCTGCATATCTCATCCTCAATTTGATCACTTCCAAATTTTCTACAGTCAAGCGGTCATCCTGGCTTCTTATCTTATGAACAGCATTTGCATATTATATTGGTGATTTAACTTAGCGTTCACTTGCCAGCAAGGTATTGTTTGGATCTAAATTGTAGAATAAAAGAAAATAGCATTAATGTGAAATTCCCATATTGCAGTAAGTTCTCTTAGCTATTCAAGGAACATGTTATAGCAAGAAGACATGTCATTTACATAGTGAACTTCTGTACGGCTAAAGTAAGCCCATTATAGATATTTGGTAATATTGTAGAGCGGAGGTTAGTTATAATTAGCAAAACAGTTGCAAGAGAAGCAGCAAGTTACTAAAGGTTGTCCAGAGGGGCATTAAAGTCTTTCTGACTCCCCTCGATAGGTACTTCATTATATGTTGGCTGTGTTGGAACTGTCTGAATTAGTTTGGTGTCTGGTGCCTGTTAACATACATTGTGGCCTGTAAAATGTGCACATTTTTAAGAAAATGCATGTCGCGTACCAGAACAGATTTATATGGTGTATGACTAAATTTTAACATATTAATGTTAATGGTATGAATTTTATTAGCACAGTACAGTTTCATGTAGTAGTTATGTTTATACCACTCATTAATTCTAAGGAAATTTGAAATGTCAGGAATGTAGCAGATCTGGATGGCATGTTTAATGTTGTCTAGAATTCATCCCTTGCTTACACTTTCTATACAGATAATACAACATTCCTTTCAAGTATCTCAATATTAATTAAGAAAATGGAGTTGGTTTACAATTATTCAGCAGCAGAGAACGCTTTCACTGTAAAGTCCATTACACTGTGAGCTTAAATAGTCACATAGAGAAAGAAGTCTGGTTTTAAAAGGTAAGTTTCTGTAATATCTCATGTGGCCGAACACTTTGTAATTATAAATCTGTTCTCTGTGCAGGTTGATGGGAGGTTCAGGTACTCCATCTGGAGGCCCCCCATCATATCCCTGTGGCCAGGCCATGACTCCCAATCCACTGCCAAATTTACATGGTGGAGGTAGTCTTGGAGAGTCTGTGCCAGTTCCATCAGTGGGCTCTCCAGCCTCTGCTGCTCCATCTCCACTGCCCAATCCTCACTCCCAACCTGCATCGGTTCCTCCTGCCGATCAGACTATGCCTACTCTGAGCCCTCATCCTCCCACCTCAAACAGTGGTGCTGGCCAGCCTCAACCTGCCACCCCTTTGGAATCTCAGGACAAGGTCACCCCTGCTGCTACACCCTCAGATCTCAATGGCCCTAAGTCCGTTTCGTCAGTATCCAATCAGGTGAGTTGAATCAGAGTGCATTATCTTCAGTGTTCACTGGTGAGTCACGTGGTTTGTGCGAAAAATGAGTCAGGGAGGTGAGTTAGGGTTTTGTCTCTAGGGTACATTGTCCTGCTTACTGTACTGGATTTGTGTCAAGACACAGCAGAATGGTTTGTTATAAACATGTGTCTGTTCATGAAAATAAGTTACAGATTATATTTAATATAGAAGAAGATCATATGAACTGTTAATTGCTATTTGTGATGCTGTTTGTACTTAAAAAGTAATGACATTTTGTTATTTTTGTAATGAACTTAATTTACATTCTGGTTTGGAGACTTGTTTTCTTGTCTCGTCTCTGGTATCTGCATTGCTCATAAGTCTCCCCAGGCAGTTGCCCAGGTAATACCTTTGTCTTCATTGACCAGGCATTGTACTATTGGTGCACATGTGCAGTCAGCCTATACAAGCGTTTCGCTGTTGTAAGGGTGCATGTGCACAGCCCAACTGTCTGACCATTGCACTATTGCAAATGGAGCATATATGCGTGTTCCATTTATCAGAGAGTTGCAGTTATTGTAAGTGGTGCACTTTCTGTGAGCCCAAACATTGCACTGTTGTAGTGGCATGTGTGCTTATTCCAGTGCGTTGCATTATTTCAATTGCAACACAGTTACCTGCAAGTTGCTGTACTGCTGCCATCCCTGTAGTATTGGAAGATGTAGAAGTCATTATTTCCAGATGTTAAGGTTCAAATTAGGCCACAGCTGATCCTTCCACATCTTTTGCAGTTCATTATTCATTAATTAATTCATAATATGACACAGTTTGAGATATTGAAAGTGCTGTTAAATAACCACAGAATGAAGGGTAAGCCTCATGTTTTCTCTTTTCTCCCATTAATTATCCCTATGAAAATGCTACTAAGAAGAATGCTATAACATAATTTTATAGGATTGGTCCATTTGTGAACATAAACAGATCTGTCATAATTATTTGTATTGCAGGTGTTCTCGCCGTATCCTGCCACTTCCAGTGTAGAGCCAGTCACAAAACCAGTGGACAGTGTTGGCGGGGGATCTCAGGGTCCTGCCAGTGCTCACTCAGTAGTGGCATCAGCTCCTCTCCCCACTGCCACACCTCTCGACTCTCTTACTCTCAAACGACCTGTTCTCTCCTCCAAGGAGTATGAGAGTATTTTGATGGAGGAGGACCAACCGTCAGAATTGCTGTATGATTATTCCACTCTCGATGCATGGTAAGTTATATTTTCTGTTTGAAATTATTGTGTCTGTTATTTGAATGTTTGCATGGAGCCTGTACCTCTGCTCCTTTGTTAGATCTTCATGGTGTGTGCTTAATTAAGCACAGTAATATATCTCTGTTGTGTGCTAATTACCTTTACAGGAGTGTATTACTTTTACATTACAGGCCATGCATTCAAGTCTAACTTTTTCCATGTGTAGTTCTTCAGAATCTTCCTAGTGGCTGCTGTAAATCTTCAGGAAATGGCCCAGATTACCATCTCCTTTACATTTAGTTATGAAACTCAGATGTTGTCAAACATTGATAGGGAAAGGACCTAACCCTGTCTCACATATATATGAAAAAGCAAGCCCACATGTAAAGAACATGTGACTTTGTCTCTGCCTTATCAGAATTCTGAAGTTTTAAATAGTGTGGAATAATATGTTTATACCTTTTTGTGACTGGCTGTCAACTGAATGACCAGGGTTTTACACCTGATTAGAGCAGGGAACCCCCCCCCCTTATTGTGGCCAGACAGCATTGTATCAGAGTCATTCCATGCCACATCATCACAGAAAAGTGCAGTTTACAATGTGACTTTCTCCACTTTCACTGAAAGTTAATGAGCTTATGCACCGTACAGTATTCCTGCAATCCGTAAGGACCATATGTCTTCCACATCTTGTGGAGTTTGGGTGCAGAAATCATAAAAACTGCTTTTGGGGGGGAGGGGCACATTTGCCTCCAGCGTACATTATCATGACTTTTGTTCTGCATAAGCTGCAGATCTCTGTTTAATAGTTGATGAAATGCTCTTTTCATTTTCACATTCAGATAGAGTAGTTTTGTTGTCATTGTCACATGATGTAAAATTTGACCTACAGTTTCTCACAATATGTAACCCTTGTCTCCAGAAAACATAACATGTTTGTCTGATACAGCAAAATGTCATCCATGGACAGCCATGAGATATCTTGTAATAATAGCATGAATGGGCACAAGCTACAAAATAGGTAATTGTAACACATCCTAACCATGAAACATTGTCATGTCACAAAACTTTGTGTTATGAGGTCTCATATGTCCTTGCAGCTCAGGTACTCAGCATTCTTTAGACTCTAAGTTTCTTCAAAGTAATGTATTTTGCTTATTGGCAGAAAAGTATGGGTTCCCAAGGGTTAACTTTTGAATTCATTTTACATAAAAACTTGTCTTCTTCATTGAATTGTAATTCAGTAGCACACTTGAACTTCATATTTTCTCTTTTGGTTTGTGCAGTGTTCAATAGCTGTCTTTCAGTCATGATTTGGCCAGTATGTGACATTGCTGCAAACTTTGCCCTTGGTAACAGTCTCTTTGTGGTTCTTCCTAGGGTGTCATATGTGCTCTTGCCTTGTGACGTGTCAAAGAAATGCAATTCATCAGGAACCCCAAAATCTTTCTCAAGTTACATGAAATTTAAAAAGTTAGATTGTGCTGGTGACCCACCTGAGAAATAAACTGTCTTATTCAAACAGGCAAGTCTATTATGAAGAAAATTAATTATTTTTGACAGAGATGAATAGCAATTGTGTAATGTTTAAGGCAGTGTTGAAATACTATGCTGGTGTGTGATAATTTGTGTACATGTCATTCTTGGATATATGCTGCAGATTTTGAGGAGCACATCACCTACTTTCTGTGTCAGTAGTATAGAATTGTGATGTTCTTTCATCTGATGGGGTTCCAGATTTGTTTTTTCTCAACAGCACTTCCAGTTTTAGCCCTCTTCACTGCAGTACACTGTTCTCTCTGTTCTTATCCTATTGCCACTGTCGGTTGTGTTTGAGGAGTGCCAGAAGAGTATTAGGTTCAAACTGTAATAGAGAAGGCTTCTTCGTGTCTTTGTAACATCCTTGTACTCACTTTTTAAGATGATTATTTCATCATCCATAGGTTCTCTCTAGATGTAAGTCCTTGAAATGGACATGTAGGAATGTATATCTTAGACAACACCGTTCTCATGAAATGTTTAACCACAACTAATAACAAGTAATGATGTGTGCAGAAGTTTCACTGTCAGAAATGGATGGTCAGTGGTTACACTGGGTGACATTGAAACCAAAACTACTCCCTCTGAATGTTTGTTTTATGTATCTGTGAGGAGAACATTATGCGCCATAGCTCACTAGCTTGCGCGCGACAAATATTACTACATATAATTTTTACTTGTATTCTTCTCCAAGTATAGTTAGAATGATCAAGTCAAGGAGGATGAGGTGGGCAGGTCTTGTAGCACGAATGGGGGAGACGAATGCGTATAGGATATTTGTGGGAAAGCCAGAAGGAAAGAGACCACAGGGAAGACCAAGGCGTAGGTAGGTGGACAATATTAGAATGGATCTTAGAGAGATAGGATGGGATGGTATGGATTGGATAAATCTGGCTCAGGATAGGGACCAGTGGAGGGCTCTTGTGAACACGGTGATGAACCTTCAGGTTCCATAAAATGCTGGGAAATTCTTGAGTAGCTGCAGAATTGGCGACTGCTCCTCAAGAAGGGCTCAGCTCCATGAGTGAGTAAGTAAGTAAGTAGGTGTCATGGCAAAAGAATGCTGTTTTTTATGATGTGTGCACCCTTACTCCACAAAACCTGCAAGACTTTAGGTGCTGAAATGTTTTAAGAATGCATTTTCTGTGGAACCTACAAGCTCACCAGCATTCACCGAAGCCTGAGAAGGTCGGATCGTGGGTTGCAGCGACCTGACATGGGGTGTCTCTTTCCTTAGGTGTGAAGTAGCTGACCACATGTATTTTTCCTTCACCTTACAACATGGGTATTTGGTCTTAATTTAAATATTGTTCTGTTTGTATTAAAAGTAACATAAGCAAGGCTTGAGGTAGCATCTGTAGTAAAGAACAAGTATGTGCCATCTTTTCCTCACAATATTAATGATGTAAATACTTGGGTTATTACTTGCAGACATCAAGGAGTGCAGGTAGTGATGTAATTGTTCATGATGTACTGCGAGGACGTGATGGAACAGAACTCTTGCCACAACAGAGAATGTGCCACTTCCCAAATTGTGTGAGGCTCCCACCTCAGCCCCATCACTGGCAGTGCCTGCTGTACTGATAATTATTGAAAGTTTAATATGCAATAAGTTCGTGGTACTAATCAGATATTGAAACCAGGTATCAGGAATGCTGGTTATGTATCAGATATGTATGTAAATTTGTGGGGTGCCAGCCTGTTCTTGATAATTTCAACTCATTCATTGCCCATAGGTTGAACCATCCAGTGAAAAAGTTTAAGCCAGCTGAAGCAAGACCCCCGGACCCAATGAGACCATCACCTTACAACAGGCGCTCAAGTACAAATGATCTGTATTCATATCATTTACAACAGCAGAACGTGGCATCATCACCAAACAACCTCAGTCAGCCTTTCATCAAGCAGGAGGTTAAACAAGAGGCAGGCTGCAATATGTCAGTAAGTTGCATTTATACCACCAGACATGCTGTGTGAGACTCGTGAGGGGTTTGAACACATGCTGGAAGAGAGTATTACCATATTACTCTTGTATTACTCTTGGCTTAGCTTTATAGATATGTGTAATCTGTTAGGTCTTTTGTGATAACCATGAATTTTCACAATACTGTCATTTGAATTCTGATTTTTTCTATTATTAACTTCCGGTCTAGAAAACCGAAATTATCTGCCATGGGGATTCGTCGCGCTGACCACACAACACCCTCTATTCGCTAAAGTTGGCACTAACTTCACCAACAAGCAGCGGTCGCTCGGTCGGTATAGTTCACTTGCAGACTATAACCACGGAGTCCGCCAGAGCATGAAATATGTAACTTACAACTGACCAGTGATTTCCAAGTACAATTAAGGTCAAAATTGCTGGGAGCTTAGTCTCAGTAGTTATGCCTTCATGGTTGAGGTGATTAGGCAGAGTGGCACCTTTGTAGAGCAGTTGCTGTCAACTTTCCTAGTAATTTTATGTCTTTTGGATTTGAGGTTATTATGACAGTGACTGTGAAGAGAAGAGTCTTCTGGCTTATAATGTTGTGTCGCTATCTGTGAATGACGTGATGCTACAGCCCAGAAGACCATAATCTTCAGTTAACTGTTTCAACTTGTTTGAATGTTTTTATCTCCTTTAGGGGTGCTCTGGGCATTTGTGTCAACTTGTGTCTACATATATCTTGCACATTATAGTTAGTACAAGTTCTAATAGCTTATTTACTGAAGTGTCTGTTCACAGACCAGCTGTGGAATTGGGATTTTTCTCATCATCACCACATCCATAATGGCTCTGGGGGCCAACCTGTTCCATATGTAATTGATATGGGGTGTTCTTTGTTGAGGGTGTTTTAACCCTTACCAACTGTGCTTTGCATTAGTGTAGTGGGCATGTAAACAATCCAGTATTTTTTCAATACTAATACAATTATTTCTGAGTTAAAATATTGTGAACTTAAAATCATCGTATGCCTGGTTATTACAGGTGTGTCTAAAGTGTGGAGCTGTGTACACACTACCAACTTGTGCAGTGTTTGAATTCTCTGAAGGAAAACAGGGTTTGAGAGTGTTTGGGAATACATTACTGGTCAGCATATTTGCTCTTATAGAATGTGTGTACTGGTCAGCATATTTCCTCTTATAGAATGTGTGAATTTCCTTCAATCTGTATTTAGGCAGAGAATATCTTGACCAGCTGAATATTGTCTGCCACTCAGGGATTAGTTGTTACCATGTAATTAGTCAGTGTCATTGTATTCAGCCTGTACTTGGTACCTTCGGTTAATGTGTGTTTGTTTTTGTTTTTTCAGATGGAAGTAGATAACATTCATCTGAACAAAAGGTCTGATCCATATGAATTTGAAGATGACATGACTGCTCCTGCTGTCAGTATGGAGGGTTTCAAGCGAACTAATTCTGTTAAGGTATGTGTTATTTATTGTACATTCCCATGTATAAAACTAAAGCTGTACACCTCAGTAGGCTATCTGTTATAGTTTACCAGAGCACATGAGTGGTACTTAAATCACTGTATATTTACAGTACAGAAATGGTGTAAATTCCCAGCAACTATGTTTAATGCCTACTCAGTTCAGTGTTGGTACAGAACATTGTTTATCACAAGTCTTTGTATACATACAGAAATGTTTATGCTCAGGCTAGTTTGTATTTGCCCTATAAGTGTTGGACAGGCTGTAGAAAAATACTGAATATTTACTTGTAAATGAAAAGACTTTCTTTCAGTCCAATTGGATGCATGGTTTTATTTAGTTTACTCTTGAATATTGTAGTCATCAGTGTTCTTGTAACACATAGGTTACTGTGCTGCCAACATCAAATATGTAGGTAAATAAAAATAATTAACTGATTTTGTAATATTATATGTTCAATTAAGAAACTGATGACAGTAGCTCTGTATTCTTACAAATGAATTATGTAGAAGGCATACTTTTTTTTTTAGGTGTTGGATTTGTATTTATTAGATCAAGTGTACAGTGATATTTCCAAGATGGACCATTTTCACAAATCCATAAGTAAATTGCACACCCACATTTTATCGCCATGGAGTATGGAAAACTGTGTATGAATTACATGATCACCACATTGCAATAATTTATCTTCTTTCCTGATGTGTTGCAGGAAGAAGATCGTAAAGGAGGCCCAGGAAATGCAATAGGTCCATTTGATCCCGTCGCTCCAAATGGACCCACAAATAAACCCACTTCTCTTTTCACTAATGAAGGTCTTCAAGCATCTTACAAAGATCTTGATCAGATCTTTGATAATTCGGATGACACATCAAGTGATGAAACTGTAAGTAAATGAAGTTTACACATTACTTGAAATTAAAACAACTTGTAAATGACTGCAAATTATAGCCTCTGTGTACAAAATACCACCTGTGCATGTCTGTGTTCTGATCTATACTCAATTAAGTATTCATGTACAATGCATTATCGATATTACAAGAGGTATGGTGAAGGTAAAAAGGTAAAGTTGTCCCTGTGCTTAACTATGCCATGAAGGCGTATGGGGGAGTGGCTGTATAGATCCACATTTTCTTGACCTCAGCACTAGCTGGAGTTGAGTGGTCTGCTTCACACCCCAGCCACTTTACCCCCAGAGAAAGAACCCTTGGTACCCATTGTATAGGAGGCTGGGTGGGCCCCAGAGCTAGTCTGGACGACTGAGAGAAGAGAAAATTGTTAAACCCTACAGGGACTCAAACTCTGACCTCTCACTCGTCCAGCCCATAGCTAGTTGCTATACCGGCCTTGCTATCCTGGCTACTGTTAACAAGATGTTTAAAATATTCTCTTTGATGGAAGCTCGTAAAAAATCTCCTTGGCCTTTAGTCCACAATCGAACTGTCAATATTCAAAAATGGTTGACGTACATAGTAACATGACTGTCCTGTAACATGCAGTTACATACAGCACACTGTGTACAGTATGTAGCTTTCTTCCAAAGTTTTACGATCTACAACTTGTTGGACAGTGTTCTGTAATGTGAGCCATTTCACAGTGCAGCAGTCTGTAAGAACTCATGCACACAAAACAGTGTTTTACTGACACGTGATTCAAAGCTGTGACTTTCCTCCAGCTGGGGATATAAATCAGGATCAGCTGTCAGCAGCACCCATGTTTAATTGTCCTTGTAGGCTGTTATTGCTGTCCCCCCCCCAAAAAAAAGCAGTCCATTACACATCATCTTAAGGAAACGTAATTGGATTTTCAGTATTTCAAATGCCGTGTTTATTTAAATTGGAGACTCTTACATTGTTTGTTACAGCTGGATATTCTGGTGTAAATTTCTGGTCTGTTGTGCAGTAGAAAAGGAAGTAAATTGCTCAAAGTTAATGTGCACATACATGGTTAGTGTGTTTCATGTCAAAGCTGTTGTTACTGCTTTGCTGCTACCATTGTCTGCAGAATGGTGGTAAGCTTATGGTGTGGGATTGTAGTTGCAGGTGCCCACTCCTCCAGGTTCTAATAAGCCTGCTGGACTACCAGAAGATTCAGCATCCAATAACAGTGCTGTGGTGAAACCTCCTCGTGGCAGCGGTGGCAACACGTCACTCAACAGTTGTGGTGGAGCAGGCATTCTGAGGCCAGAGGAGTTGTCTAAGATGTTCCCTACACCTCCGTCCCTAGAGCATAATCCCATTGCATCACCGTGTGGGCATTTGTCTGATGGACCCCTGGGAGAACTATCAGATGGGCCTGTAGGCTTTTGTATGGGCCGGTATAAACAAGAAATCTATCCAAATATGGGCAGCCCACAAGAGGAGAATATAGAGGATTGGTCATATGTGTTCCGCCTACCTGCAGTTTGCAAATTTGTGGGCTCTTCTAAGTATGCACCACTTACAAACCTTCCCAGTCAAAGTCTGCCTCCAGTGACACTACCTTCTCACTGTGTGTACAAGCCTTCTTGGCAGACACAATATCAGCAGCAGCAGCAGTTTGTTGAAAAATCAGCACCCCAACAAAGTATTCCAAATGGAAGCCTCGTACCCTCTGGTCCTGGTACCAACTCAAGACCTAATTCCGTAGCGAGTAATCATCACTCAAGTACTGTTATGCCACCTCACACACATCTGCCACATCATGCAATCCATCATACTCCAGTGCCACCACATTCTCATAGCAGAGCTGGCCTCTCACCTATCTCACCAGCGGGCCATTTTCCACCAAGTCCCATGACTATGGCAGCAATGGGAGGTGGAGGTCTACCAATCCATTTGCAGCAGCAGTTCCGGTCAGGTGGCCCAGGGTCAGTTGGAGGCGTTCGAACGCCTTGTCCTGCACCTCCACCTTACGAACTTCCAAGTCCAGAAACTTCAACTGCATCATCCTACCTCAATAAAAATTTAAATTCAGTGGAACCAGTGCCAACACCAATAATGGCTCGAGCTCCTGAAGCAAATTCATTGGTGGTTAACATTCTTCTAGGTGATACTGCTCTTAATATATTTCGAGATCATAATTTTGATAGTTGTACCTTATGCGTTTGTAATGCAGGACCGAAAGTTGTAGGCAACATTAGGGGAGCTGATGCCGGAATCTACCTTCAGACTCCACCTCCACAACCGCAACCTATCCTACCATTCCCACCTACCTCTCCATTCCCTGGTATGGGAATGAATGGTCCACCACAGTATATGGTGCCGTCCCCAGGCCATCATGGCATTGCACCCAGTGTTACGGAAGAGGACCCAATAAGGTGCAGTTGTGGATTCAGTGCTGTAGTGAACAGGAGGCTGTCCCACCGCTCAGGTCTGTTTTATGAGGATGAGCTTGAAATCACAGGCATTGCTGAAGACCCGGGTGACCGCAGGAAGGGTTCACTTTTGGCCTACCTTCTTCCGAACACTGGCAAAAGTGGGCAGGAAAACATAAATACAGGTGATGTAGTGGATCTGGTTCCACAGAATGTTATGGAGCTGTTAAAAGAGCAGTGTGTGATTATTCAGAGTTCTAGCAACTCTTTGTATCGTGCATCAAGACAGTTTCGTGGTAGCCTTGGACCTGATGTGCCCTATGGCACAACAGTGAATGTGTTGGAGTTCATGGATGGCAACGATGTGACATGTATTGCATTAGAGCAGGGACGGCAGGCGTTACTAGAAAGCACAACAGTCGCCATGTGCAAAGTGGAGGAAATGCAGCACAGACAGCAGCAAATCATGCAACATGGAAGCAGGAGTTCAAACACACCGTGTGTCCACAGGTGGCCTTATTTGCGGGCCATGGGACCTCAGTGCAGTCAGGACATTGTGTGGGTCATGAAGAGCTTGAGGCCTCTTTTGCAAGAGGTAATACATAAGAAGTGCACAACGAGGCTGTGGGATGCCCCATACACTGTAAAAGGGCCTCTCACTTGGAGGCAGTTCCACAGGCTTGCCGGCAGAGGTTAGTACTAGCAGTAGATAAGTAGTTTGTAGCTTATAAATTGGTGAGGGAACTATGTGGACCAAAACTGAAAGGATGCCCCTCTTGGAAGCAGTGCGACACTAGTTTGTAATGTACTGTGTTAAAACTTTTGAACCTACAAAAATAAGGAAAGGGAAATCACTCTCATGTATGTGATGTATACAGGGCACACTGAGTAGTGTCAAGCAGGTTGTAATGGGCTGAACACTGTGGGTATAGCTATATATATCACACTGTTTCAGTTTCTCTTGAATGACAGGTAAAACAATTGCAGTACCAGAATTATGTACCTCATGAGTTTTGAGCATGTTTGTACACTGAATCAGCCTTAACAAAATCACCATCATGGACATGTAAACAGCTGGCTTTGCTAAAAACTGTTCGAGGGTTCTAGTTTAAAGAAATGCAGTTGGTCCAGTAGTAAGAAAGTGAGAACAATGCATGTTCATATCTCATCGCCACAATGGAAGACAGAATCACAGTGTGTGACATCATAAATCTTTCAGTAATATGGCATGGTTCAGATAGTTGGGCGTGACAGATCAAAATTTCAATTATGAAGAAATTAAAGTCATATTGAGCTAGGAGAATGTTTTGTCTTCCCATCTGCTACTGAAAAATATAATGTAATAATTATATATAGAAGCCAAGACCATTATAGAGAAAATAAGCCAAGAATATGTAAGAATTAAAAAATGAAAATTAACTTGTAGGACTAGGTTTTCAGAGCAGTGGTTATGAAGAGCTGTATCTTCTGGGATGCAAGGCCATGTAGTCTGTTGAAAGTGAACTGCATTTCAGAGAAACTTTTTGCCTCCATCTTCACAGTTGAAGAGTAATCCATGTAAGAAACCAGCATGAAGCAACAGACTACACAAAGTTGTATCCCAGAAGACAGAACTCTTTGAATGGTAACTTAGTTTAACACATATTTTAGTCATTAATGCAAGTGTTTTCAGAGGAGCATGTGTAAATGTAGATAGTAAACACGATTACAGTTCTCACCCCCCTGTCTAATGTTCCTTGATTGAAGTTTTTCCTTCATTTAATGTTCAATTTCAGCAATACCATGTCAGTAATTTCAGTGTTAAAATTTATTTCATTTAAGATTTTCCACAGTTTAGTATTTGGGGGCACACAGTAGCATAGTTGGTTGAGGGGCTATGCTACAAGCGAGAAGGTCGCGGGTTCACGTCCTGATGAGGTTATTGGATTTTTTCAGTTGACCTAATCCTATACCAGCTGCACTATGGCCATGGGGTTCACTCAGCCTCTAACAGAAATGAGTACCAGGAATTAATTAAATAATTTTCCTGGGGAGTAAAGTGCAGCCAGCGCATAAGGCTGGCAACCTTACCGCCATCTTTGAGCCAATTGTCTAGATAATGTGGGACCCTCAACGTCTCACAACCCTATTGGCCTTCATGGCCTGGTACAGGGATGGCTTTACTCCTCCTTTCCCCCCCCCCAGTTTAGTGTTTAGTTTTTCCTATAATAAAAACCCCTGATGATGACAAAAATTGTGACAGAACATTGATTGTTTTATTCACATTCAAAGTGAATGGCTTCAGGCTTGTAATGGGCTATTAGAAAATCGGTGATGTTCCTGAGAGTTATGTAACCTGTTGAAAAGCAGTCCATTATTGGCTTTAGGCACCACTTATAGCAGCCATAGCAACCGTTTAGGACATCATTGGGGTTGTGTATGGCTGATGATGGGCTGGACTTGTAGAATGGTTCGGGCTAAGTAATGTTAACTTCTGAGGTAGGACCACAGGGGCAATAGAGTTGGTTTATTGGATGGCAGTAAGATCCAATGTGAAAGGAAACCTGTAAAGTTCTAGATTGGTCCCATTTGACAGGTGGAATTTGATATGACTTTGCTGAGTTAAAGTAGACATGGGATTCTTCCTCAGGTGTATTTAACAGGTTGTAATTTAATGTGACCAGGAGTTGCTTTTTCATGTTACTCCACGTGCATAAATATAAAACACTATCATATTGATAAAGATTTATTTATCTGCATTGTTATATTATAAGACAAATTCATTGTTTACATTGAGACATTAATTTATATACCTTCTGTGTTTCTGAAGATGTGTGTATTTGAATTACTTACGTTTGACAAACTATGACTTCTGTTAATTGGTTTCCCTGAATAAACTGTCCTCAAAACCTAAATAATTAAGAAGTTGTAGATTTGGAATGTGCAATGCTCAGGCACATCCAAACTGAGTCACTAGAAGTTGCAGAGTGGTTGCAGCCAGTCATCTCTGAGAGAAAGGCTTCTCCTCAATTCCAAAATTCTGAACAAAAGATATTCCCTTCCAGGTTCTAATTGACTAGTCCCAAACATGCATGAGGGCACAAAAATCTGCATTCTCCAATTACAACCAAAAGAGGAATTTTTATCTTAGGAGATATAAACAGTCCCCTCACTCTTCGACAGAAAACTTGAGCAGTAGCCCCAGCCCTCGAGATACCCCTCTAAAAGGCATAACATTTGTTAATGTCCAGATTTAATTTTACAAAAGGAAAACGAACCATGTACCAAAGTCTCCTATTTTTAAGTTACTTGGCTGCTTCCTTTCTTACACCTGACTGCAAGACTTTGTCTAAGCCTCCCATAAGTGAAAGAATCTGACTGACTCTGTCATGTGAATTACCATCTGTCCTACTAACGAAAGTAAGGTAATCCTAAAGGAACTAGTTAATTCAGATCATATAGAAGTAATGTCAGGTAATTAAACTCTGCACTCAAATTTAGACTGATACCATTATGTATTTAAATTTTATGACTTCCCCCCCCCCCNTGTGCATGCTGTCTTGTAATGGGACTGTTTCAGCTGCAGGTGTTATCAAAGGAAATGACATGTTCCAACTAAGAAAGTATTTGTTCCATGATCTTCAGTCACTAATCTTGGGTTGACTTTGATCAGGTATAATGCAATAGAGTCAGCATGCGTTGCGTAAACAGTAGAGATGTATAAAATATGTCATTATGTCACATTAGAAGCGCACAGTTTGTCTTGTCTGAATGTAAGTTCTCACCTTCCAGGGACCGAAGATCGTTGTGAACCTCAACCTATCCCATCATTAATGGTTGGCTGCGAGAAAGACTGGCTCTCACTCTCACCTTATGCAATCCAGTATTGGGAAAAACTACTACTTGAGCCATATTCCTATGCCAGAGATGTGGCCTATATCGTGGTTGCACCAGACAACGATTACATCCTTCAGCGGGTGCGCACCTTCTTCAGAGAGCTTAGCGCAACATATGAGGTAAGTTATTAAGATCTGCCAGCTGTCTAGTTGTACTGGTGTTTTTGTGCAGCAGCTGAAAGTGCTGGCGAGTTGGCACCTTGTGACAGTGTCGTAAGTGGCTGGGGTACGTTTTATTTCATGGATGGAGTAAAGGCCTCATTGCCACAGCATTTTGTTTGTGATAAATGATTAGAGAAGACTACCATAGACATATCGAGAATGCCTTTGCAGTATAGATGGTGAAGAGTGGGTACAGAGAACAGTGGATGTCGTGAAGTTTTCACAATACTGTAGTCATGGGGGCATATAGTGACATTTTAGAACATTGTGCTTCCATTTTCAGAGTTGAAGTGTGCGGGCTGGGGAATTTGCATGGTTATGTGGGTAGGGTATAAGGAGGGTGGCCACTCGCACTTACAGGAAGAGGTCACTGGAGCCAGTTCCACACCCTGCATGCTTCAAACCTGAAGTTATTGGCAACATGTACCTCCAAATCATCAGTATCAGCCTACAAGACTACACAGATTCATAGTTCGGCAGACCACAGTCTATGCAGAGCTATAGCACACTTTCCTTTCTTAACCCTGTGACAGGCTCCAACATACAACTTCCTGCTGCTTGGAGGTAAATACAGTGTCTCACAAAAGCCCGCCATATTTTTGTGAAATGACCTTCAAACAACAGCAGATGTGACATGTGAAAGCCTGTTGTTTCCTGTAAACATCAATTTGTCATATAGACGCCCTCTTGACAGAAATGACAAACTAATTTATTAACAACGAGGTGATCTCTTTAGCTCTGGTGGATCTTAGAGAAGTATCCCAAGCCACTCTACATGATATGTAGCTTGTAAAGGGTTGAGGAAGAAAAGTGTGGTTATGAGATGACAGCACTCTGTGTGTGTGTGTGCGTGCGTGCGCACGCGCGCCCACTTACACCCACACTCATTTACCTAATGCATGTGTTCCCTTCCAAATTTTAACTAATTTTTCAAATTGAAATGAATACCGTGCTACTGGTGGCCACCCTGCCCTCTTGCTATTTGACTGAAATCTGCTATAACAGTATGGAAGATGTGCAAATTTTTGAGGTGAGGGCAGTCTTAGTGCTTCTTCATATAGGGTCTGAAGATGTACAGCAGAGGTGCTCAACTTTTTGATCATGTGGGCCACTCTGAAAGATACATGTCATAAGGACTGGGGCATTGAGATCTACTTCCACTCCCTCATACAACTTTGTGGTGTTATGCTTTTCAAAAGCATTGCGTTCATTTTTTCTTTCTTTTATTAAATGAAATGGTAGTTACTTTAAACTGAAAATCAAAACATTTAAATACTGGTATAACATAATACAAGAAAGAGCAACCTGCTTCATATGCAGTGTTCTTATCAAACCGTGTTTGTCATATTACTTGCTCCTGTTGTCAGCAGTTGGATTGTGTGTTTTAAATAGTTGACATATTTTGTAGATGGTGACAAGTTTGTTTCCTTTTCGGTAGGTTTGCCGCCTAGGCCGTCACTGCCCTATTACCAAAGTTCTGAGAGATGGAATTCTCAGAGTGGGAAAAACAGCTGCTCTCAAATTGGCAAAAGAACCTGTTGATGAGTGGTTTACAATGCTCGGAGATAATCCAGCTACAAATATGCTCAAATTGTATGCTCAAGTAAGTACCTCATCTCCAAATGAAGACTCTCTTTAACCCCTTGGAAGTCTTTTTTTCAGAGTGCAGTGTAAAGCAAAAGAATTGTACTTCAAAGATTGTCTGAACTTGTAACCAGGTGGAGCAGGGGCATTAGAATCCTCATTATTGTGTGATAAATGTTTATTTTGTTTTGAGTTTCTGAAGATATGCAGACTGTAATTGTTTGTGATATCTATGCAAGATGTTCTTAACCACACTATAAATTTCAATTTGAAATCAAAGATGACTCAGCCTTCATGCTGTATACCAGATATTTCTTCAGCAAGTTGTACTTTATGTTACATGCCAAGGGGTTAAAATGCATTCAGAAGTTAGTGATATAGATTTTGACATAGTGATCAGTTTTTTATTTGGTGTGTGTACGTGGCCTATATGACTTATGACTATATGGCATCACAGTGTAGAAAGGAAAACATTTCCAAAAATATTATATTTTATGTTCCCACAGCAGTATCTGTCTTTGGTGATACTGTACTGCATAGTCTGGTAAAAGTTTACCTGTGTGTCAGAGGTACATGTTGTGTCAGTGTCAAAGAGTGAGGATAGCTCACTCTTCAGCCCTGAAGATCGAAGCAGTGTGTGCCTTCAGAACATTGGTAGTCTTCTACCACCCTACAGAGCATAACATCCCAGAAAATAGTACTCTTCATTTGCAGAAATATAAGTGGTTATAATTCTTTCAGTACAAACGTCCTTTCCATCTAAAACCCCTGGGTTAAAATCTGACTGCAAGCTTGACATTTTAAACCACTGTACCCACACAGTAAAGGGCATAAGTTGTTCTCTAGAAATTTTACACTGTGATGTTAAGTACTTATATAACATTGTAGACATAAAATGCAGTTGTAGTCATTTGATTATATATGCGGTTGTAAAGTGTGAATTGCCTTCTTTTTTATTCTAGGTGTGCCGGCACCATTTAGCTCCACTTCTGTCGCAGGTGCCATTGGACAGAACATTGTTGGATCCACCTGAGGGTTCGCAGCCTCCCCGAATGATAGTGGACAGACCTCTGCCTTCCCCCATGCCGCCTCCTTCAACTCCAGAGAGTAATCAGGGCCAAATACCCGATAAGGCTCCCTCCACACCTAAATCAGATCATGGTAGGACATTGTCTTTTTTATGAGATTCGAATTCTCATGGCCTTGTAGTCTGGCGGAGCTTTAGCAACATCTCTGGGGAGCATATTCCCTCCATCTTTGAAATGCTTGGTTTGCTCTTCAACCCTGAAGATGGAGTTAGTATGTTCATCAGAAACACCAGTAAACTTTGACCAGACTGCATGGCATCACATCCCAGAAGATAGAACTCTTAAATGACTGTTTTTTTATTCTTACTGTGTATTTCTTTATAGTAATATGGATTTGAACCCTACTTACAGAAGCTTTAGATACTGATCATTTGTATGTGAAAACTGAGCTGGGACCATAGAAATTCAATCTTTTCTGGGAGAGATTCTTAAGTCAACATGAAAACTATTCAGTCCAAACACAAAATGCAAATAGAAGTGAAGAAATGTTATATGTATTGGCTAATTCCAAGGAACAAAACCAGAGAGCTAATATCCCTAACAGCCCCTTAAAACTGTTTGGTTCTCTGTGTTTCAGCCGATTTTCTTAACCTTAATTAATCATAAAAGATAATTTTAGAATGGATAAATCGTGTAAGGATTTTCCTTAATGCCAGTTTTGTGCTATTGTGAATCCATGTGCAGACGGTGACAGCAATTCGAACAGTCGCGACCCGTTGATGTCAGGTGGCCAATTGAGTAGTGCGGGTGACAGTAACCATGACGATGACGATGTGGAGCCACCAGCACTGGTGGTTTATCTTGTAGATCCGTTCACAATAGGTAGTGACAGCACAGATCTGCAGAGGCTATCTTGTCTTAGCCTGCTGCGCTGCTTCACCACTGTTCTCTCTGCTATTCCAGAAAGCATACGCAACAACATTAGTGTACAGGTATGTTATATGTTAGTTATGTTTTGTGAATATCCAACATAATAATGAGAAAGCAAGCTCTGTAATGAGGTTGTTGGTGATGTGACAGTAAACTAGTAAGGCTACATATTATTAAAGAGAATTCGTGGTTAAAACAGCTCCAGCCCTGAGAGATGTACCTGTATGTGAATTGCTTCTTGAAGTTGCTGACAGTTAACACTGTAACACAGGGTATGTAATATGGTAAAATGAACATTAAAGCGGCAAGTAATGAATGAGATGAGAGGTTGAAATTCTATAAATCGTTGGCATATCCTGTACATTGTATGCAGTACGATAGAATGGTTATGTTGTGTCATTGCTGCAAGCAAGTAATGTGCATAGACATGATGCATAGCATGTGCCAGTTTCTGTTGTTTGGGTATGTTTTGACCTAATATATGGTCATCATTAGGCCAGGCATTTTACTTTTTATAAACTGCTTTTATTATTATAAATATGTCTTAAATAAGTAATGTAAATTTTATATAAATGCTCAGAATTAGTTTTTAGAATACTGGACAATGAACATCAAAAGAAAACAGTAATTCTGAATGTTATACACCATCGTCAGAACCCTTTATGTTCTATTTATGTAAATGGTTTTAAAACATACACAGTAACAGAGATTTTGGATTTAAAGGTTTGGACTTTTTGGGGTAGAGGGTAGAGAGTTTAAATTTAGGTTTTATTGTATTGGTTAGTATTTTGTCAGATTTCATTGTGTAGATAACGATATGAATTTTTAATGGATGCCATGTGTAAGGAATGCAGCTGTGTCAGCTGGCTAAGGTTTTCATCTTCCAGTCTGCATACCTGTTGTGCAAATGTTTATCTACCCATTCTGGGCACTACATTTTTCCTTATCGAGTCTTGGCCCTCGGCCTTGCAGGAACTTCTTATTGACAGGTTTACTCAGTTCATGTCTGGTATGTCTCCTGTAAAACGTTTTCAGCCCTCTATCTCCTCTTAGGGTTCCGTCTGACTGATGTTAAGTTGCCCAGATCTGAATATCTCTATGTGGGAATGCATGTGGTTGCATCGTGCACCATGCTGTCTCAGCTCAAGAGGTCAGTGTAACTGTTTCTACACTGCACTGTAGGAAAGAAAGAGAGAAGAGATTGAGTGAGAACTGATGGTGATGCACTGCTGTCAGGCTGACTGTGGCACAGTATCTCAGTCTCTGCAAACAGTCCCTCCCCATCCTAAAAATGACACGCAAGTTTGCATGATGTGAAACGGCACATTCAAATTCCCACCACAAAAGGAGCTGTATACCTAACAGACTGTAGAGTGTATTGCAGGTAGAACATCAAGCTAGAAACAGAAATTCTGTGTCCTGGAATTCTTTGCTTCTGGACGTTATTGTGTGTTAGACATGAAATTATGATTTCTGTATAAGAAGAAATGGTAAGTAATGAAAGTTTTGATTGTATCTTTGTAGGGTTAATGTTATAAGTTTCCAATGAGGTCTTCTTGGACAATCAATGAGTGACATGGCTGATGGCCTGAGAAAACTGCATCACAGTCACTCACCATGGAAGTTTCAAACATTCGAAAATATGGTCTGTTCAAAAAGCGTCAGAACTTTTGAAATAGTGCTCCAACTCGAAGTCTTAGCAATGTCAGGTACATTGTGCTGCCCAGTGGTGTGCTTCCAGATTGTCATCCTTTTTGCCGCCGCATCTTTCTGTGATTAGTCATTGCCCTAGAGCTGTTCACTCAGATGCATGTAGAGTGTCATGTCATATTTGAAATATCTGATATCCATGAGAAGCTTATTACCTTTAAATTTTGCTTCAAACTAGGGGAAAACGTTTACAGATGCTCATGAAATGGTGAAAAACTTTTATGATAATCAATGCTTGAGCTGTACACATTGTTATGAATGGTTTAAGTGATTGAAGGATGGTCGGCAGTCAACACGTGATGAGCCACGTTTGGGATGGCCCTCAGCATCATGTGATGGTGCTCATATTGCGCAGGAAATCATGCATTCTGATCTTTTTGTTGACAGTGTGCGAAATAACAGAAGAGTGCAACATAGCTATAGGATCATGTCTGACACCCTTACGACAAAATTAGAAATACATGGGATAGTTTCAAAGTTTGTCCCACAACTTCTTACACAGGATCAGAGGGACAGTTGCTTTACAGTCTGTCAGGAACTTCTGGATCGCACTAGCAAGGATGAAAACTTGCTGAAAAGAATTATAACTGGCAACAAAACACAGGTTTATTGATATGCTGTGGAAACAAAAATGCAGTCTTCACAATGGGTTGGAAAAAAAGTCACCAAGACCAAAAAAGCGCAGCTGGTTCCTCCATCATGTAGGTGCATCGCTACTGATCCATGACTTTTTGGCCAACACAAACACAACTGTACTTCCTTCACCACCCTACTCACCTGGCTCCAGCAGACTTTTTCCTATTTCCCAAACTAAAATCCTCTTTGAAAGGACAACTATTTCAGATGATTCAAGAAATTACAGAAAATTCACAGACAGAGCTACGCGCAATCCCAAAAAAGTCATACCAGGACTGTTTCCAGAAGTTGCAGCATCATGCAGGAAGGGAGTACTTTGAAGGCAGTAAGGTTCACTCAGTTGCAGGCATGCCCGAAGAAAATTATAAAATAAAGTTCCAAAACTTTTTGAACAGACCACGTTTTATAAGTTATTCTGTATATCAACTCTCAGTATACACTTATAATGAAGCTTCATGTGCACATCTGTTTGAATATTACTGCGTTTAATTTCAGAAATGTTGTGATGTACAATTATTCTGTGTTAATAGTTAAATCTAAACTTTCACTAAAATTCTTTTCCTTTTCTCATTCCAATTCACAGAACAAACTCCTATTAGAGACCAAATTGCACATTATAATATTATAATTGCTTTGCAGATGAAACTTTCTTAGCATTCTTTTCTCCCCCTTTGTAGCTCATCTCTCTGGAGAGCATTGTGGAACTGGGGAAGTCACGTAATCGAATCAGGCAGAATGATCACATGCGAGCACAAGCATTCTCTGTGTTTTCTCAGTGCCGCCGCATGCTGACGCATACGTCCAACATCAAGGCACTCACTGGCTTTGGCACAGCTGCCATGGCTGATCTCTTCCTCAAAAACAAAGATGTATGTATCACTTATTTATTTTAAAATGTTGTATTAATGTTTAGTATATTAAGAATATTCTCTACTGTTTAATTCAAGTATTCATTTTTATTGAATGAAGAAGGTAAAATTTATATTTGTTTTTAATCTGTCTAATTCCGTCCTTTATTCTGCTATGTTCTTGTAAAAATCCATTGACACTTAACAGTAAATGAGAATGATATTGCATTTTAGTCAGTTGCTTCAGTTTCAAACTTAGGTACAGGAATGAGTCATGGGGAACATGGTCTGGAGAGTAATGAGGGCTGGGCCATGCCATATCTCAGATGGTTGGTTGCCCCCATCCCACCACAGTGGTCTGGGTTTCATTGTAGGTCAGATCATGTGGGATTTGTGGTGGACATAGTGGCATTGGGGCATGTTTCCTCCGAGTACTTTGGTCTCCTCTGACAATTCTCGTTCCACCAAATGCTCCATGATCATCTGTCATCTTGGGCTGATACAAAATGTTAATTAGTGGCCAATGTACCAAGTGAACTGAGCCTCACTCCACCCCACAGAAACTTCAAAAGAAGAAACAATTGAGACCATATCCATTTTGTTTGTCACCACAGAGTGTGGGACAGACAGGGCCCACTATCTTGCTGGATCCCTCAGTCACCATTACACCCCATCTCAGGATGTTTGCAGCAGACATTTTAGCGTATCTCTGATACTTGAGATTAACAGTTTGGCCAAGACTTTGCACCAACCAATTCACAGTCTGAGAAAGTGATCATTAGGAACTTTAAATATACCAGCTGTTTGTTCTTGAGAATTGCTCATGTAAAATATCTCAGAACATGTGCACATCTGTGTTAAATAGTTTAGCATGTGTGACCAACACAACACAGAATGATGTATGCAAGATAAACTGCTCAAACGAAAGAATACTTGCCCACCACCTGGCTGAAAATAGCCATCTTGTTATCAGTGGCTTCAGTACTGGAGTGCTGTTATATCATTTGGGTTCCTCCTCGTAGTTCATAGTCACAAGTAATTGTACAGATTTTTTTCTTGAGATGCTAGTTATAAGAGTCTTCCACTGGACCTGAACCTGAGCAAGTTCATAAGAGCCTTCTGCTGTACTTGAACCTGGGCAAGTTCATAAGAGCCTTCCACTGGACCTGAACCTGAGCAAGTTCATAAGAGCCTTCCACAGGACCTGAACCTGAGCAAGTTCATAAGAGCCTTCTGCTGTACTTGAACCTGGGCAAGTTCATAAGAGCCTTCCACTGGACCTGAACCTGAGCAAGTTCATAAGAACCTTCCGCTCTACTTGAACCTGGGAAAGTTCATAAGAGCCTTCCACTGGACATGAACCTGAGCAAGTTCATAAGAGCCTTCCGCTGTACTTGAACCTGGGAAAGTTCATAAGAGCCTTCCACTGGACCTGAACCTGAGAAAGTTCATAAGAACCTTCTGCTGGACTTGAACCTGAGCAAGACCTTTCCACTGAACCCTATCCTGAGCAAGTTTCTTGGGCCATATTAGAGGAACAAAAAATTAATAAAAAGAAACCATATCTGGTGATTGTTGTAGTTATTGCTATGAAATAAAGTAATTATTGCTTTTGATTAGAGAAACAAGTCATTAAGTTCTGTAGAGAGGCAGAAATATTAACAGATCTTATCATAACATGTATAGAAACTGTGACCTACTTTGGTGTATTCCTTGTGATAGAAGGCATGAGCTTTCCACATTGTAGTGTAATTTGAACTGTTCAAAATTCCATAGTTGTACGGAGAAGGGGAGTAATAGCTACAGAGACCTTGCAGTTGAGTGTGACCCAAGATCCGGTTTTCTTGCAGGAGAAGAACCGAGCTCCATATCGGGTGTATACACCTCCCTATGTTTTGGCTCCCGTAAAGGAGAAAGCAGAGTCCGGGGAATCATTTGGCCAGTGCAGTGGTGAGCAGTGTTCTGTTCTGTATGTGAGCTACTGCCTGTCTGAAGATCAGCGCTGGCTGTTGGCTGTTGCGACTGATGAGCGTGGCGAAATATTTGAGACTGCAACTATTAACATTGACATCCCCAATCGCATCCGAAGGAAGAAGGCATCAGCAAGGCGCATTGGACTGCAGAAACTGATGGATTTTATCTTGGGTGTCATGTCACAGAGTGTGCGACCGTGGAGGCTTGTTGTGGGTCGCATTGGCAGGATAGGACACGGAGAGCTGAAAGGTGAAGCTTAGTGTAGTTTAGTAATATGCTAGCATATCAGCTTTCAGTTTAACTTACATTTTAAGATAACATTTTTCAAACTTTCTAATTGTGAATCATATATATGTCTTGTCTGCTGTTACAGTATACAAAATTATTCCATCCAAATATATTGTTTGTACATAAAAGAATTGTGTAAGTCTTATATTTATGATCAAAGATTAGGGAGTGGGATTAATATTATTGCTATAAAAGTTTTATCACAAATTTTTTTTGTTGAATAGATAAGCTCTTAAATCAAGAAATTTTTACCTCTGTATGCTTCCTGCCAGTCCCCACCCGAAATTTGTATATAGAAAAACTCTGTTATTATGCAGATATAACTTCTCTGACTTGCATCACATTTTCATTTGCTTTACTCATAGGTGGAGCTCCTAAACACTTTTAACGTCTCACAACTTTTGAACTGGGAAAACCAGTCACAGAGCTGAGTTCTGTTCATTGTTTCCTCTCTAAAAACAAGTTCGAACTCCTTATGGGTTTCTCAAGCATGTTTGCCTAATCTGAAGAGCTTGTTCACATAAATTGTTCTCTGCAGATCGCTGGGGGCACAATACACAAACTGACTTCACAAGTGATGGAAACCATAACTTTGAAATGAATGGCAAATGACTCAGCAGACTCGACTCTGCCTGCTCCTGGTAGAAGGGTTTTTGTCCGACATGCTGTAGTGTCATATTGTGGCCAGTCCAGACAGTAATTTCTCATACCACCCACCTTTACTATTTTATGTGTGTGTGTGTTTATGTAACTTATGCATGTGCACACACATACATCCTTTAATATTTCTCTGCTGTTTGCTTGTAGGCTGGAGTTGGCTGCTCAGTCGTAAATCCCTCCTGAAGGCCTCAAAACATTTGAAAGAGATTTGCGAACAGTGCAGCCTTATGTACCCTAGTGATGTTCCATGTGTACTGAGTGCATGTCTTGTATCGCTGGAGCCTGATTCGGCACTCCGACTGATGCCTGATCAGTTCACACCAGATGAGAGGTTTAGCCAGACATCTGTGAACTGCCAGCTCTCAACACCTCATGATGTGTCTTGCACTCATATTCTGGTGTTTCCCACTTCTGCTACAAGTCAGGTAGGTTGATGAATGCTCATAAACACACAGTTGTGCATTTTCAGAATAGCATTTGTAATAAAACATTGTTACTTTTAAATAAAATGTATCAGTTAATGATATAATGCTGTAACAGCTGTACACAGCGTCAAACATGCTTATGGATTGTGACACAGTATGGACATTGGCTGTGGTGGCAACATTTTTTAAGGAACTACCTACATTATGAGTGTAGAAGAGAAAGGTAGTCATGGAAAAATGGTTCTCAGTGTGGGGAAGGGCAGACTGGGACTTGAGGGTTGTGAGGAAGCCAGTGCAGACAGTCTGGGGAGGTGGCTGTTATGTCAGTGGGTGTAAGAGATGAAGGAAGGTGAGTACAAGAGGTTAAAATGAAACACAATGCAAACAGAATTAAACAACACAAATGGAAGGTAAGGGGAAGAAATTTTGCACACAACAGAAAAGAATTTGGGGGGTGGCGGGGTGAAATGAAGTAGTTCAGATGAAGGAATATGAGTAATATAAGAAAGTAAACAAATGGATAAAGCTACAAGAAGGCAGTGGAGGCACTGTAAGAGGAGGTTTGTTTTTAATGGTGGGGCACATGAATGAAACTAGGAATACATTGCAAGTGTTTCTCACACTAGTGGTTGGCATTGTGTGCTGTAAATGGCTGTGGCATCCTCTCTGCCCTTCAGATGTTGTGCAGATGATTTTGAGTCCAGCATTATGTAGCAGCACCCTTCACTGTTGAAGTCATGCTGAAAGTTGATGGTTTTGCACATGTCACAGCGTAGTGGGGCAGTTTTACTCGTGCTATCATGTTATCAAATGATTGTTTAGTTGTTTCATCCGTAAAGATGGATGGGAGGGTGGGTGGGGGGGCAGAAGAACTGAACATACTTGCTAGATGCTTTTGCAACGTTGCGGGCACTCCTACAAAATGACACCAATGAGCCACAAACAAGATAATCTGCCCATGAATAGGCAGAAGTATACATTGTCATTTCACCGTATACAGTTATTAGTATCAGAATGTAAGCAGTCCATATATTATATGGAGGTCACACTGTGTGTATTCTCCTGGTACTTGCACAGAAGCCCAGTCTGACACTGCACTTCTTACAAAATCAGATGGTAGTCAAACTCACGATTGGTTCTACCATTTCCTTGGACAATCCATATTCTAAATATGCATAAGTAGATCTTAGAATTATCTCCAATTTATTAACATATACCCACTGAGTTTTAATTATAAATTGCCCTTAGTTAATGTTCCCATTTTTCTGTCATTTTAAGGAGTCTGGCTCTCTCCCTGATCAAGGTGAAGTTACTGACTAGTGGCTTGGTGGCAATGTTTATACTTGTAGTTCCTTGCCATAAGACAGTGAGGTATTCTTAACTCTGATTAGTGGACATAAAAACAATATACTCCCCTTTTCAGGCTGCTTTTTAAGGGGGCTGCTAAGATATATGTTTGAAACATTGGAAAAGGCCATAAAAATGCCATTTTATCCAGAATAAATAGTTTTCAGTATATGTCTTGTGGGCTGAATGAAGGTGATAACCTTCTTTCCTGTTGAAGTTGTATGAATTGGTCTTGATTGCCTCATGGATGAATGGCCTGCATTGGATATTCAGACACTGCAGAAAGCTGTGGTTGTTTAAGATGTCTGTAGCTGCACACATTTGGAGTTTTAAGTCCATTAGATTGCTATGCAGAGGTGTAGATGTGCCTAATATTGTGGCAGGTTGGAATTGTACTTGAAGGCTTTATGAGTTGATTGAATGTTTCATTTTCAGTCATCTCAGACAGCGTTCCAGGAGCAGCACATCAATGGACCAGACCTTGGGGATGATGAGTTGTTCTCAGCCCTGAACGATGACATGCCTGAAGGAATTGAGGGCATGCAAGACTTCAATGATATATTCTCATGGCCTGAAACAGGACCTGGGGGTGCTCAGAGCCCTACAGGGAGTCCTCGAAGAGGGGATTCACCATCACAGCCTGGAAGCCCATCTTGTGGAGTTGGTGGTACCTCAGACCAGCATAGTCCCTTTCCTTGCAACGGATCTTCACGGGTAAGTATAATGTGCTTTATGCAGTGAAACCCCACTTTTAATGTTTATTTTTGGGAACAGCAAATTTAAAGTCCAGACTGAGGAGAGTCTTATGTCGGGGCAGTTTAATACCAAGACTGTAGTCTTAGTATCATTGAAATTGAACTTCTCTCTGGATCCACTCGGAGGCTATATGACTCGATTGACTGAGTTCAGTGCAGTTGAACACAGTGGAGTGAAGTTCATTGGTCAGCAATCAGTTAGAGGACTGCTGCAGTTCAGTCGTTGCGAGCTGTTGCTGGTAGCTCAGGCACAGTTATAGGTCGGGAACGTCTGCCATTGGAAGCCGTTACCAGACAACATCTGGTGAAGACAGCAGACTGAAAGTACTTAGTGTGTGCTGTAGTGGGTTGTAAAGTGTGTGATTTATCAGTAGTGCTATAGTTACTTGTAGTTGTGATCTGTAAGTGGTCAGTAAATGTAATTACCAATCCAAACCCCATCTGTAGTCACTCATACACATGACAGTATGTTTTTTAGAAGTAATAGAATTTTAAATTGAAAGGAATCTTGCTGTGAAGCCCAGTGGTGGTCGTGTTCCTTCAATGTAGGTCATCTGTATTGTATTGGTGCTGTGTGGTGCAGACTGTGCTTGTTGTGTTTTGGTGAACATGTAAAGGCTTTATAAATAAAAAACGTTGCTGCAGTTGATATAATCTAATCCTAATCTTACTTACATAATTGACATGACTTATGTGTAAGTTTTGAAGAGTGCTTCACTGCACTGACATGCAGGCTAAATTGCAGTGGTTGCAGAATCCACATATTCCCATAAACTAACAGTCTATGGTGTGTAGCTAGTAATATTTCCATACAAGAAAGTGGTATTTCAGATTTAAATATTAGTGAATCTTGTAACTTAAGAAATAACACTGCATATTATTTATTTTGAGCATACTCTTTTAATATGAGCCTCATTTAAAGTATGGCATACATCCAACCTGTAATTAAACTGTTTCCATGTTTACTCCAACACAGCTTCTCTATTGCTGTTGTAACTCTGATAAGTTGTCCTTTCTATAAGCCTCAAAATGAGAAATGTAATGGACTGAGAATGAGTGTGAAGGGGGGCAAGAAATTGGTCTTCCTTTATCCAAACATTTGCTAGCTTTCTTGGAGAGAAAGGCGAGTGCACAAGCCTCAGTCTGTGAGTGCAGACCACATGCCTCATTTAATTTAAGCATTCAATGGGTGAGCTGGAACCACAGTTTTGAGAGTTAACACATATTTATTCCTGTTATGTGGAATGTAGCTTCATCAAAAAATACGCTTTTGTTCAGATTATCATGTTCTACCATTTGTACACTTCACTGCAGCAGATTCAGAACAACATCTGTGATGTGTTGTCCCATCTGTGTATCATAGGTCATATTGCAGTTTTATTTTCAAAAGCCCATTACAGACAATGGGCAAGGCATACCCAACTCAAAACGTGCTATATTGACATATGTGGAAATGAAAAAAGAATATGAGTGCCTGAGGAAAGTCACTGAATTACTGTTTGGATGTATGCCAAGCTACAGGCAGATCTCATATCAGAATAAATAAAAACATTTGTGAATTGCAATTTATTTTTTAATTATCTCATTCAATAAATATCTGAACCTAAAGTATGATTATATGTTCATTGAAACTCTGCATAAGGCTATAATGCCCTTTATTAATTTTGGACAAATGGTCTTAAAGTGCTTTCTGCTTCTTAGGGTGGTGGAAGTGTTGGAGTGGATACACAAGAGGAGGTTGGGACATTACACCAACAGCCATTAGCTTTGGGCTTTTTTGTGTCCACTGCTCCCACAGGCCGCATGCCCAAGTGGTTCTGGGCTTCTTGTCCACACTTAGAGAATGTCTGCCCAGCATTCCTGAAGAATGCCCTACATCTCCACAGTCCAGCTATTCAGCAAAACTCTGATGATCTCTTGCAGCAACAGTCAGCGGTTACTGTGCATGCTCTCGATTCTCAGTATACTACAGATGTGCTCAGGTAAGGATATGCCGCGCATTGTAACAACAGTCGGCAACTACTGTGCTTGCTGTCCACACTTAGTAGACTACAGACATATTCTTATAAGGATATGCTGCTGATTGAAACAGCAGTCAGCAGGTGCTATGCACACATGAGGCTAGGAATAGTCAAGTCTTGGATTTTTAGTTTGAATCAAGGAAAGAATTTTCTGGTAACTGCACTGGTACCACCACCAGTTGAAAACGTTGACCCAAGATGACAGTGAACCCCTGAACTCTGAATAACTTGAAAGAGTTAATTTTTTGTCATTTTGTCCTCATAACATTGGCTTTTCAACCTCACTGACGAGACATAGGACAACCAAAATGATGATAGAAGAATGAAGACAGTTGTGGGATTCATAGGACCAGACCTTAAAAACCTAATGCTGCACTGTTGTTATCATCGTCGACAGTGGCAACAACGATGATTATTAACTAGTATGATTGCTCTCAAGCCTTTCCTGAATGTCTCTTTATCTCAGTGCCATAGTCACAGGCTTATTAATTTGAGTGGAATGGTAAGGAGAAATGTCTGTGTAGCTTGTTCAGCTCTCTTGTTCAAGCTCAGTTACTTTTCTGTGTTCTTGTCAACCAGTTCTTTCTCCATGCTGCACCATTAACAGTGACCTTTTATATTTCATTTCAAAACCAGTCTCTTTGAATGTTCTTCTCTGAAACTCTTTGTCTCCAGGCAAATCAATTGAAGTCAGCAAGTCTGATTCTTTTAGAATCGAGCTTTAGACTTGTATCATGTGGCATAATTTCTCTCTTCTAACCGCTGCAGCATGTTTTGCTGTTTTCAGATTCCTCCGTTTCTTGGTGAAGGAGCTATATAACCCTCATTCAGTCTTACTGTGAACAGTGGGTGTGGATTTACTTTGTGAATTTGAAGACATCACCATTAATATTCATAATGCACTCCGACATTGTACAACAGAGAAAGGCAAAGCACTGATGATGCTGATGATGCTGATGATGACCTCACAACGTAGACTTTTTCTTTCTCGACGATGAGACCTTATCTTAGTTTGCTGACTTCCCTTGCTTTATGTTAATGTAACCAGGTTACATTGCTGCGTTTGACAGTAAATTGTATAGTGATAGTGGGGCATGGTTATGCATGGCCTACAGTTCCTTTGGAAATGTCAAAAATGTCCACTGGGTAGGCCAAGGATTATGTACAGGGACAAGGTACAGAAATATACAGGATGTAGTCATAAGAATCCACCCCAGTTGGGTATAAATGAAGGTTTGTAGAAAATTGTGTTTAAAAGCAAGACTTTTGTTGTGATGATCTGCAGTGACTGAGAAGCTGTGTCTTGATTTGTTTCAGATATGTTCTTGAAGGTTACAATGCTCTGTCTTGGTTGGCTCTGGACTCGAACACACGAGATCGTCTGTCTTGCTTGCCAGTACACGTGCAGGCTTTAATGCAGCTATATCATGTGACTTCTGCATTAGTTTGACCTTCATAGTTGCATAAGGCAGTGACATATGTCCATTGTTCATGAGGGGCAAAGTTTCGCCATGTATATGGTTGTGCCAAGTGGTGAAAGAATGTCTTAGAAGAAGATAACAGCTTGAATTTCAGCTGGAGGAACAGAGAGTTACCCACAAGAGTGTCTCAGCAATAAATCTGTTGTTACAGTATAGTTGTAAATTTCAAAACATTGGTGATGGAATGTGACATTTGAAGCCAGTATATAAAATGAAGAGAAACATGCAGGTCGGTGTTGACTCCCCCCCCCTTTCCCAAGGAAACGACAATCCTGGTGAAATGATTATGACATCCACATTGTTTGCTGGAAAAATATCTGGATATTATCCTTTATAAATACAGAAATATTATTTTTGTGATTGGCATGCTAAACTCTAGCCAAAGATTCACAAAATATGTACATCCGTGTATTTTGTGGAGGACATTAGGAAGAAAGCAATCAGTCACTGAAAACTTACCAAAGGAAAAGTAATCCATTTTATCTTTCTCTGTTTTGTTTATGAAATGTGATGGGAATGAAATTTAAGTAGAAAAATTGTCTAGTTTAATTAATAGTTTTAAAAAACTTTTTATGTTATTTATTCTTTAGATGAAGTTGAGCATACAGTGTAATCACTAAAAAATGGAGTGGCATTTAAAGGTAGGGGGCCAAACCATTTTATGACGAATGCTGCCAAGCCAAGATGGACTGAATCCATTAATGCATATTTTAAATGTTAGATGACATTTTGAATTTGTTGAAACTGGTTGTGAGATGTTGTGGGATGTTACATGATGATTGGAAGGTACTGCAGAAGGTGTGTTCTCAATTTGGGAAAATTGTGATTTATTGTAAGAGATGCAACAGTTGTCTATCGCAATGAAACTTTTATTTCCTGTGATATAGTACTTCGTCTCGTGATCATCAGCCAGATGGAATGCATCGGTGATTGTTGTGTCCAGCCCTCTTCCAGATTGTCTTGAAAGGAAGGAAAAAGTACAGACAAGTGACAGAGCCTATTCATAAAATCCAGACCACCTAAGTGAATTTGTAAAGACATTATTAGCGTTTTATTTCTTCAGTTTTTACATAAGTTAGGGAAATGGGAAGTCTTGTATTATAACTACAGTATATAAATATACATATAACTTTATATATATATATATAATTATCTATATATAAAAACAAATTATATATATCTTATATTATGAAATAGTACAAACTGTTGCTCGATGTTGATCGAGTAATTAGTTAACCTCTTCAGTTGGAGTGTGTCTTCTCTTGTACATATTAAATATTAAGAGGCTGCTTGAATGGATAATTGTGTGTGTGCTCACATTTCAGTGCTGTTCTTTGTGTACATTTTGTACAGATAATGTCTTCTAGTTAAAAAAAACGTGTAATATTGTTAAATAGGTTGATGGAGAATGTCATTTCAGAGAGTTGGGGCATCACAGTTTGTATATTTTAAATTTTTTTTAATAAGAAAAGACTGGACATGAGCACAGAAGTTCAAGTTTATGTGCAACTGTTACGAAGTTGAGTGATGAAATTCAGATGTATTTGTCACTTTTTTTAACCCTGTTCCTCTATAAAATCTCCTGAAAATGAAATACAGTTGTAGATTATGATTGTGGACTCATTTGGGTGATGTGCCATGAATGAAGTGTAACACAAGTGTTTCCTGATAGTGAAAAGACCGACCAACGTAGAATATGTTGCAAAGAATTATTTATTTTGTATATATATAACATACATAATGCAAGAATTACATGGTTGGTCTCTTTACATGTGTACAGAAGATCATGATCCTTCTCCCCAAGAATGAAATGTACAAAGATTAGAATCCATCAACTCTGTTATGTAATCACTACAGAACGGGGGTAGTGGACTTGTTGAGAATACATTTTATGAGGAGCAGAGGCAGTCACCAAAGGTGGCTGTACTCATTCCTTTTTGTTATTTGAATATACATGATTCTTTTACAGTTATCAGTTAACCCTCTGTGGTAAAAAATTGTACATAGTTATTGCTTCTTTGTTGCCACGGGCATAAGGAGTACAGTATACAGTTTTATTCCTTTCTCCCATTCCTGCTCGGCCCTGTTGCTCAGGTCTAAAGTCATAATGTTGCACCACTGCAGGGATTAACCAGGAATTGGAATTGAACCAGTTATTATGAAAAACATCCACTTTATGAAAAATAAGAGTTCTTTATGAAAAAGTAGTTTTATTAAAGTTAAAGGCTACTGAAAATACTAGGTTCCCTCCCTCCCATTTTATGGTATTCATCTGACTGTTTAAGAAGAAAGTGAGGGTTGTTTCCAGTTCTGTAGTGAAAGGACATTTTTCAGGATTCAAAGGCAAAACTTAAAAATAAATTCCAACATTCTAAATGAAAAATAATGTCAACAACTGTGACATTCAAACTTTTTATACATGTATTTACTGTGGTAACGTAAAAAATTTCATACAGAAAGAAAAAATGTTTTTGTTATCGACATGTGCTCACCGTTTGGAGGCTGCATAAGGCAAACAACCTTGGACCAAATAATGGCTGAGTCCCTTCACACAACACTCCTTCCTCTGCATGTGACGCCAATCACTTACACATACATACATACAAACGTGTATATATGCATATATAAATAAAATATGAAACAGGCATTTGTTACATGAAGACATCATATCTTACCAAAATATTTGTTTTGTGCCAGTGTTGGCATATTTACATGAAGGGACAGTAGCCTCTCTAAAACCCTGCCGTGTCATGTCACCAGAGCATCAAACTTATCTGTGTTGCTTAGCCACACAATACAACATCAAATGAAATTTTGAAAATAATGATTATAGTATTTATTACTTGGGTAGTAAAATCATGGGATTTATATTATTATTATTATTATTAATTATTATTATTATTAAATAATACAGTTTTATGTGTATAGAGAAATGATGAGCTTCTTTTTGTGTGAATATTTTCCAATTCCTAGGACCCTAAAACACAAATAGCCTTATTATTCCCATTATTCATATTCACCCAAAGGTATGAAGCAAATGTTTTGCTTGTTAGATTTGAGGTGACAACAAAGGGGATGATTCGGGTCGTAACACTGTGTAGTTTGCTGTCTTGCCAACTGTTGCTGGTTTCTTGCTTGGCTCGCCCTTCACCTTGGAAGATGAACATGATATGTTCCTCTGAAATGTTAGTGGACTTCTGTTATACATGTTGTTATCACCCAAATCATCATACCTTTGTTGTATCTTTTGCTGACATTGCATACCTCCCCTATTCCCTGTCCATCCTTCTCCTTTTTAGTTGGAAAACATAAAAAATCCAATTGAAGCGCATAAGATTGTGGAAAACAAACTATTACGCGCTGTGTTTTTGTATTTGTCAATAGATGATCTCCTTTGATTCATTTAACCATTGTTGTCTCATATTAACATCTACTGTGGAGCTGGCAGCAAGATTTGGATTGAAACAGTGCAATGATGGGCTTGCATATAGTTCAATGCATTGATAATAAAATGTAAGAAGTAATAACAGACATTGTCAGCAGTAACCTGTCATGACTAAATGATGGACAAAGCAGTAAGAAATACTGTTACTTGGTGTGGTGATGTATTACATAGCACAGGGAGTAAATAATTCTTAAATTACGTATAGGTATTTATTTGACATGACCACCTCTGTGGTCTAGTGGTCAGAGTTCCTCGTTACAGATCCAGAGGTCCCAGGTTCGATTCCCGGTGCTGCCAGATTTTCTGAGAAGTGTGGAATGGGTCCACTCAGCCTCATGAGGATAACTGAGGAGCTACTTGGATGAAAAAGTAGTGGCTCCAGTCTAGAAAACTGAAATTAACGGCCAGGGGATTCATTGTGCTGACCATGTGACACCCTCTATCCACTAAAATTGACACTAACTTCACTGACAAGCAGTGGTTCCTCAGTCGGTATAGTTCACTTGCGGACTAAAGCCATGGTGTTAAAAAAAATTATTTTGGCATAAATATATTGTGACATGATGCCTAAGGGACAATAACAGAACCATAGGAGATGTCCATTGCTAGGCAGTGGCCTGGTAAACTTCCCGTGGCATCAAATAGACACACAACAATTGGAGAGTTGTTGAAAGTGGTGTTTTCTACGTGGTCCATGCTGAGACTATATAAAACAAGTACCAGTGGAACAAGCCAGTGATGTAAGGTAAAAAACGGTAAAGCTATGCCTGTAACAGGTCATGGAGGCCCATAGGGTTGTGAAATGTTGATGCTTCCACATGTTCTAGACAGCTCAAAGGTGGCGGTGAGGTTGTCAGCCTTACATGCTGACCGCCCTTTACCACAGAAGATTCTTGGTACTCATTTCTATTAGAGGCTGAGTCATACTCAGGGCCATAATGCTGCTGGAAGGATTAGGTCAATTGAGATATCCAATGACCTCACTGGGAAACAAACCCACAATCTTCCGGCTTGTAGCATATTGCCCCAACACCACTATGTAACCCCCTCCCCCCAAGTCATGAGACTAAAATATGGTTGTGAGCTGTGCAAGACTTAGAACCAAGAATGACTGCTGGCAAGGGCTAGCAGCAATTTACCTGACCCAAAGGCAGTCAGTGAAGACGTAGCATGCTGCGAAGACTTAGTGTGTGCTGTAGTCATGCAGGGCAGATGACCATATTTTTCTCTCTCACAACTCAGTCAGTGCAGAGTAATGAGACAGGAAAATATCATCATGGGTCCCACAAGGCCTGGAACCATGAATGACTATGCTGGGAAAGGCCAGCAATAATTTACCCAGAACTGAAGTCGCTCAAGAGTTGACAAGTCAGTGGTTAGCCATGACATGGATGTAGAGGAATCTACACTGTTAGAAGCTGATACCAAGAATTTGCTAGTAAGTTCATAACAGACAGAGGACTTCTGTGCTGCAGTGATCTGTAGAGTGTGTAGATTAGTGAGTGTTATAATTATTTGTAGTTCTGTGTCATGAACATCAAAGAAAGTCAGTAATCAATACAAACCCTGTGCATAGTCAACATGTGACACTCAAGCCTGTGCCTAGTCTAGAACATATGATCAGAAGTAGAAAGGGACCATGGACATTTGATATGTTGTTAAAATTAAATTAGGCTGTTCAACGTTCCTCCTAAAGAGACAGTGATATGAATGCAAGACGGTTACTTAGTGTCGCAACCATACTAAGGAACATAAATTATTCGGCATGACCATTAAGATCCCCTGGTATACTTAAAGATACCGATCGATAACATTGGTGCACGTGGCTAGGAAGGGTTAGGTTAGGACGTTCTGATCGTTCTGATGCTCATATGCTTTGCGTTCTTTACCACTGTTTCCTAGTCAAATAAGAGATGTATTACAGGGATTGTGCTAAGAAAACAAATGAAAGCACGTTATAAAAATTTGAAACTTTATGTCGCTTACGTATTCTGATGCTACCGCGGCGAATATAGGCATTTGAGGTTAGGATAATTTGATGAAATGGAGAATATGTTAACACTCGCAGAGACCCTGTGTAATAATTGTTTCCTAGAAGTGATGTTTAATGAACTGAATATCAAAGTTTAAAATGACTCTCATAGATTATTTCGCGTCGTTGTCAGATAATCCGTATTTTGGTGCAGGATTTGGGTTATTTGGACTTGGGGCAGGAGCAGCCGTACTGAGGAAGTGTTTTCAGGGCTCACTTATTTTATTCCGTCGGCATTATATGATCACGTTAGAGGTGCCGTGTCGAGATAAAAGCTACCAGTGGCTCCTTCAATGGATTACAGAGAAAGGCGCCCGACAAACACAACATCTCAGTGTGGAGACTAGTTTTGAACAAAAAGACACGGGACAAATTAAAACAACATATGATTTCATTCCCAGTGTAGGAACACACTTCTTCAGGTAATATTTGCATTGATGGTTACAATTTTTTTTTATATTGCTAGTGGGGTGGGACTAAGTCCCTTGTTCTGCGGCCACTTCTGGCCTATTGTACCAGCCCCAGATGATAGGTAAGGGTGATTGTTGAGCAATTGGTGGAATGAAGATTGGCAGGAGAAACCCAAGTACTCGGAGAAAACCTGCCCCAGCGCCACTTTGTTCACCACAAATCCCACTTGACCAGACCCACGCTGCCACGGTGGGAAGCCAGCAACTAGCCCCTTGAGCTATGGTGCGGCCTTGATGGTTACAATAGTTTGATGTAGAACCACAGCTGAAAATAATTTTGAAACAGCATGAAGTCCAATATCTCTGTGGTTCACTGTCTGGCACTGCCAGTGTATGGGCTGTATAGTATCAGTAAATTATATAATAAATTTTACAGGATTCAAGATACTTAAGGGTGATTTCTGTTCTGTCAGAAAATGTAATCTGAGAGGTTCATGTTATCACCAGAATGTCTTTTTGTTACAAATTCCAGTCATAAAGTACAGAAAAAAGAAGTTTGTTAATTGATTCAAACACTGATTGCCCTGGCTTGATTTAGGAGGCACCCCCATGGATGATACACCATCTATCCTTAGTGTAAATTAGTTCTTTATAGTGACATATGCAACATTATGTTCTATAAAATTCACTTTAAATTTTATCACTACATGTTTCAACCAATGTGGTCATCATTAGGTGTTAAAATTACTGGATGAGGAAACTGCTGTCTTCTGTTTCCTTGCTTGTGTTATTAATATATAAGTCCCCTAGATGTGCATGTGTGTTTAATTTGGTGGGATGTGTTCCATCTGTTGTGAGTGGGAGGACATGGAAAGAGGGGGGAAGAAAATTGTGTAATGAGGAGCTCCATAACTTGTATTCTTCACCATATCAATTGGAGGGGTCAAGTCAAGGAGGATGAAATGGGCAGGACATCTAGAATGCATGGGGCATGTAGGATTTTGGTGGGAGAGCCAAAAGGAAAGAGACCACTAGGGGGACCTAGATATAATATTATAATATAAAATAATATTAAAATAATAATATTATTAAAATGGATCTTAGAGAAGTATGATGGGGTGGTATGGACTGGATTGATCTGACTTATGATAGGGACCAGTGGAAGGCTCTTGTGGACATGGTAATGAACTTTCAGGTTCCATAAAGCATTGGGAAATTCTGGAATAGCTGAGTGACTGGCAGCTTCTCAAGAAGGACTTCTCCGTGGAGTTAGTTAGTTCAACAAGGCCACATTAACTGTGGTACAGTTACTGCAGGGCCCTGTGGTCTTCTGTAGCAGAACAGTTGTACCTAAAGTTCATGTTACATTTCATCCCCCTGAGGTACACCTCATATAGAAACACACTGCAAGGTTATGTGTATAGTAGTGATCAGAAGGTTGCCTCTAAAAATACATGTGCTGGGGCCCCAGACTAACTGAATCCAGAGTTTTTGCTGGTGAAGACACCATCCAGAGCAGTCTAACCTAAATTAAGCTAACATGACATTGACTGAAAACTGCATAAAGAATAATAAAATAAATTAAACCAAATGAGACCTGACTTGTCTAACCTAATGCTGAATCCCATTACATATGTTCTGTGTTAGCGTCACTGAATAATTCTGCAAAATGCACAGCTTACCTATTATGACTGGGTATAAATGTCAAACCAGCACAGAATGAGAACCAGTTTTATTTATTAATGTAAGTGAACTCCTATAGTGACTATACACGATGGTCAACACAAGTTTTTGCTCTCACAATATAACTTTCATATGATGCAGGTATGGAGGAACTTGGATTCGTGTCGAGCGCACAAGGGAACAACAAACACTTGACCTTCATATGGGGGTGCCCTGGGAGACCGTCACTCTTACAGCATTTGGAAGGGATAAGCATATGTATTTCAGTATATTGGAGGAAGGTATTTACGTAGTGTATATAACTATTGATCAGTTAAATCTGGCCCACTCAGATTCCAGGCAGCAGCTCACAGTAGTGCCTAAAATGTTTCTGATGGCTGTTAGAATTTTATTTCTAGTATGATACTGCTGGCATTTCTTCCGTTCTGCTATACCTTTTCTAATATATCATTTAAGGTTGCCATGGAAGGGCCATTCTAGGCCTACACCTTATGCATTCATTCCTGCTTTCTGTGTTGTTATCTAGGCTCTTTTCTACTTTATTGTTTTCCATCCCCTTATATTTGTCCATATCATTCATCTCCCCTTTCTTTCCTCCTTCTCCTTCACATTGACATAGTTCCATTGAAAGTGGTCTGCCACTTGCTCAAACAATGCTGAACAGATGGGCCACTTTATTGTCTCCTGTCCAGTTATAGGTGTCATTGCTCGCTAGGTGGACAGGGTATCTAAATACAAGTATATATCTGGTCACATCACTCAATTTCCTTTCCCCCAAATTAGTTTGACAACAAGGAAAAGAAGAATGTAATTGTTGAAATAAATAATCTCTTAACAAGTACCAGACATACTTGAAGGTATTTGCTAGCAGTATATACATAACACAACAAGAAAGAGAACAGTCATTGGTTGTTAACACAGAATTGGTGGCTGAACCTACCGTTAGCAAACTGTGGTCTACAAATGAAGCCCTGGTAAGGGTATCCCCCATTATTACTTCACAAAACAAGTGACATGCACACACGCATGCACGTGTGATAACGAACTTACTTGCTTAGTAGCAAAAGAACTGCATACAGTACTTATGAATGTAGTTGAACAGGTAATCTAATTGTTCTTGAAAAATACTGTCATATATCTAGGGGTGTGTGATTATAGATGGGATATTGATTGGTGAATTGGGTTTATTGACCACTTGTATACACCGCTCAGAACTGCACTTTACAGATCATTGACAGAGACTAGTGTCCTCCGTCTATTACAGTCTGCACTAGCTGTTTCCTGGCAACAGATTTAACTCAGTGGAGATTCTTGAGCTTCCGTGGTCACACTGTTGCTTTCTTGTTAGCACTCCGCACCTGAACTCATAGTGCCATCGTCTTGTCCTCCCCTGCATAGCCCAACTCTCAAGTCACTGCTCACTTGGAACTCTGAAACTCGACTGCCATATCTCAACTGAATTCTTCTTTATACTCACTTTGCATGGGCCAAATAGAGAACACCATTTTCAACAGTATCCCTACTGTTGTAGGCTTTTACCAATCCATTGCTTAGAAACAGGTTGCATAACCCTCTCATTCTGTTGTTACTTACGTGTATATTGTGGGCGTTACTTATCAGTGGCCACCTTTTACAGAGTCACTGCTTAGCAACAGTTCTGTACACCACAATACAATACAGAAGCAACAGGCTTATACATTCACATAGAAAATACAGCAGGCTTCCCCCCACNTACCTCATTGCATGCTGTTGTGTCACATTACTTTACCAGTATCCACGCAGCAGTGTACAATAAAGGCCCCCCCTTCCTGGCACTCCAACTGGTGACAATCCAAACTTGAATTTCAAAAACCACATTACATAGTATTTAGAGCAAGCCCAAGAAAGGGAATTTGCATGTGCACTGTTTGAAAGTTCTTGATGGAGAGAGAGACTAAGAACATCTCCACAACAGGTTTTACCATTCCAAGCTCAGCAGAGGGATAAAAGTGGTTGAAAGGATACATATGAGAGTGGCATGTTTAGGGTAGAGAGAATGGGAGTATGATGTCAAAGAAGGCATGGAACATAGGAATTACGTACACGTATCTCTGTGAGCTGGAAATGATGCTGTGTGCCTAACCCCTGCCTACATTCTTTCTTTCTCATATCTCTTCCATACCTTTATCCCTGTCCTTCCTTTCTCTTATAGTCCTTTCAACTCCCTTTTATTTGTCCATCCTGTTTTCCTTCTTCTCCCCATATCCCCCAGATTGACAGGAACTGGCCATTTTTATATGTTTATATGGTTGTTTTAGTTGTCCTTTTGATAATATAGATGGGGCCATCTCATGCTTGAGATATTTCATTGGTTATTGTGCCTCCTATTTTTTGGAGCTGGCTCCTACATTTATAAGAAGTTTGAGCAGGTTGCACTGAGGTTGTGCCTGCAGATTGTATTTAACACTTTTAAGTATCTATACGTGTTCTACACCTCTTAGACCTATGTGTATCCTTCATTTCTGTCCAGCAAGACAGATGGCGCTAAGGAAGCATGAAGGAAAAACCATCATGTACACAGCAATGGGTTCAGAGTGGCGACAGTTTGGTCATCCACGCAAGCGGCGGCCAATCCAGTCAGTGGTCCTGGACACTGGTGTAGCAGAAAGAATATTGTACGATGTGAAGGAGTTCATAGCAAATCCAGGCTGGTATAGTGACAGAGGTACTGTGTGTTTGTCTTCTTATTAATACTGATGAAGGATGTTCACATGCTACACTAAAACCTCTCTAAAACAGAAAACTACCTATATCAGAAAATATTCTAGTCTAAAGAATGTACAGCAACAGTGCAAAGTTTTAACTCTAGCAAACAGAAAATTCTTAAAACAGAAACACTGAAACACAAGAACCTCCTCCTTCTGATATCATTTGTACAGGTTCATGGATGATGACTAGTCACCAGTCTCTTCCATTATGTACACTGTCTTTCATTTTAAGCTAACTAACCAAAGTCATGGAGCTGAACCCTTCTTGAGAAGCCACCAATTGTGCATCTACTCAAGAACTTCCCAGCATTGTATGGAACCTCCACCCACCTACACCTTGATCTTCCCAGTGGTCTCTTTCCTTCTAGCTTTCCCATGAATATCTTATATGCATTCATCTTCTCCAAATTCATGCTACATGCCCTGCCCACATCATTCTCCTTGACTTGATCACTCTAATTATACTTGGAGAAGAGTACAAGTTTTGTAGCTTCTCATTATGCAGTTTTCTCCAACCTCCCATCACTTCATCTCTCTTCAGTCCATATATTCTCAGCATCCTGTTCTCGAACACCCTCAGTCTATGTTCCTTCCTTAAAGTCAGAGACCAAGTTTCATACCTATACAGAACCACAGGCAAAATTATAGTTTTATATATTATTTCTTTCTAGCATACTTTCCTTAATTTAAGAAAAATGAAAGGAGGCTTGTAAGGTCACCTTGATATCTGTGTCTCCATCCCCCCCCCCCACCTGAAAGCTATAATTGTTGCACTCTATTGTGGCTGTGGTAGTATACATGCAACACACAAAAACTACCACAGCCACAATAGAGTGCAACGATGGCATTCTGATCATGATATAGTGCTCAATATTGACATGCATGGAAGCACAGTGAACAAGTATACAGTGCAGTGGTCTCCCCAGAAGAACGGAAATTACCTGATGATGACCTGTGTGGCCAAAACATGTCAAAAAGTAGAACAAATATATGACTAGAGACATTTTAGAAAATTGGATAATCACTTTTAATGTATAAATTATGCTTTTAACAACATCAAAAAGTGTTGAAATACATTTCTAGTATGAAACATATTCCTAATGTGTTTTAAACTGTTGCATTAATGACAGATACTTTGATAAGAGAGGATGATTCCAACAGATAGGAAATGGTTAATGCTTTGTAGAAGGTTGAGCTGTACTGTCTGTAATCTGCTTACATTGCTCTTAGACAGTGTTCATGTTGCTGTTGCTTATGTTGAAATAGGCAGACAAGTAGATACCTCTGTGATGTTCACTTGTGTTCATGCCTTCTTAGAAGAGAGAGCCTGAGAGTGACCTCATCCACTTACATGCAGTTCTCATATTCGTCAGGTATCCCATATCGCCGAGGGTACCTGTTACATGGCCCACCAGGCTGTGGTAAGTCGTCATTCATCACGGCACTGGCTGGTGAATTGGAATTCGGTATTTGTGTGCTGAACTTAAGTGAGCGAGGTTTGACAGATGACCGACTTAATCACCTCTTGAGCGTAGCTCCACAGCAAAGCATCATTCTGCTGGAAGATGTGGATGCAGCATTTGCTAGCAGAGAAGAGAATGCCCAAGGTCAGAATCACTTAGTACACCAGACATCTGAAACCTGTGACCTGGTCTCAGGGGATCATATTTCTTTGTTTGTTTAGTTTTTGGGGGGCCTGCAAGCCTGTATTGTTTTCTTTAGAAATAGGTTAATTTTTTATATTTATTAGTTCTTTCATTCCCATATCTGAGGTTGCTCATTTACAGTTGCTTTGGCCAAACGGTCATGTCCAACCAAGGTTGATTAGTAGTGTGCCATGACAAGACAAAATATTACTCTTTCTAAATGCACTTCAAGTTCATAGTCCTGTTCTCTTTTGTAGTTCCTCAAATGAATCTAAATTGTTTCATATTCATTTTCTCACACTCCAGTATTGCAGACTGTAGATCTAATGCTGGGAGGTGAGCCACATGCAGAATTAAACACTTGTAGATATTTGTTCTGTTCCTCATTCGGTTTCATGAAATGACCTTTGCGCAGAGGAAATCCAGACTATAGATTACGGTATTGAATTTGCACATGCAAAGTGAGTGGTGTTACATTATTGTTCAAAAGTACCTATGTTTGTGAGCAAGTGTTTTAGACAGTCAAGTATACTTATCAAAACTGACAAGCAGATGTTGTAAAGTGAACTGAAAATTACCTCCTCATAAAATGAGAGTAGATATTTCTGACGCGGCAGAAAGGAAGTGGTGCCAGATGTCACATTAATGGTTAGCAGTTTAATCTGACATACCTACCAATGAATTCAGTGGATTCTGTTAAATGAAATTAATCATGAATGATATTAATATAGTATAACTTGAAATCTGCCCAGAGTGAAGTTCACTTTTTTTTGGCATGGTCTACTCTGTAAATGTTGCACAACCCTGTACCATAAAGTTGTCTCACTAACCCTGACTGCCACTAATTACAGTCTGATTTCACATCCCTCTTCTTTCAGTAAAGGCAGCATATGAAGGTTTAAATCGAGTCACTTTCAGTGGGCTTTTGAACTGTTTGGATGGTGTGGCTTCCACAGAGGCTCGTATTCTGTTCATGACAACAAACTACATAGACAGGTAAGTATGAGACATTTGAGGTTCTTACGGTGGCCAATATGAATATTGTCTTCTGGAGTGTGATGCCAACTAGTCTGCTGGATTGGTTCCCCCCAGATTTTGGTACTTTCTGCCAAACTACACGGAGTCACACTCCAAAAGACAGTAATCATCAAATTAAGAGTTCTTAAGTCATTTATTTGCTTAGTACTACAAGTGTCAAGTGACCCTTTACACAAATTACAGTATCTAACAGCAAGTGACATTTGTTGGCATTTTAAAGGAAAGTTCCCCTGCTTATGGAAGTTACAATAAAGAAGAGCAGCTCTGATAACCTAAAATGATGATTTGGCACTTTTCAGCTGCATGCATGCCTGTCACTGATGGATGTGTTCAGTCCCTTGTATATAGAACTGCTTGGGTGTCTAATGATCAGGGACACTGTCCAGTGGCTGATGTGGACAGCTGCCCAGGGCTTCCTGTGTTTAGGGCATTCCACTGTGCATGTGCTAGTACCGGATTCTTAAACTTTCCCAAATATATCTCAAATATATTTGCAGACTCTGACTTTTTGAAAATGAATGATAAACTTTAATATCATTGATAATTTTGTAATAGAAACAAAGTCAAAAGGAAGTTCCATTGCAATTTTCAGCAAGAAAATTATGTATTTATTTACAGAATTTAAGAAATATCCTTAATACCTAGTTCAATTTGTAAATTAAATTCATACGTCTGGGCAGTGGAAGTCCACCTGCTTCTCTTAGTACCTTTGGCTATATATGTTTAACATTTTTCATGCAATATCCACTTCTCCCAAAACAGCAATAAGTATTTAAGTAGGCCAAATCAGAGTGAATGCCAAGGGATTCAAGGAGGTTCTGCTGCATTTTGTAGGTCCCATTGCTTATAGTGTGGTATGTCTCTTCCAAAGGTTGGATCCAGCTCTTATACGTCCTGGTAGAGTTGATGTGAAGGAGTTCATTGGTTACTGTAGCCGTGAACAGTTGGAATTGATGTTCCTTCGTTTCTATCGGGGTGAAGAATCAGCAACTCTTGCATCATCCTTTGCAAATTCTGTTCTTAAATTTAAGAAACCTGTTAGTCCAGCCCAAATTCAGGGATATTTCATGTTCCATAAGGAGAACAAAGAAGAAGTTCTCACGAATGTGGACAAAATATGGACACTGTCATAGGAGTCAGTAATTGTGAGTAAACTTTTTTACATTTCTTAATATAGACTGAGTGAATGTGGAGTAATTTATATATCAGTTTTAATAAAATTGTATCTTAAAAGAGTATGTATTTTCATCCCACAATCAGCTTTTTTTTCAGTGATAATTTGCATTGGACATCAGGATGAGAAAAAAGGGCTAGCAAGAATCAAAATGGAATTTTGGAATCTGGGTCTGTTTCCATCCTCAATTGATGGAGTGGGAAACACCTATGCTCTTCGGTCCATTAGAAACAGCTAACCTCAGTCACTGGATCACTGCTATGCTATGCCATGCCAAGCTAAGCCATGACCTAGGTTGTCCAGTGATTGATGTTAGCTCTTACTAATGCGGGTTTTCTCTGAGTACTTCAGTTTCCCCTGCCAATCTTCATACCACCGAATTCTCCATCGTCATAATCACCTGGGGCAGGCTACAATAGGCCAATCAGTGGCCGCCGTGCCAAGTGGATCCAGTTGGACTCCACCCCCCACTAAGTGAAATGCACCCAGCAGAGTAATAGTCTCCCACCACCTCACCTGAGGACAGAAATAGATCCAGTTTCTGAAACACCATGTTTTTTAGAATACCAGATGATGGACAAACTCTGAAAACACAGTAATCCGAAGTGTTATGCACCATCATCAGAACCCTTTAGAATCTACTGCAAAACTGTAATATTTGAATTTTAATAACAATAATTTGTATATTTTTGACATTTGAAGGTTGAAGTTCATCTAAATTATATTTAAAATGTAGTTCCTACCTAACAGAAAACATGCATTTCCATTATAAAAATTAATCACATAATGCTGTTTGTGGAAACAATTGCTGCTTACTGTGAAAATCATATAAAGTAATAAATATAATGTGTGGGCAAAATGAAGATTTCTTTTTACGTAATGCCTTAAAGCATCAGTGAAGTAGCCCACAGTGCTTCAAATTCTGTCTTAAAATGTTAAAAAATATTTGTCTGGCCACTCACAAAAGAAACTACAAAATCAAGTTTAACCTTCCAACTCAATAACAGGAACTTAAGTTTAAAGTGGAGGAGGATCTGTGAACTCCCTGTTTTCATTCAAACAGCAAAGTCATCACGAAACAAGAAACACGAAAACACACAACTAACATTTAGAAATATTCAGCAAAATTCTTATAGGATTAAGAACATAATTTAAATGTAGCGCATAAGAGAATTGTTTCGATTATTTATATAAATTAATATAGAGAAATTTTTTAAGAATATTTTTTTACTGTATACTGTAAAAACATTTAAGTGAAATAGCTAAGGCAGAATAGATGGAGTTGAGATGTTGATATCAGATTGTTAATAACTGTGTTTTACTTGCTATATCTTCTTCTTTGGTCCTCCCTTGCCACCTTTACCCTTTCCCTTTTTATCTTTGCCCCTCTTGCTCTTCTTGTAAGGCCCAAGTCCTCGCCGAACCATAGTGCCTCGCCACCAAGCTTGGATGATGGTTGCCATGCGGTACAGGAAGGCCTCATGTGCTGCTTTAGCTGCTTGTTTTTCCTTGTATGCCAAGTAGGCATCTATTTCTTTTTGGCGCTCCTGATACTATTTAGAAACAAACACATGAACGGTGTGAGATTTGATGTTCTCACAATAGTGAGTCTAAGATTATAATTTTCTGGGATGTGACATGTGTAGTCTGTCCTCCGAAACACTGGTACCTGTCTAGCAGGCTACATGGCAGCACAGTAACAGGGAACCATATCTTAATCTAAACTGAGTTTTTCCTGTTCCTAAGAAATACAAGGATAATTAAAAAAGAAACATTTTACTGTAACATGCTTTTAAGGCAGAAGTTGTTTCTCTTTAGCCTGCTTTCCTTATGGAAAAAAAAATTAGGCTTATAAGGTCACCATATTGTGGCATGTAGACCTGTTGCTAGGCAATGAACAAAAAAATAAACAACTACACAATAGGGTTCCCATAATTAAAAAAAAAACGGGACATTTTCATTTTCCCCCTAAAACTGGGACATTGGGTAAAAAACATGACAATAAAAATTAATAAACACAAAAATCAGTGATACATTATACATTAAACACTGATAAATTTAAACATACAAAAATGAGCTCAAAATTATTAATTTAGAAACATGACACAAAAAAATATGTAGGTCATACTCTGTGAAAGCTTTCCCAGATTCACCGGAATATTTATCTGATTTGTGAACCTGTTCCAGAAACACTTTTTCTTTCGATATTTGGGAAAGGAAGTCTGAACAAGAGAAATCTTTAAAGTAGGTTTTCACTCTTTCTATTTGAAGTTATTTTTTTTTCACCTGACCATAACGCATTTGTTATTGAGAAAACACGCTCAGTTTGTATATTAGATTCTGGCAGTGCCAAACAAAAACTAATTAGACATGTCATGTTAACAGCATTTATGTTCTCCTCTGTAAATGAGACAACATTTCACACCACTTCTCAGTAACGTTTTGGTAATTTTTTTTATTCTACACTTCCGATTTCTTTTGCGACATTTTTGCACACGTGAAAACTCATCGAACAAGTGATCTTCATTCAGTGACAACTCAGGTACCATAGGCTTCATGAAAACAGTTAACTTGTACACTGTTCCAAGCCACCTTTTCACTTCAAATTGATCCAATCCATAGGCTGAAAAGGCATAAGAAATGTCAAACATCATTCCTGAATATATTCAGTGTAGGTATCATAGAAGCTTTCTGCATAGTTATTAAACTTTTCAATGGTTATATGTCCTTCTCTTTGTAGTTCTTGCAGCTGATCTATCACAGCAGTTGTAACATATCTCTCTGTCTTCCTACAATTTAACTTGTCTAACAGTTTGCTAATTTCATTCTTCACTTCAATTATTGTGGTATCATGCTTTTCAATACCTTTGATTGTCTGGGAAAAGGTTTCTAATTGGGTGGCAAGGAAATGAAAGTGAGTTTAAAAGAAATTCTGAAAGCTGATGGCCACTTCTCAAGGGAAAGGAAATCAGATGTTAATGCAGGGACAGTATCAAAAATTCTCTGTACTGCAGGCAAGAGGGAGAGCCATCTTGTCTTGTTATGACCCAAAACAGTTTTATCCTCTGTTTTGGTGAATTCACAAAATGATTTCAGTTCCTCAACTCGTACAGAATAAATGTGGAAATGCTGCTGATCTTGTTAATTATTAACTGAAGATCAACAGGTAAGCAGTCTGCACCACGTATGCAGGACAACCTATACCAATCAAGTTGGTTGATGTTTTTCTTGCAGTTTGTAGTACAGATTATTCTTCCCTTTCCTCTTCTATTATCTGCTGATACTGCAGTAACTTTTTCAAGGATATATAATTTCTGTAACACTTCTGACACATAAGAAAGCAACAGATCTGAAGTTTCACCACCTAAATTAAGTAACTCTGTCACCTTGACCATCACACATTTCTCTCTGTGAAACTATCTAACAATTAGGGGCACTAACTTTTCGTCAAGATGGTTAGATGAGTCAGTCAATACTGAAATGAAACAAGCTTCTTTTAGCTCTTGAAGAATCTGTTTTGTTGCAAATGGCACAATAACATTGGTGATTTTGCATTTTGTTTGTGAACATGTAAATGTATCGTTGAAAAGTTTCCTCATGACAGTGGTAGTGCGGTCCATGGATTTGAAGCTGTGGTTGTGCACTGCAGTATGATATGCAAAGGTTGCTTCCTGTGCTGCTAGTGATAACTGCTTTTCCATTTCACTAATAATCTTCATACTTAAGCAGTTACTTATGCTGTTATTGGAAGCCTCCTTTTGAACAGCCATTTTATTATTTTTTTTCATGTGACTGACGACGTCCAACTGGCCACCACGTGGAATGAAAAAATTCACATTGCATAATGTGCATTCAGCATTCGCATTCACACCTTAAAAAATGGATATTCACTCTTAATACTGTCATTAACACCACATTTGCGTTTTGCCATCAATGTATGGATGAAGACCAACAAATTCTCACAGGGTCTCACAGCACAACATAATAGTTGACAAAGAATGCAGAGAATGATACAAACAGAACTCCTGTTATGGAAGCAAATCAGAATACTACCAACATAAATAGAAAAGAAGACATATTGCCAACAGAAAAACAAATAATTTGTGAAATTGTGTTTTGTAGATTAGCCACCACGAGTGTTAACATCATTATAGAAATGCCAATTACAGAGAGTTGCATCTGTTACCAAGCAGTTATTGATAGAAATGAACGTTACAGAAGAGCACTTAGAAAGCAGAACATTTGAAATAAATCCGGGGTAGCGGAACATATGAAAAAATGGGATGAATTGGGAACCCTACTATACAGTGGTCATTGCTAGGCAGTGGCCTGTAAATATCAACAGAGGAACGTTGTTTTCTGTGCGGCCCTTGCCAAAATGTTATAAGCAGGACAAGTCAGGAGTCAGGCAGTCATTGAGGAGTGAGTGAGTGAGTGAGAGGACTGCTGCAGTTCTGTTGTTGTGAGCAGTTGCGGTTAGAAGCTGGTAGATGAGGAACCCAGAGAAAAGGGGATGTCCACTGTTGGAATCCACTACCATGCAACAGTTGTGAAAACGTGACTGTGGACACTGGTGTGTGTGTGTGTGTGTATGTGTGGGTGCGCACGCATGCGTGTGCATGTCCATTAAATCCAATCATCAATCCAGAACCCATCTATAGTCATCCTACATAAAATGAAAAAATAAAAACTCTGTGGCCTGTAGTCCGCAAGCGAACTGTACCGACCAAATGACCGCTGCTTGTCGGTGAAGTTAGTGCCAACTTTTTTGCAGATAGAGGGTGTTGCGTGGTCAATGTAACGGGTCCCCATGGCCATTAATCTCGGTTTTCTAGACTGGAAATAGAGCCTTAATTATCCTCACGAGGCTGAGTGGAGCCCGTTCCAGACCCACTACTCTCAGAAAATCTGGTAGCGCTGGGAACTGAAGCCGGGACCTCTGGATCTGTAGCCAGTAACTCTGACCACTAGACCACAGAGGCGGTCCACTACATAAAATCACATGACAGTAATATATGTAGGTTTTTACATGCCACACCCTTTCAACTTTTGAACCAACTGTCCAGATATTACAGTATCTTTAATTGCTTATATCTTTATAAACTTGAAATACTTTTTCTCTTTATTTTCAGTTTGAGTACATTTTAATTTTAAAACATACCAAGGAAGCCAGAGCTTGAAGTTCTTTATATTTCATTGCGCGTTTTGCTTGTAGGTTTTGAAGCTCAGTCTCTCTGTCTTCCAATTCAGTGTTATACTTTTCCATCCATCTTTCAATTTCTGCTTCCAAATTCTGTGAACATAAAGTCATGCTATGTTAATTGAACACATAACTGCAATTTTCTGTCCAAACCTTTTGGATTTCAGTTACATATTGTGATCTTGTAGACGTTATAAAAAACATTGAAAATATAAGATTCTGGCCCTGTAAGCCTTGTATTCTTCTTATAGCAGGAAAACAAAATAAGTGGTACTTCTTTTGGCACAACACAGCTGTAAAATTTACTGTAACTTGTCTTAACTGTAATATGAAATAAGAATGACACTAAGTATCAGAAACCTAGACTGAATTATTATTAGAAAGTATTTATTTATGTTGCACTGATAGTTAAAAATGCTCATGTAACTGAATGTTAGGTTCAACTCCTGCGAAGTTCAGTACTTCAAATGTAGCACTAAATGAGGTGGGAGTATGCTGCAATGTTTCTTTACAGCTACATAAATAATTTCTCAGGTAAAGATAAAGCTATCTCTGTAACAGGCCATAAAGACCAATAGGGTTGTGAGATATCGAGGCTCCCACATTTTCTAAATGTTGGTGGTGAGATTGTCAGCTTTATATGTCAGCTGCCCTTTACCCCCAGGAAGACTCCTGGTACTCAGTTGACCCCAGGGCCATAATGCGGCTGGAAGGATTAGGTCAGTTGAAAAATCCACTTGCCTCCTCAGGAATCAAACCTGCAACTTCCCATCTTGTAGCATAGTGCCTCAACCATGTTACCGCATGCCCCTGCATAAACAATTACTACAAAACATAACTTGAGCTCTTGAAGTTTAGTTGCATTGTATGTTAAAGCTGCTGCAATGTTTTGGCATTCATTCCTGCTCCCTTCTTCAGAGTCAGTGCAGTGGAAGGAGGATGTGGCCACTTATATAGGTCTCACAAATGGAGTGAGGTGCTGTGCAAAGGGAACAGATCTTGTAAATAAGAAGAAGGGTTGGAGGATAAGAAGTACAGCCAGACTACTTAGTCTGTATCTGTCTTCCCAGTCAAAAGTGTGGGAGTGTTTGACAATTTTGGTGCCTTCCCTGATGATGTGGGGACAGTAAGCATTGATATGTGTTGTAGCAAAAAATGTTTGAATATTACAGGTTTACACATTTTCAAATTTACCATTACACATGGTTACTTACTGTGATGGCTTGCTTCAGATACATTTCAATTTCAACATGGCTCCTCAGTTCCATGTCTGTGCTGTCTTGGAGGTCTATAAGTCGATCCTGCAATCTCTTTTCAGAATGAGAAAGCCGTGCACCATTCTGTTCCTCTCGTGCTCTCTCCCACTTAGAAATGTACTTAAATTTCAGGTCATTCATGAATAATGTATCATGAATTTCATCCTACAGAACAGTAGAAGTTGTTAAAAGGTTCTCAGTGTCTGTTGTCCTTTCTTAGTTATGTGTGTCCATGTGTGATGTTTGAAGTTCTCACTGCAGTGACTTGTATGATAGTTTTGTCAGTAGGTACCAATGTTTTGCACAACTACCATACTACATGGCATTGCACCTAGAAAATAGTGGCCTTAATCATTTCCATGTGTCTCCCACAGTAACTTTTGCACCAGTTTATTTTAGTGAAACCAGTATGATTACGATGCTGATCCCACAAGGGGTCACCCCACATTTTTTGTTTTCAAAATCCTACCTTTATGAGATTTCCAGACATCATGACAGCAACTGTGAAGATGTGACGTCTTATGGGACGTGGTGCCACAAGGTCTGGTAGATCATTACCAACATTTTGACAGAACATGGTGCTTGAATCATCATATTTGCAATGAAAAGTTGAAAAATACACCTGTGGACTTCACTGTGTTATTCTGTCTGTACATAACAACTTAATGGATAGTCATAAAATTTGATATTGCATAGTTTTAATCAATTTTGTTTACATGCTCTAGTTTTTTTTTTAATCAGGCAACAATAATGGACACTACATGAAGATCTACACATGTTTCTGTGCACATCTGTGCCATAACTTACTAAATATTTATTGGAGCAAAAATTTGTTTCAGCAGCATTTGTAGAGAAAAGTGAAATATTAATTTTATATGCAATCCAGGTTTTTTGTGAGTGTCAGTCTTCATGATAGTGAACAAGGTAATGAACATGCCAGAATTGTCACCCCGTGTATACAATTTGTAACTAGCATAAGTTGTGTATGTTTGTGAAACATGGTCTGTTCCCGACCATTTTAGGGCAGCCTTACCCTGTTTGTTACCATTCTGTCTAGTGTGGCTTTTAAAGTAGGCCATAGTTGATTATATGGATGGTTTCTGACAATTGATGCTCTTGGCAATTTATGGGATTTCTTCGTATCTTTTCTAGCAGAATAATTTAACAAGATTTTCACTCATTTATGGAATTTATTTTTCTATGTAGCTTCTCATAATTGAGTGCTTAGTTTTAGTTTAGGTTCAATTTTAAGACAAGTACTTTGACTTCTCACTAGGATTTACATTTTAACCCAATGAAGCATGAGACTCATATAAATAACATATTAGATTTGAGGTTCTCCCAGCTGTGACTAGTACTGTCTTCTGGAATGTGATGGCATGAAGTCTGGTGCAAGGTTATCAGAATTTTTTAGGAATGCATCTTCAAGGTCAAAGAATAAGCCAAGCATTATGCAAGCAGAAAACTGAGTTGTGGTTGCTGGCTTGCTTCCCATTTGTGCTTATTCTAAAGTCATAAAATTAAGCATCATACAAGGTACAAAGGTAAAGCTATCCCTGTAACAGGCCATGGAGGCCCATAGGGTTGTGAGATATTAAGGCTCCCACATTTTCTAGACAGTCAGCTCACAGATGATGGTGAGGTCAGCCTTACATGACAGCCGCCTTTTACCCCCAGGAAGATTCCTGGTACTCACTTCTGTTAGAGGCTGAATTGACCTCAGGGCCATAGTGCGGCTGGAAGGATTGGGTCAATTGAAAAATCTAGTGACCTCATTAGGAATTGAACCCGCGATCTTCTGGCTTGTAGCATAGTCCCCCAAGCTACTTGTGTTTTTTTATTTCCTATTACACACATATTTTGACCATAAAAAGTCGTCATCAGATAATATACAAATACACAAAATGGTACCTTCAATGCCACACATCACTGCATCAACATATCTATGTTTTGCCTTCAGAGGCACCCATTCTACCACATCTGCATGCAAAATTCTACCTGAAGCTCCAATACTGATTTAACTATATAATGCTCAGAACTTAATACAACATAAATAATATAATATTCTGACATTGAGACCCATTGCCAAGTTATGTTCCTCCAAAACATCAGCATTTGCACGCAAGACTGTGGCAGCCACAAGGTTGCAGTCTGAACAGTAAATGCCGTGAGACCCTCAAAACATAAGTTATTATTTCTGATTGGTTTCTGGCATTGTTTGGATGCCTTGCTAAGACTGCCTGTTACAAAATACAAGAGCAAGAAACAGTTTGTGGGAACTGCCCACATTCAAGCAAGTGTGACAAGACAAGCGTCATTGCTTAGCAACAACGAGTAAACAACGGTTGCTAGGCAAAAGCGAGTAAACAGCGGTTGCTAGGGAACTTGTAAACACGGTGTCTGGCAACAGCAGTACCTATTACATAACCGTTTTCTTCATGTCCTTCGGCCTGCACAGTATACACAGACGGATAACAACAATAGTGAACAGCTTGAACACTGAACTAGAATTGTAGAACGGTAGAAGTGTCACTGTAACTCAGTGTATCTTCTTATGTAGCCTAGAGTCGGACATATAGAAGATACACTGAGTTACAGTTACGTCAGACGGAGACTACACATCAGCCTTATAATTTGCATTTCACAAGCTATGCATGTACATGTAGAAACATAACATTAATAATCCTTACTTTCAGCCAAGCAATAGTGTCAGATTTCTTATTCATTTTATCCATGCCTTTCTTCAAGTCTCCTTCCAAAATATTATGAAGTTTATTAGTTTCCTTCACATTTCTTTCTTCTGCACTTATAAGTTCTGCTTCTTCATTCTGTTGTTGTACCTCCAACTCTGATACTTTCACTAGAGTCTTGAAGGATTTTTTTAATTTTAGCTCCTCTAAAGTCTTCTGTAAAATTGCTTCAAGTGTTGCTCTGCAAAACAGTACATACCATAAAGGATCCAGTGACATTTCACGCACACTGTCATCTAAACATATTTCATCCACTAACCCTTTCACCCCTGCATTCTTCAAGCACTGACAAAGCATACAGATAATTCTTTTATTGCAAATGTTGAAATCAGTATTACAGGTTTTACATGCATACCCAAAGGACTACTGTTTTCCTTGTTATTCTCTTGAGCCATAGTCTTTGAGCAAGAATAAAAATTCAGATTATCAAAGAACATTAACACAAATGTATTTAACATTGGTGCAAACAAGAATAGAACAAATGGGCAGTGAGTACACTGGACATTGGTCCAGTTGATGCGTTTTGAACACATGAATATGTTCAGAGTTAACTTAAGAACCTGGATGTCTCCAGTACTGGGACCCTTCACCCAAGCACACATTTGAGCAGTAATGAAACTGAGTACTACAGTCTAGTGGTTACCACTCCTGCTTTGTTGTTAAGGTGTACTGGGTTTGAAACTTGGCCCACAGACAGGGTAGCTTGATGTATTTTCATACTTTATCCCAGCCATTGTAGAAAATGCTGGCATGGTACAGACCATGACAACTCCCTTTCATATCTCCCAGTTCACAAATAATGCAACATTCAGTGTTACTGTATCAGTGGTTTATATGTGCACTTGTGAACCCAACTCAGGCTATGCATCGAGTGCCCCCGGTCCATTTCTTCCTTCAGCTCCCATCCCTCTTCCCAGTGTTGAGTGATGGCCCCACTGAGCTTCACTGCTTTCTGGTACCTGACATCAGGAGGTTGAGTTCAAAATTTTGTCTGGTTTCTGTCTAAAATTGTTTTACTTTGTGGCCACCTCCTGATCAGGCAGTCCAGTACCTACTTGGTCTGCTAAGGTAAGCTGGTTGGTGTTATTTAATTTGGGGAGTTGTGGGGGGCTCATTGAGTGGGCAGATCACATGCAGACTTCATTAGGACTATTTGGATTTCAGCCATCCTGCATTACTTGTTTTTTCTTTTTAATTTTTTTTTTTTCCTGGCTAGGATATTGTTGCAGTTAGGAATGAGTTTTACTTGTGTTGTGTTGAAAAAGTGTAGTTAAATAACCAAAGAAGGGGACATCAGTCAATCATAAATATCCCTCCAACTTTTATTTCCCCTGTTCTGTTTCTTTTTTTCCCTTAGCACTACAGCCCCAGTGGGTCTAGGCCTACCCCCATGAACGTTCTATTTCTTTACTTCTTCCAAATAGATGCAATCAAATTGTGGGAATCGATCCCACAACCTTCCAGCTTGTCACAGAGTGCCTCAACCAAACTACACTACTGTGTGACCCCTCTAATTTCCTATAGTGGTTAATAACAACATGGCCAATGTGCATGTGGGAGCAACATGAGTGCCATGGAATAAAAGAGTGTAAAATGATGCAAGATAATGGATCTTTCATAAATATTTGGCTTTTGGGGGGTGGGGGGGTAGAATGTGAAGTAACATGGCAGCCATATAACATTTTCTTTGCCTTTCAGTTTGATTATGATAACTAATGACCCTTTGGAGAGAGACATGTGAAATTAGTAAGGAGACAGATCATAAAGATAAGGGAAGGAACATATTAGATTTTATAGAACTACAGCTATCCCAACATTGACATTCAGATCTGAAACATGAACACTGGCAAAAGACTGGAACAGCAGAAATTAAATTTCTTAGGAAAGTGTTGGGATGCATATTAAAGAATGAAATTAGAAACAATCTGATTATAAATGGAACTAAATGTACTGTACTTAAATAACAGAATTCAGAATAACAGATGTAACTGAATTCATCAGAATGGAACATGTTCCAAAACAGTTAATGGACTATACACCTAGATGAACAAGATCCATTGGACACTGGAAGATCCAAACCATGATGATGATTGAACCTGTTCCTGTGGCATCAACATCATTACTGAGTTTGCCAAAGGTCACCAGTTGGCGCATGCTTGTAAGCCAGGCATGAAAAAATAACTTTCAGAGCTTTCATTTCTGATGACATAAATCAGATATGTGCATGACAATTAGTTTCCAAGATATACATTTTTTATTTTGAATACCTTTCATCCAGTCACCCTATGCCTTCAGCTGTTCTTGAGTTTCATGTGTACAAACAAACAGGTTGACTGAGCGAACTTAACGAGCATTCCATTAAAGGCACATGTGCCTAAAATGGTTATGGTCACCTATCAACCAGACCAGAGGCAGAGAAAATAGGGAGATAAATGGATTTTTAAGGAAGATTTTTTTATGCATGTAACAACATGTTTATAACCTGTGGTCACAACATCAAAATTGTTCAAACAGAATCCATGGCCAAATGTATCACTGATATTTCAGTGGTTATGTTTATATTGTGACTTATTGTGCATACCGGTCTCTCTGGAGTTTTATCATCTTCTTGGTATCTCTGGTCGCCTCTGCTTTTCCACTTTTTTCTTCCAATTCAATCTTAGTTTGCTCCCTATCTGAAAATCTAATAAATACACCATATTAGAGTCCAGTGGACTCCTCCTGGATGATCGGCCATGTCAACATGGAGCTAATATCCAGTGTTTTGGAGACTCTTTGTCTTTAGCTCAGGATTCTTCTGTGGTAGCAGGAGCAGAGGCACTGCTGGACACTAGCTCCTGCACATTGCCCTGGTTCATTACCCAAGAACATTCCATATGGTCACCACAAAAGCTTTGAATCCCACACATAAAATTCATCACAAAAATTTACTTCCAATGAAAATACTTGAATTAAGCTTTCAAAGAATATCATCAAAAGCTCTTGTGCATAAGAAACATTGTAATGAACAATATACAAGGGTCATCTTAAAAGTAAAGAGCATTAGTACACGTGTGCTACTTGCTGAATTTGCCTGATACTTTCTTTTCCCATCCTCCCTACAGTCCAGACCTGGACCCAAGTGATTTTCACTTGTTCACATACTTGAAGCAGTTTTTGCTGGCGCACACGTGGATAGTGATTAAGAAGTGTAGAAGACGGTTAAAGATTGATTCAATGGACTGGTGGCAGATTTCAACATGCAGAAGAGAAAATTCTTGACCCCACTAGGATTCGAACACTGACCCCTCAGTCATCCAGCCTGTAACTAGTTGCTATACTGACTATGCTATTCTGGCTCCTTTTAAATGGAATGGACAAAGGGCTAATATAATGTATATCCATACTGGTATACATTATGCACAAAAATGAATCACTGAACTGTATAGGTGCTGCCATGACTTTTATCAGCAGAGCCAGATGAAACTTTCTTACATATGTTTAAACCATGTAAGGCTATTTTTACTCATCACCTTAGTGTACTCAGGAAAGGGGGATAATTCCTTTAAAAAATACTTTCAACTGGTGGGGGCATGCGGTAGCACAGTTGGTTGAGGCACTATGTTACAAGCTGGAAGGTCATGGGACCGAATCCTGATGAGGTCATTGAAGTTTCCAATTGACCTTAACCTTCGAGCCACACTATGGCCCTGGGGTAGACTCAGCCTCAAGTAGAAATAAATACCAGGAATCTTCCTGGGGGGTAAAAGGCAGCTGGCGTGTAAGGCTGACAACCTTACCGCCATCTGTGATCTGATTGTCTAGATAATGTGGGACCCTCATCTCACAACCCTATGGGCCTTCACAGCCTGGTACAGGGATAGCTTTACCTTACCTTACCTTTTACTTTCAACTTAATAAATGTTATCTTTCCTTCTTTTTTAATTTGATTTGATTTCTTCCAAAAAAATTGGGGGGATCCCCCCTTCCCACAAGTCATCAATGTTAAGTGTATATTTAATATTTTCTTCCTGCCATTTGCAGCATACAACCCTTTTAAACCTGAAGTTCACCTAAATAATCCTTAATACTTCAGTCACTGTTGCAAACAAGGCATACTGTGTTTTGGGATACAATGTAATGTCATCTGGTGAAACCCGACTGATGTTTTGGAAGAATACATCACCTCCATCTTCAGGCTTGCTCTTCTTGCTACTTACTTCATGCTAGTTTCTTGCTTGGCTTACTACTCCTTGACCCTGAACATGGAGTCAGTATGTTCCTCTGAAATGTTGGTCAACTGTCACCAGACTGCAAGGCATTATATCTCAAAAGTCAGAACTCTTCATGGTCAATGCTGTGAGGCCCTCAAATTGAACACATTGCTTCTTCAAAACAATGACAAATGAACCAATTAATGCTGTGTAGGGAAATAATAACTGTTTATTGGCGGAAGCACATAAAAGCAGTCATAATTTCCTTGTAGAAATTTTTGTGATGAAATGCTATATACATTTCTAATCGCTAATACTCCTGCACACAACATCCTACATTTACAGCATTTCAGAAGCACGCACCTTTCCTTCAAACTCCTATATTGCATATCGATTGAGCCAGTTGCCTTTCTGTTAGTTTTCCCCAAAATGTACATCTGATCAATGCAATCTTCTAACACAGAAATAACACCAATCCTCTCAATCTTTGACAATTCAGCAACATGAGAGGCTGGAGAATAAAAAGACGTCATGTCATCTGTCTCTTCAGATGACCTGAGGAAATCGTTACATACATCCTGTCTCTCTACTGCAGATTTTACTGTTGTAACCATATCAGCTGTTGTCTTTTTGTTGCTACCTAATGAACTTCCTCCCTCATCTGCAGTGTCTACTAAAAATTCATTTGATTTTTCAACACCTCTTGAAATGTGAGTATTTGGTACAAATTCAGACCCTTTCCCACACAGTCTCCGATCACCCACCATCTTCACAGACATAGAGACTGGCATTACGCATCCTTTTCCATTTCTTCTACTGCCATTGCCTACAGATTTCTCCACATTTCCTTAGGTTCTAATGAAGTATCTGATCTTATACACAGTCCGCTGCAACTGTGGTAGTCTTCATAGCATTACCATGAACAGTAGTCATTTCATATATCTGGTTCCTTGACCTAAAAGCACAGAATACAGGGGACATCAAGTAGAGCGCAGATCTTCACACTTAGGGAAAGATTATAAAACAGACAGCTACAGTGTACTATACTGTCAGAGGTCAAGTAATGTGCTAGCTTTGTGAATTAAAACATGTAGTCCTCTTTGTGTTAACCATCAAATAACTCTGTACACTATAATAGATACAAGAATACCATGAAGTGTATTCAATTTTTAATTAATATATAATTAGGAAGCCCAACATTTTTCATTCTCAGATGGCCAGCTTGAGGGGCATCCGATGTTAAAAGAGACCTTTCATAATTTACATGAATTATTTAAAACTGTTGTGGGAGTCTTTTAACACTGGATGTTCTTGAAGATGGTGGGATGAGGCAGAAACATTTTGGGTTTCATAACTACTATTTATTAAAAACTGGATATGTGATATGTTCTTGCATTTATTCTAATATAAATAGATTATCAGTAATAATGACTTCTATCAAACTCTACATTCTTCTTCATGGAACTGAGCCCTTCTGGAGGAACCACCAATTCTGCAGCTACTCAAGAATTTCCCAGCATTTTATGGAACCCAAAGGTTCATTACCGTGTTCACAAGAGCCCTCCACTGGTCCCTATCCTGAGCCAGATCAATCCAATCAATACCATCCCATCCTATCTCTCTAAGATCCATTTTAATATTGTTCATGCATCTGTGCCTTGGTCTTGTGGTCTCTTTCCTTCTGGCTTTCCCACCAATATCCTATATGCATTCCTCATCTCCCCCATTCGTGCTACATGACCTGCCCACCTCATCCTCCTTGACTTGATCATTCTAATTATACTTGGAGAAGAGTACAAGTTATGAAGCTCCTCATTATGCAGTTTTCTTCAACCTCCTGTCACTTCATCTCTCTTCGGTCCAAGTATTCTCCTCAAACACCCTCAGTCTGTGTTCCTCCCTTAATGTCAGAGACCAAGTTCACTCCCTTACAGAACCTCAGGTAAATATCAAACTCTACATACCATTTAAAATCAAAATAAGTATTAGTGCACACATGTCTTCTATGAAGTTTGGCAATATATCTAACATAAAAAATAAGCTAATAAATAAATAATGGATCAAACTTATGGTGTCTAGTTATATTGTTAATGGATACATACATATATTTCACATTTCACAAGTCCAAAATACAATGGACATGAAACTGCTCACAAGCATAACACAAACAAAGCTTACTACAGCACAAAGTAGAAGTTAGAAGATGCGATATAAGGTCACGTGTTCCAAAGTGAATAATTAAATTTTGTATTGAACGAATACCTGAAGATGACCCTTTATGAGTAGAAACATATAGTGTTGATTTTAAATCAATCAATAAAAACATTGTTGTGTTTTGATGGTTGAACGTATTTAAAGTCTTAATAGCTTTTTAATTGTAATACACGCAACAGGGTGCAAACAATAAAAATAACTCTCTTTAAATATTCCCCAGTGTATTAGAATAACAAAAATATTATACGCAACCATTCGCGTAACAGGGTATCTAAAATATGGTTGTCAAAGACGTTCACACGGAAGTGCATTGTACAAATTATGCATGTTTAAGCCGTTAAGGTAAAAACCGAACATGCAAATATTGTCAAATACGTTTTTTGGAGAAAAGCGCTACCTCTGTATAAAAACGTGTGCCTTTGGCCCCCTGTGCCTGAGCAGCGGGGTAACAAATCTGACCACTTACTATCTTCAACACGGGAACAAAATTGATCGCGTCAGTGACATTCTTTAAGTTATACGTGTCCCTTGGGTGGTGCAAAATGAGCAACAAACCTGCCAAAGCTTCCCAAAAGAACTCTATTGAGAAGCAAGAGGATAAATACGTTAAATGATCCCAAATGCAGCCATTGGAAACCAACCAACCTATCTTTAACATCGTTCAACATTGATTGATTTGTAATTTCAAAGATCATGAATAGGAAAACATTCCGTTTCACCATTCAGACTGCACACCATTCTTTGGAAATATAATTTTAACATAGTACAATTTCATTTAAATTATAGAGATTACTGAATATAAAGCTTTCATTTTCCCTTCAGTATTCTAAACACAAATTTGTAATTTCCATAATGGAAAATGGTTTATCTTTCTTTGTTAATTGTAGAGCAGTAGGATAAAAATGGCGAAAGGGAAGTTAAAAGTTGTTTACCATCATATATAAATAGTGATTATAAGGGTTGATACTCTTATAGTTACTAGTAGACTTGCATGGAAATGTTTACAGGAGCAAGACATATAAAACAGCTACTGATTGTAATAGTTAGTGTCGTTGTTGGTAGGTAGAAATATTTACAAATTATAACTCTCGGAATACGGTGTTATTCCTGATGGACAATGATACAGTTTGGTTTTGATTCCATGAAAGACACAAAAACTTACGTAACCATTATATGAAAGGGTAGGTCAAAACGTGCTTAGGCTACTACGTATCGTATCTTGAAAAGAGAAAGATGTGTAAATTTTCATGACAAAAGTTTTCGTTTAGTTTTTGAGGTTATGTTGGGAACGTAACCACAGTAGTTTTGGTGGGTTTTTTTTTTTTACTTTTCAGTTTTCATTATAATTTTATGCAAAAATTGGATTTGATCGTGTGAGAAAACAGAATCAGTCCTGTGCATCCTAATTTCACATATGCGAAATTCATAAATAACTGTTGGTTTCCAAATTAATACTGGAGAACAAATGGAAGTACAGTGAGACAGTACATCGGCTATTCATCGACTTCAAGAAAACCAGTGATTCACATAGGAGGAAAGTAGTGTACAGTACCCATGAAAGTAGTTAGGCTGATTAAAATGTGTTTAAATGAAACTTATACTAAAGTCTGTGTAAGTAAACATTTATCTGATAATTTTCCTATCCAAAATGGTCTAAAACAAGGAGATGCTTTATCGGCACTACTTTTCTACTTTACTCTAGGATATGCCATTAGGAAGGTCCTGGAAAGTCAGGTGGGACTGAAATTAAATTGGACACATCAGGTGCTCATCTGTGCTGATTAAATGGCACATATGAGCTGCTGGTCTGTGCTGATGATGTGAATCTACTGGGAGATAACACAGATACCATAAAGAAAAATGCAGAAACTTTAACCTGTACAGAACAATTAAAAGAGAAAGAACAGGGATGTCCATCTTCTAAACCTCCATATGCTTTCTCAGATTAAACTGGTTTAACAGAAACATGCCTTAGTGCATAGAAATATTATCTTGTATACCATCAAGTGTCTGAAGTGTATGTGATGTGTCCAAGAGGTTGGCTATACTGGCACCTCAGGTGGTTGTCATTACCATATTCGTACAGATGGTGACAGTTGTAACTGAACCCTGGACCTTTCAAGCACTAGAATAGTACATTAACCACTACATCCATTGTGGGATTTTTCTCTTCAATATCACATCGGAGGTCCACCCAGCCTTGTGTTTGCTGTATTAGGAGCCAGTTGCTTGTTGCAGTGTTAATGTAACTGGAGTGTGAAGGTGGTTGATTAACTTCCTGTAGTGCTGAGCCTGAGATTATATGGAGATTTTTCCTTTACCCTGAAGATATAGGCGATACATTCCTCCGAAACGTCGGTTAACACCACATATACACGGTGTCAAATCCCAGAAGACTGCTTTTTTCATAGTCACCGCTGTGAAAACCTCAAATCTTACATATACGGAGATCTCTTTCCCTTCCGTTTATATGTCTTCATGGATTATCAACTAAGACTAATGTAATGTCTGTTGTAATTTCAATGAGAAGTCTCCTCATTTGTGATATACAAGTATAACTATCATACCATTAGCTCCTCATCTTTCTTCCATATTCCTCTAATGTCACAATTTATATATTCATCTTTACAGGACCTCCTTGATATATAGCTGTCTTTATTTCATTGTACTTTTTGGTCAAATTTAAATACAGTAAATGTGTTTTGCATGCTGCTGCCCTAGCAGGGCAACTTTTCAGACACCAGTGTTCAGCAGAAGCCTAATAATGAAAGTGACATGATAACAAACCATTAGGCACTGCTGTGCTCAAAACAGTTATGATATATGTAGTTTCCACTTCTTCATTAACTGTTTTTCAGGAAAAAAGTGCATGTGGTACAAGGGTAAATACAATGTGTAATAAGAAAGAGTGTTTCAGTGGTTGTTTGTTTTTTCAGTACTATGTGTATACAAGAATTGGGTCCATACAGAGGAGATATCCTACACTTATCATGATAAATCAGGAAGATTACGACACTTCAACGACATTGTACCTCACACCACGCACCAGTATGCAGCTGCGCAGGTGAATGAAATTTCACCTCCAGGTGATATCCACAGCTTTCAGGAGGTATGGAAGAAAATTAAAGAATTAGCAAAGAAAATGAAGGTGCTTGAGAAGAGAATTCCTCAAAGATATCCAGATGTAAAGTACCTGAATTACAGATCAAGAAAACGCATCCTTGTAAGTACAAAAATACTGCATATATGCAGCCAGTGCAACTGCACAGGATTGTAGAGAAGTCACCATACTTAATATACCATGTGGTGAGAGTCACTGTCCTTCGGATGGATCTGTATGCGCACTATTGTATTTATTTATTTATTTATTTATTCACTTCACATCCATGGATCATTATACATGACATAGGACAAGTCAAATTGAAAATACAGCCTCTTGCACCTCCATGTTCTGTCATGCTGAAGCATTTGTGGTGTAATGGTGGTGAATGCCTATTCCCCAGCTCTATGTAATTCATCACTGTTGTGATAGAGATATGCAGTCACTTGATAATGCCCTGCGAATAGTTGTCCACTGTTGTAAGATTGTGATGGCCAGAATAATTGTGTGGGAAACATTGGTGAACCATGATCAGTCCAAAATATCATGCACACTGCAGGTGCTCTGTTGTGCCTCAGCCACACATCTCCCACGAGTTCTCTGTCCCTAATCTGCGGTATTAACTACTCCAACATTTCTGCATAAGATGTGGCATTCACAGATCCATTAAAGAAATGGGACCAATCAATTCAATTCAATTCAATTCAATTTTATTTCATCCATGAATCATTATACATGATATGGGACAAGTCATAGATTAATATTATTACTAATACTAAATAGTAATAAGAATATAATAATACAGAAATATTATGCCAAATTATAATAAATGATAATAATAATAATAATAATATAGTAATACAGAGATAATAATATGACAGTATAATTAGTCTTGAAAACAGTTTATGTGGTCTTAAATCCTCCATATGTCCTATTGTACCTTTACTGGTGGTAATGCCTATGGAGATTTGATGGAATGAGGATTGGCAGGGGAAACCGAAGTACTCGGGGAAAACCTGCCCCAGCGCCACTTTGTCCATCACAAATTGTAGTTATACCAGCCCACAGCATCATATTTAGTGGGTTATTTTCCAACTGCAATGTGGAGTGCAGATTTCCCTTAGCCCAAGACACAACAATTCTGTCTTTGGTGTTGTTATAAATTGCACACTCATCGGTGAAAAGTACCTGCATGGCGTGTTGTGGCATCAGTTCATGTCAACGTCCAGGAGATCTGTGAATTTTGGGCAGCACACCTTCAAATTCAAGTCCTTCATGTGATCTGGCATTGTTGATCATGGCACATGAAAGCTCTGCTGATTATTTCCCCATTAGTTTCTGTGGGTAGTTATCAACCAAGGCAGAAACAGCTGCACATGTGGTCAGGATCATTTTCCTTTGTCCGTTCCACAGTCAATACTTGACACTTCCAAGGGCAAATGCACCTTCTGCCAGTCTAGCAATGTCACTTTCCTTGATGGCACTTTGTTAACTTGTTCATGGAATGCTGTCATCATTTGGACCACTGTTCGGCCTGTTTGTGGTCATGTGTGCACCCACACATTTGCTATTAACTGCTTTTCAACTGAATATTTATTTATTATCATTATCATACACCCTCAGTTACAGCACATTTAGGTTGGCTGTTTAAGCTATATGTTTTGACAACTACAATATCATCAGGGATATATTTTTTATGTTACAAATTAGCATAAAAATTATAATAGATAAAACAACTCTGTCCAGTGTGACTGTTGAAGTTTTTACTACTTCAGTTCTTAACACCCTTACCTGTTTCGGTCCCTATAGACCATCATCAGAGGGACATTGATACTCTTTGGAAACCGCTATTACAATGGGTGTTCTGAATGTTAAAATAAATATACATACAATGTTTGTAATGCACAATATATACAAAATCCAAAGTTTTCACAACTACAGCAGTTGTCGTATATAAAAGTTTTTTAAAACTTTTGTTATTTATTTTGTTTGTTGTTTGTAAAAATAACACAGCATGCCACGAATAAACACAGGATGATATCAAAGAACCTCCTTCTCAAGAAAGACAGGTGGCACAAGTTCGGCCCCCATCAAGAAAGGCAATAAGAGAAGGGACATGTACCTATTTGGTTTGTAAATTTTAACTTAAATAACGAAAGTTTTAAAAAACTTTAATATACCAAGACAACCGCTGTAATTGTGAAAACTTTGGATTTTGTATATATTGGACATTACAAACATTGTATGTTTATATATTTTAACATTCAGAACACTCATTGTAATAGTGGTTTCCAAAGAATATCGATGTCCCTCTGATGATGGTCTATAGGGACCGAAACATGTAAGGGTGTTAAGAATTGAAGTAGTAAAAACTTCAACAGTCACACTGGACGGTGTTGTTTTATCTTTTATAATATTGTTAGTGTGACAGACCAGAATGAAACAGATCAAATAACATAAAAATATATGGCCCTTATGATAATGTTGTAGACATTGAAACATGTCAGGTAAACAGCCAACCAAGACATGTTGTACAATTACTGACTTTTTGGACATTATCCATCATCCTGGTTTTTATTTAAAAACAACATTTCAGATACTGTATTTTGTCTCCATCCTCAGGTAAATGTCTACTTAAGTCAGTCTCAATTGATAGAGCTAGACCCTATCTCCGGACACCAGAACCAACACAAGACAGGATATATAAACCAAACACAACAAAACCATCAGTGGAAGTTAAAGACAAACATCAGAAAACTCCACACACATGAGGCTTTGCACCAGCTCTGAGAATTGAGCCAAACAGTAGGCTTGTATATCAGGATGGAGATAGAATCAAGTCTCCAAAACATTGATATTAAATGAAAAACAAGATGATGGATAATGTCCAAAAAGTCAATAACTGTATTCAGATTCTGCTGTCACAAACTTTGAGATCATATTTAAATGTGTTGTAATTGATGGTGTGTGATAAATGATAAATAACATTATGGATTACAGTGGTATGCATCCCAGCCTTGTAGTATACAATTGAATCTTTAACTATGCCCTGCAAGCAGGTGCAACTGACAACATTGTTGCCACACCACTTTCTAGTTCCACTGACACTGTTGCCACACCTCTCTATTTCACAATGTGCTATAGCATGCATAGTAAATTAATTAGAAGTATGGTGGCTTCTCAGCCACATTGTGTATTGCACAGCATAACCACTATTTTTAATTTTTCGAATGTACAAGTCATGGTTTCATGTACATTTTTAACCTTAGTGCACACTCATTACTTGTGCTATTTACTCAAATTATGGAGAATATTATTCTAGTGAAACTATTTGGCAATTTTCCAAAGCTAAGATTTAACATAATATCTTGTGTGGAAAACTGATTGACGTCTATTAGCAGAAATGACATTATGTGCTGTTTAAGAGCAGGGATCTTGCAGTTGATATAGCAGCAGGCTACAGGCTGGATGGCCAAGGGTCAGAATTCAAGTCCAGATGGGGGCAAGATTTTTCTCCCCTCCATATCATCAAGACCAGTTCTGGGGCCCACCGTTGGGTACAGAGAGCTCTTTTCCTGGGGGTAAGGTGGCAGGGGCTTGAAGCTGACCACTGTCCTCCAGCTAGTGCCAAAGCCAAGAATATGTGGATCTGTACATCCGCTCCCCTACACACATCTTCATGGCATAGTGTGGAATTAGTTGAGCACAGGGACAACTTTACCTTTTACCTGTCTCGGCTAGTTGTGTGTAAGAGACAGCAAAAATTGACTCAGATTGCAGTTTAAATTTCCATTCAGTTTAATTTGAATTGGAATGTTGAATGAGCATGTCTGTAAGAACAGAACATGTATATAAATATGACAGTCTTCTGGGATGTGAAGCCATGTAGTCTCACAGATAGGTACAGACTTGTCAGAGAATCTTGCTGCCTCTGTCATCAGGGTAGAAAAATTTACAGCAGGTTCCTCTGAAATGTTGGTACATATCTACTAGACTATGTGGTGTTGTATTCTAGAAAACCATAATCTTAATATTCACTGCAGGAAAAATCTCAGATTTTGTAAAAGACGTATGAAGGCTCATTCACACTACATAATGATGCTGACAGGAAGTGGCCCATCATCCGATGGACAAAATATTTCCACATGTGTTGTAATGAATATGATGCACATCACTGACATGATCCACCATCGACAGGCTTCAGCTGGTGAAGTTTAGAACATATTTTCATTTGCAGATGCCTGTCAGTCACAGAGAATGTTGTGTTAAGGTGCTGTAGAATACAGCTGATCTGATTCTGGTTTGATACATGCAGGTCACTGTGAATTCTGGAGGAAACTGCTGGTCCTCTAATGATTTGCCCCATGTCAGTGTCATTATGTATAGGATGATTTGCCTGGCTACCTATCTTTCTTCAGTCTTCCAGTATGTAACTGCATTATAGTTTTTATAAAGAGATAATAAATGCCCATATTGTGGCTGTCTGGGTTATGACACCATGTTGTAGCATACTACTAGCATTTTGAAGGAACTTACCGCCTCCATCTTCTGAATTCAGCCCTGAAGATGAAGGTAATATGTGCCCACCTGCTGCCAACACCTGTACGTTGTCATAACCCAGAAGGTATGATTTTTTACCACTATGAGAACCACAGATCTTGACGGATAATACAGTATTCCTTTCCCCACATCTGAAAAGTTGTTACTTTTCAGATTACAGGTGGCGCAGGATTTGTTGGCTCTCATCTTGTGGACAGACTGATGATGGCTGGTCATGAAGTCATAGTAGCAGATAACTTCTTTACTGGGCGCAAGCAGAATGTGGAGCATTGGATTGGACATGAGAACTTTGAATTGATTCATCACGATATTGTAAACCCTTTGTATATAGAAGTAGATGAGATCTACCACCTTGCTAGTCCAGCATCTCCTCCACATTACATGTACAATCCTGTTAAAACTATTAAAACCAACACAGTGGGCACAATAAATATGTTAGGTTAGTATGCAATTACATTATAATTGCTGATTTAGAGAAGTATAATGTTCATTTCCTTGCATAATGTTCTGCCTCTCTTTTTAGAAAGGAAATATAAAGAGTGTCATTCTTTACCAAATAATTTCATCCCACTAACTTTGTCAAGTGCTGTTTGTTTCTTGTCAATGATTGCACAAGAACTCGTTTCAGTTTTCTCACTTTGACTGTAGTACAAACTAACATATGTGCACTTTTTGCTCAATGATCCTGTCACTGGATCAGCAGCTATCCATGCAGATCAGGCAGAAACTGTTTTCATTGTGATGGTTCTTACTCCTCTTCCAGAAGTAGGCCTGTCAAGGTAGGTTGGTTCTCATCCTGATGGGGGCATGCAAGTGTCCCTTTCCCACATTTTCACCTTCCATTTTCTTACATCTGTCCAATTCTGTAACCAAATCTTCCTTTGTCCTCACTGGCTCCAAACCCCATACAGTTATCTGTAGCTGTTCCACCAGCAGGGATCTTTCCTATCTCCGTGGTGCTTTCCCATGATTTCTGTGTGACTTCCAACTTGTGTGTCTGTACGGGGAATGTAGGCAAGAATAGAAATCTACTTTTGAATGCACATCATGGATTTCTATGGCACAAGTCCTCTCTAGACCATTCATGGGAACCCCATTTCTGATGGCTCTGTGTTAAATGTGAAAGTGCACTCGCTGTCCTAGAGATCCTAAGTAGCAGGTCTTGGGTGGAGATCAGGCAGTGATGCTTTGACTTTACCATGCCCTGATCCACTTGGAGGCAGCTATTGCAGTCTTATGTATGGCTCTGCCATGAAGTTTAAGCTGTCTATTGCTTATCAGCTGGACTGAGAGTCTGTAGGTAGAATCTGGATAACTCTCTCTCTCCTTAAGGAGGATTTTTCGCCTGTGTTTGCATGTAGCAAGCTGGCAACTCAAATTCATCAACCATCATAATTATATGGCAGTTTTTATCACTGATGCTTCAGCTAAACAATCACCAATAATCTGGCCTCTTTCAAAATCAGACAAGTCTCCCATTTTCTGATTCTTTCATCCAGACTGTCTCTCAACACAATCACTAATGCACTGACACAAGCACAACAGAATGGTAACAAATGAAAGACCATTCACTGTTGCCAACTGAAGTTCATTTTTTTTGTAGCCAACACAAATACCATTCCTCAGTTTCTTAGTGTTTCCATTATTTTATCCACCCCATGTAGTTTGGTAGATGGTACTGTCTGCCAGACTACATAATATGGTGTCATGTTGCAGAAATCTTAGAAATTTTGGAGATATTTTTTGGTTTCAGGTGTGTATAACTGCCATTCTGTTAGTTATCCATTTTATCCATTCAGTGTACAAAATGGAATCATAATAAGGAGATTGCACGTATGTGTTCACTAGTTTCATCTCCAGAACTGTTTGATGGATTTCATTAAAATCTGGTATAGGGCCATGGGGTTTATCAAAATTAAATTGTGCATACCAGTTAATTATATCCCATGATATGTGTAAAGCCCAAATCAGAGTTTACTAAATGTTTTGCAAAGCAGCATATTATTAAAAAAAGATTGTATCTGACATAAAAATATAGATCTCTTTCTCGTACAGTTTTAGATTTCATTATTTGTACAATCTTTATTTGAAACATTTTTTGATATGCTGAATACTTGCACCAAATACAATGTGAAACAATTTTGTATTCATTACAGCAACAGATTTTTGTCTGCAATAAATGGACATTTAAGACCAGTGGCATATGCATGGTAGCAAATAATGCATTTGTTATATTGAACATGATTATTGGGCACAGAGTATTCATTACTAACATGTCTGCAGGTTTGGCCAAGCGTGTGGGAGCAAAGGTGCTGATTGCCAGCACCTCAGAAGTGTATGGAGATCCTGAGGTACATCCACAGCCTGAGAGTTACTGGGGTCATGTTAATCCCATAGGTAGGAGATCAGTAACATACAGTGTGCTTTACTTTGAAACAAAAATAATAATATGGATCGTCTGTGCGCATATAAAGTGATACCATTTATGAGACCTGGGTAATGGTTAAATTAAAATATTAAGCTTTACTGTCAGGGATTATTGGTTTAAAACCCATGGCTGGCAGCCAGATTTTAATTTGGGGGCAGGACTTAAATGTTATGGATGTTGGTATTGAAGAAATATATTGTGTATATCCTAGGAACTAGAACTGCTGAATATTTTAGTAACAACTGCTTGAAAGGTAATGAATTGCTGAATTCTGTAGTCCTCCTTTTATATTGGTATAAAATTGTTGTTCCCAGTAATATTTACAGACTCCTGAAATGAAACAAAATATTTTGTAAATGAATCCAAATATACAGAACTCACATTTCTGGAAGTAAATCCCTGCCCACATTGTGACAGAACTCTTGAGTGTAGTCCATTGAAAGTCAATTGACACTTCAGAGGAAAATGTCGCCTCCATCTTCACTGTCAAACAATAAGCCAAGCAAGAAAGTAGTGTGAAAACATTGGCAGGTAGAGGTGGAGGTGACATGTTTCTCTGAAATGTCAGTTGACTTTCAGCAGAATACACAATGTTATATTCCAGAAGATAGAGAACTCTTCATAACCACTGCTGTGAGAACCTCAAATCCTACATCTTGAGTTAAAAGTTTACAGCTGTATGGTAAATATGAAAACACAAATAATCACCAAGGCAGATTATATAATCAAAATGCGTGTGTTTGACAGCTGTTCTTCCTCTTCACCAAGCAGTCACAACACTACTTGTCCGTCCTGCAGCAGGACAATTATCAGTGTGTTGACAGTCAAGGCAGGGCATTTGACTGGCCACTGAGTGGGATCAATTGAAGATGAAGTTCTCTTGGACTGATTTCCAACAATTTTGAACCAGTGTCAGATGGAAGTTTTGAAGGTCTATTTTACTACCACAGGATGGTAAAGTGATGTAGCCATTAAGTATCTTAAATACTTTCTTAGTGAGATATTTCACCAACATATGTGCAGCTGTCAATGTATCTGTTTCACTTGCCACTTTCCCAAGTATGCGCTCATAAATTAGTCAGGCTTGTTGCAAAGTTTACAGATCATTATACCAATGTGTCTACATTTCTTAGGAATGTCTTGCTTGAAAACTTACTTACTCATGGAGCTGAGCCCTTCTGGAGGAGCCACCAATTCTGCAGCTACTCAGGAATTTCCCAGCATATTATGGAACCTGAAGGTTCATTACCGTGTTCACAAGAGCCCTCCACTGGTCCCTATCCTGAGCCAGATCAATCCAATCCATACCATCCCATCCTATCTCTCTAAGATTCATTTTAATATTGTCCACCCATCTACACCTTGGTCTTCCCAGTGGTCTCTTTCCTTCTGGCTTTCTTACCAATATCCTATATGCATTCCTCATCTCCCCCATTCGTGGTACATGCCCTGCCCACCTCATCCTCCTTGACTTGATCATTCTAATTATACTTGGAGAAGATTACAAATTATGAAGCTCATTATGCAGCTTTCTCCAACCTCCTGTCACTTCGTCTCTCTTTCGTCGAAATATTCTCCTCAAACACCCTCAATCTGTGTTCCTCCCTTAATGTCAGAGACCAAGTTTCACACCCATACAGAACCACAGGCAAAATTATAGTTTTGTATATTCAAATTTTTATGTTTTTTGACAGCAGATGAGAAGACAAAAGGTTCTGGACTGAATGGTAGCAAGCATTACCCGAGTTCAATCTCCTCTTAATTTCCTCCTGAATCAGGTTTCGATGTGTTATTGCTGTTCCCAAATATCTGAACTGTGCCATATTTTCAAAACATCTGTTTCCTATCTTTGTGTCATGATTTTGCCCTGCATTTTGGTGACAAGACAACAACATATACTTAGTTTTCTCTGTGTTTACTTCTAGACCAACCTCTTTACTTGCGTCAATTAAAGTTTGTGTGTTTTTCTTTATGGTATCTATATTATCACCCAGTAGATTCACATCATCGGCATAGGCCAACAGCTGAAGTGTCCCATTTAATTTCAGTCCCACCTGGTTTCCCTGGACCTTCCTAATGGCATATTCTAAAGCAAAGTTGAAAAAGAGTGGCGATAAAGCATCCTTGTTTTAGACCATTCTGTATAGGAAATTTATCAGACAAATGTTTACTTACACGGCCTTTACTATACGTTTCATTTAAACACATTTTAATCAACCTAACTAGTTTCATGGGTATCCCAAACCCTATCAGAATATTGTACAATATTTCCCTCCTAACTGAATTGTAGGCTTTCTTGAAGTCTATGAATAGCTGATGTACTGTCTCATCGTACTCCCATTTTTTTCCAATATCTGACAAGTACAAAAGTTCTGATCTGTAGATGATCTGTTACATCGAAACCCACACTGATGATCCCCAATAATTTCATCTATATATGGACTTAACCTTGAGAGAAGAATATTGGATAAAATTTTGTATGAAGTTGATAGCAGTGATATCCCTCGATAATTACTACAGTCATTTTTATCACCCTTCTTGTGAACTGGTACAATAATAGACTCCTTCCACTGATCAGGCAATTTTTCCTTATGCCAAATAGAAATAATTAGATTGTGGATCTTAGAACGTAACATTTCACTTCCTGCTTGAATAAGTTCTGCCAGAATTTGATCACTACCTGGCGATTTATACCGTTTAAATTTTGCAATAGCACTTTCAGCCTCAAAAGGGCTAGGATCAGGTACTAACGGCTCAGCTGTATGGATTTCTGTCTGCCTGACATCACTGACCATATGTACATTCAATAACTGAGAGAAGTAGTTCCTCCACCTATTCAAAATGTTATGGGAATCTGCAAGCAGATCACCAGTCTCATCCTTCACTAAGTTACTACTAGGCTGGTAACCGCTCCTAAAGTCGTTTATTCCTCTATACAGATCTCTTATGTTCTTGTTCTTACTGTTCATTGCAAGCTCATCAATTTTGTCTTTCAGATAGTCCCTCTTTTTGTTCCTGAAATGCCTGCTGGTTTCATGTCTTATATGGTTCAGATTATCCCCATTTAACTTGCTTGGATCCTGTAACCATTGCAATTTGGCCTGCTTTCTTTGATCTAATAATTCTGAGCATACTTCATCAAACTATGGCTTATGCTTCTTTGGTTCATAATAACCTAGACTCTCTTTGGCAGACATTTTTATCTTCTCTCTAATAGTTTCCCAAGCTTTATTAACCTCAGTATTGCTTGAAAACAGCTGTCTAAAACATAGTGCAGGCTTTATTTGTTTATGTTTATCAACGAAAGATCTTACATTACAGGCTGTCACAGTTCTTGTCAGCCTTGTCTAGTTGATTCATTGTTCTTTATGTACAAATATTAATGTATTGTCACGTGTTAGAATGACTGTTGGTGGGGTTTTATATTGGATATTGGATTTATTGACCACTTTAACACACAACTTTAAATAAGACTTAATTATAGCACTATCACTGATCTCCACACTTTCCAAGTAACTGTTACACACACACATTCTAGTGTTCTGAGTCTGTTACTAGGCGTTTCCTGATAATGGCTTCTAATGTGGAGATTCTTCAGCTTCTGCACTCATCTACTCTGAGTGGCAGCTCCCTTCCAACTGGGTACTCTTGCAACTGAATTTTCTCTTCACAGACTAACTGACCAAGCCCTAACCTTGTCCCTTGCTTATAACATCTCAGCACGGACCACATATAAAACACCATTACTCTGTCGCATATGTATCTGTTGCAGTGGGAACGTGTTCACTAAGCCGTTCCATAGCAGTGGCCATCTGTTCTTGGTCATTAAGACATTATTCCATTGTTTGTTTACCGGTCATTGCCTAGAAACGAATGTTATTTCAGAGCCGTTTGCTAGCAGCGGCTGTTTCTCTGGCTCCACAGGTCTTGCTTTGAGCAAATATACACCAATGTTGTCATATGTTAGTGAATCAACACAGGGATTGGATTGATGATTGAGTTTATTGCACACTTATGACTCATCACTGCAAGTAACTGTAAAAGTTTCACTAATCTACACACTCTACAGATCACTGCTGCAAACACTAAGCCTTCTGTGTCTTAGCTAGTCATTGCTTGGTAGCAGCATCTAACAATGCAACTCCAAACTGGTAATCACCAACCCCAGCCTCCAACTTCCGACTGCACACTTCTGACTCACAATTGTCCTGTTGGCTCTCGTTATGTGACCTCAGCACCAGTGAAACAGAGAGCACAGTTTCCCAGAATTCCTCTACTGTTGAGTGACATGTTAAGCAGGCTGCTGCATAGTAATGGCCTGGCTGTTCTTGATGCAGGAGTGTGGTTTGGTTGCCATGGAAACATTTTTGCTGGCCACTGCCAAGCAATGGACGGCTTTTCTGGCACAGTATGGAGGAGTCAGTCAATAGAATCATGTTACTGTGATGTGTCATGCTGCTGTAAAATGGGATATAGAAATGTTCAGGGGTAGACCCGTAATCTTTCAGTGTGTCTGTGACATTTCCCATTTGCATTATTATAGCCAGAAATATGTGCATATTCTGTAAAGTCACATCAGGAAGCCATGGGCACCTGTCATTTGTGTTGATTTTGACCAAACATCTGTTGTACTCATGGTATTTATTAGTCTTTATTGCCAACAGTTTGGTCACATGAGATGCCTCTTATATGTTGAGTTTACTGAGACCTCCAGTGAAAGGTTGGATACCACCAGAATTCCAAGGATGTTGTGGATTTAACCAAATTTTGTTACAGCTTCTGCTCACAGTAATGTTATCACCCAATGCTACTATATCTTCATTAAACTCACTTTCACTGTGTGATAAGATTGCTTCATTGCAGTCATACTACAAAATGACCTGTTGAGTGTCTTTTTTAGACATAAGAATTTGTGCCATTATGGCAAAAACTCTGTTGAGATTAACACAAGGATGGTTCAAGGTTGACCTGGACTTTATATTTTTACAAGAAGTCTGTACATGCCAGAACTGTCAAACTCTTATTTTCAAAATATTCTTCCTTTACACTAGCACATTTTTTCCATCTGTCAGGCAAGCTAGTGGTGCCAGCAGCATTCACTTCAGAACGCCATGTTTATGTTCATCATCAGTTTGAAATTCCTGTCCTAGATGCATTGTTGGTCCGACACAGGAGGCTAAGACAGGGCAGTAAGAAAGATGGGTCACAATTTCTCGGCCCATTGTTGCCACTGTCACCTTTGTAAAATTTGTCATGTGTGGACAAACATCGTCATGTAGTAGGATGATGATCTTTGACAGTTTCCCAAGTGTCTTCGTCTGAATTGCTTGGTGCACATCTTCGTAAAGTAGGTTACTGTAATGCTACTCATTAATTGTAACACCATGAGGAAGAAAACGTGAATCACTCCTGAATTCCATAACACACTTGCCCTGATCTTGTCAGCTGTGAGCCATAACTTGAACTTCTTTGCAGCTTTCAGAAAAATTATTGTACCAATAATAGACACTTGCATGTGACAAGGCTTCTTCCCTACACTGCGCTTTTAAACTGTGAAGAATTTCTGCTGGTTTCACTTTCTCTTTCACCAGGCATTTAATGGTACAGCACTGTTCTGCACTAGGAGTGATAAGGTCTTATGCTGTCTTGTACTAGCTGTAATGCACAGAAGCAAGGCGCATGGTCACCTGCCAGGCAGTGAGTGTAGTGTTACCAGCAGCTGGTCATAAGAAAGTTGTGTTCTCCTAGTGCCCACATCTTCAGGAGAAGAAAAAAGTCCAGGTTAACCTTGAACATCCTGCATGCAAGCCTTTCCCTCTTGCTGAGGCAGTTCAGCATTCAATGGTGGACCACACCCCATCATTTCCTTTGGGTACCAAGTGGGTACATATCTTGCAAGGTCACCATAGGTCTTCATAGTCACCACTGTGAAAACTTTCACCCCAGCATCTTAATTCTGGTTGAGCATCCATTACTTTTGTTGAATTAGATGCAGAACTTGTAATGTGTTAAGTAGTTGACAATCAGCATGAGAGAGAGAGAGAGAGAGAAAAGTAGACTTGCTGGGTAGATCAGCTTGTGGGGAGACAAATGGACTTCTTGATGTGGTGGATCAGGATAAAGTTCCTGTCCCTTCCCATTTGCAAGAGATGTCATGCATTAATACTGTGGGAAATTGCATGTCTCATGTCATTCTGTGTGAGAAATGTTTTGGTACAGACTTGACAAAGAAATTGAAGCCATTCAAAGAGACAAGATCCACACATAGCACAATATCAGCTTATTTTGTGAAGAAGTAATATATTACTAATTCTTTGCAGAAATTTTCATACTTTTTGTCATATAATTTTAACTTTTATCATGATGCTGTATGATTTTAGTTTCGGGTGAATGATCCTCTTTTCCAGTGTTCTTTCACTATAAGGTCTCCATGCATCAAGTTACCATCTCAGCAATATCTGTGCTGTGAAAGTGTCCAGCTGCTCAGTAATTCACTTCCATTATTTGCTGAGCATTGCATCTAAATGTTAAGATTTTTTGCATTTCCCTCAATTTACAATATTTTTCATCATTCCCCAGGAGAGTGTAACTAAGGGGTGCTGCTGTAGTTAGCCCACTTCTGAGCAAAGAAATTGTAAATCATTTGTAGACGATTACTTGCAGAGTGATGTAATTACAGGGTAGCACACAGTAGTGTAGTTGGTAGGGGCAGTATGCTACAAGCCAGAAGGTCACAGGTTTAATTCACAATGAGATTACTGGATTTTTAATTGACCTAATCCTTCCAGCTGCATTTTTGGCTCTGGGGTCGACTCAGCGTGTAACAGAAATGAGAACCACAGATCTTCCTGGGGGTAAAAGGCAGCCAGCATGTAAGGTTGACAACCTCACTGCCACCTGTGATCCAATTGTATAAAAAATGTGGGAGCCTTGACATTTCAACCCTGTGGGCCTCCATGGCCTGTTACAGGGATAGCTTTACCTTCAGAAGCTAATTACAATTAAATTGCTTCCACAAGTGTTGTGTTACCATGACAAATGACCCCAATTTTGTTAAATGTTTGAATGGTGTGCTTTCCAATATTTTTAATATTTTAATACCTGGTGATGTGTGTGATAAACAGTTTTTCAGCTATGATGACAATCTTCTGGGATGTGACATGTATTCTGTTATGCTACGTATCTTTAAATTCCTTACAGTGTCACCCTGCATTATTAAGAAAATACCTTCATCGCTGAAATAAATAATATATTTAATACAAATGTAATATTGAAGTTACATGCGTTGTATGTTTTCAGGTCCAAGAGCTTGCTATGATGAGGGCAAACGTGTAGCAGAGACTTTAAGTTATGCTTATGCTAAACAAGAAAAAGTTGATGTTAGAGTAGCAAGAATTTTTAACACATTTGGTCCAAGAATGCATATGGATGATGGTCGCGTTGTATCAAACTTCATATTACAAGCTCTGAAGAATGAACCAATTACAGTAAGAACATATTTTATATTTTTTTCCCATGTGTAACCACCACACCACAAAACTGGTGAGAGAGTATCTAGTATTAACACACTTGTACACTTCTTAAGAACTCTTGCTGTCTCTGTTTTTACGTAGTTTACTTGCTTGTATTCGTAACTTGAGACAGCTGCATAGAAGTGATTGATTTACTTGTTCATTACAGATATATGGTCATGGAAAGCAGACTCGATCTTTTCAGTACGTTTCTGATCTTGTGGATGGGCTGATTGCACTTATGGCTTCCAATTATACTCTTCCTGTCAATTTAGGGAATCCTACTGAGTACACAATTGAAGGTAAGTTATACATTTCCAGCTACATTCATCACTGATCATGGAATCATACTGTAGCTTGTAGAGCCATTGCTATGCGAAACTGCTGGGCAGATATACCAGGGCCGTTTCTGGCAGCGGCTTGATAAACATGTTCCTGCAGTAACAGATAGGAATGTAACCATGGTGTTTTCAAATCAAAACACATCTATAGAAGAGCTGTGTTTTCTGTGTGATCCATGCTGAGATGTTATAAGCAAGGGACAAGGTTAGAGCTTAGTCAGTACTGTATGGGAGTCTGTGAAGAAGACTTGAGCCCAGAGGCAGAGGAATAGCCATTGTTGGACGTGTTACCAGAAAGCGCCTAGTAACAGACTGAGAACTCTAGACTGTGCGCTCTAGTCCTCAACGTCAACTGAGAAAGAGTAACCATCTCATCTTTTCAGAATTCGCATCAATGATAAAACGACTGGTTGGGAGACCGAGTACAATCAAGCAAGTGGCAGCTGTCGAGGATGATCCTCAGAGAAGAAAGCCTGACATTTCCCGAGCAAAGAAATATCTTGGCTGGGAGCCTAAGGTATGTCTATTTATCATTTTATATTTAAAGTAACAATGTCACTGGTAACTTAAGATTTTGATGGTGGTTGGACCCATTTATTAAGACTGTTCTCTTGAAATTCATCCTTTCCCAGTTTATAAAACCACTTGAAAATTGGCTGTGTTTCCGTTAAACCATTCTTTCAGGGCAGCTGTGCCATCCCTAGGATGGGACAGGTAGGCCAGTCACACAGGGGCCCCATGCATTAACATTACAAAATAAGCAATATTTCTTTCGCACTATCATAGGTTAGGGGTTAGAAAAATCTTACATTCTTTGAATTCTAGCTGCTAAGCCAATTTGTGAATTGAAATCTGCCAGTCCAACTCTTAAAGATGTCTTCATTACTGTCAACTTTGAAAACCACATTCACAGCTTGCACTGTGACTGCCTCTGCAGTTAAATTGAAATAAGGAAATGTGATTAATGCTTTTTGTTTTGAATTACTTACAAATTGTTTTATTTTTTGTTCTTGTGAGCAGCCACCTGCTCACGCTGGTTCCTCGCTCGTGGATTTTTCTACCCTTAAGATTGGATGCAATATGTTCCTCTCAAACATCAGGTCACACAAGATCTACATGGCGCTACATCCCTGAAGATGGTATTCTTCATGTATTTTTTTGTTTTCACTGTCTTAGGTTCCATTCCAGTCATTATAACTGATAAATATCCTAAAAGTATCAGGAGATCAGTATAGCCACCACAGATCTCTTCTTTATGTATTTTTCTCTGTTCACATTAGTTATTTTTATCTTTGATACTAGGTGCCTCTGATGGATGGGCTCCAGAAGACTGTACATTACTTTGAAGAAGAACTGCAGAGGGCTACACATGACCAGCGAAATTTCTACAGACCAGAAGAAAGGACGGTGTCTTCTCTACAAGATTTAAAGTAGAGACTCAACCTTGTGTTGAAACCTCTTGTGTTCATGTGCAGTATATGGGTTATAATATTGCCGTGTGTATGTGTGTGAATATAGACTGAGTTTGGATCGGTGAGTGGATTTATTGACCACTTATAAACATGTCTCAGAACTACAAATAATTACAGCACCACTGCTGATCTCCACAATTCACAAATCACCACAGCACCTGCTAAGCCTTCTTCCAGCCTGCCATATCTTTACCAGCTGTTCCCTGGCAACAGCTTCTTACATTGGAGACTCTTCAGCTTCACACGCTCAGGTCCTGTCTTCACAGCCTCCCATGCAGAACTTAACTGCCTAATAACTTGCTTATAACATTTCAGTGTTGGCTTCCACCTTGGCTGTTATATGTTCTATCAGACGTCCCATCATCTGTGCTGTCATTTGTTCAGTTTCCATAGTATGGTGATATAACAATCAAGATCCACTGTAGTTTCCAGTCCAACTATTTCTGACACCAGTTGTCACATGTGTGTGACTATAGATGAGGTTTGGATTGGTGGATGAATTTATTGACCACTTATACACATGACTTGGAACTACGATTACACTACCACCACTAATCTCCACATTTCACATATCACCACAGTACCCACTAAGACTTTTTCCAGCCTGCTATGTCTCCTCAGACCATTCCCTGGCAACGACCTCGTAACAGTGGAGATTCCTCAGCTTCATGCGCATTCAGGTTCTAACTTCACAGCCTCCCCTGCAGAACTCACTAACAACTGAATTTGTCCCTTGCTTGTAACATCTCAGCACGGACCACACAGAAACACCGCATTTCCAACGGTAACTTTATTGTTGCATGCTTATTCATTGCCGCAGGAACATGTTTACTGAGCCATTACCCTGAAACAGTTGCTGTTACAGAGTCACCGCTTGGCATATGCCAAAATATGAAATACATCTGTCATGAAGAATCAATGATCTCTAAGTGACCTTCTGGTATTGTAATTTATTTCATACAAACAAAGGTATCTGTTCCTTGTCAATATCACAGCATGTGGTACCTGAAGCTATGAAGAAGGAACAGTACTGCTGCTCCAGTTTAAATAAGATTATACGACGGTAAGTCAATAAGTAAGTTACAAATGGATATAGAACTGAAACAAAAAAAAAAGAGTACTGGTTTGAAAAATGCTTTTATTTCTCAACATAATCTCCCTGTACATTGAGGCACTTGTCCCATCGTTTCACAAGGCCCTGAAAACCAGCAGCATAAAATTCTTTGGGCTGCTGTCGGAACCAGGCGTGTTCACACGGCATGGCCTACCTCATAATGCATGACAGGTTAGGCTTTCACAAAGTCTGTGCATGATGGGTGGCATGCATGCTGACCCCACAACGCAAAATGCAAAGAATAGGTCTGGCATTACAACATCTCAGTCGCTACCACAATGAAGGACAGGACATGCTAGCCTGAATAGTCACAAGTGATGAGTCTTGGGTTCACCATTACCAGCCTGAGACAAAGCATGCATCAGTGCAGTGGAAACATCCTGCGTCGCCTGCCAAAAAAAAGTTTAAGGTGACACCATCCTCCAGGAAAGTGATGCTCACAGTCTTCTGGGATCATGAAGGCATACTGCTCACCACATTCCAGCCTCAAGGACAAACCGTAAATGCCGACTCCTACTGTGACATCCTCAGGAAATTTTGTAAGGCCATTCAACAGAAGCATGCAACCTGTCATGAATTATGAGGTAGGCCATGCCGTGTGAACACGCCTGGTTCCGACAGCAGCCCAAAGAATTTTATGCTGCTGGTTTTCAGCCGATTGTGAAACGATGGGACAAGTGCCTCAATGTGCAGGGAGATTATGTTGAGAAATAAAAGCATTTTTGAAATCAGTACTCTTATTTGTTTAAGTTCTATATCCATTTGTAACTTACTTATTGACTTACCTACATATGTGACTGAGGAGTGAGATAGCATCCAAAAACTGTACTGCACTTACACACTGCTGTAACAGCTGTGGCTACCGTGTATATTGGCAAAATTATGGAGTACATTTCATTATATCTTCTGGTGTTTTTTGTCAGGCCCACGATAGGAAACAGGAAGCTGGGAAGAGCCTATGTTCAAACAATGTCTCAGCGGAAAGGGGAGGCTTAAAATGCTGCAGATGAAGGAATGTCAGTTTACATTATAGTCAAGCAATTTTCATGTCTTGTGTTTTCTTTCTGAGTTTTATTAAGAGAGAGTGAGGGGAAAGAAAGAGAGCAGTGTTTTACAGACTTTCTTCTTGTGAAACCCCCTATTTATATGAAGAAATACTGAGTTTGCATAAAAATGTGATTCCTACTTTACTTGAGTGAGGCTAGCAGGAACAGTTATGTGCAGTTTATTGTAGGATTCTTATCTCTTGATGTTTGGTGAGAAAAAATACAGTTTCCAGTCTGTTGTCGCATGGACTTGTGTAGAAGCAACAGTCTTAAGAAACTGATATTGGAACAGACTGAGTAGGAATATAACTGAATTATTTTGTAAGAATAAGTGATTAAACTATGAACTGAACCTTTATAAGCAATGTTTTCCTTAACTTTTTTGGCAGTAGGAAATTTGCCTATGTCATAATAATCAAAAACAGTTCTGCATAAGACATCATTTTGGAAGTTGTCTAGGTTTGTCACTTTTTGGGATGCTGATGTATTTTCTGGGTGACAGACCTTCTTGGTACTCTCTTCTTTCCCCTTCTTTGCCTCCTTGGTTATGTGCAGAACAGTCAACTTGCTTACACAAGACACTTTGGCTGTGAGGTCCTGGAATTTAGCATAGTGCAGTTTGCATCATTTTTATTCAGACACATATAAGGGGTGAACAAAATAATGGAAACACTAAAATGATTCTTTGGCTGTATCCTGGAAATATTGCCCGAAGAGTGATATCAAAATCCTGGGTGTCTTGGATAAATATGTGCAATGCAATAATTACAGGAAATTTTTTAATACTTTTAAAATGCACTTGGGGTTTACTGTGCACATGTAGCAAAACGTGGCCTTCGGCTAAGTACATGTTTCATCTGAGTTCATGAAAAGTTTGTCTGAGCACACATGATATTTGATTTTTAAACTCATAGAAGTTGACATGAACTGGGCAACACAGCACTTTCCTTTCTAGCTTGCACCATATCAGCAGCAACACCCCAAACACCAAGAGATATAAATCCCACTATAGTGACCCATTTCTGTTCATACTTTTTAAATATGTATATGTACCCAGTATTACCTCAGAGCTTCACACTACCTTCATGTTTCTGGTCACTAACAAAATATAGCATACAGAATTTGTAGACATATTCATGATGCAGTAGACCCCCAGTTATCAGGCATGTAAAGGGGATGCAATGTGCCAGCTGTTTGAGAAGAACTTACAGAAACTGAATACATCAGTTCATGCATGGGTGTCCACAGGCAGTATAACAGATTGATGGAGGAAGGATTTTGGATATATTTTAATGCAGCTGCAAATTCCAACTAGCATTTACTGTAATGGCACCTGTGTTAGAGAGTACGAAAGGCAGTGGCACTAGTGGCCAATGGGAGAACTACCACATGGCCGATTTTTTAATTGTGAATTACATGTTTGTATTTTATAAAACTGGTATATTTTGTTTGAAATTTTTGCCAGTTGCATGAGATTATGAAAGCTTCAATACCAGAAATCTGAGAGTACTATATATTGTACCACCATACATCATTCATATTTAATAGAATCTACATAAAGGTGTTCGGATGAAAGGTATCCAAAATAAAATAATTATATCTCAGAAAGCATTTATTATACACATTTATGGGTTACACCATTGCAAAGGGAAACTATTGAAGTTTTTTCTGAGTATATAACTTTCTCAATGTGGGCTCCCTTGATGGCACAACAGATATCCAGATGATATTCAACTTCATTCCACGTTACTTTACGCCACTTTATGGTAGCCACAGTGTCCCTTATGCAGGCTTTCGGGTGTTGAAAGTCTTTGATCTTAATCCAGTAGAAAATGGGAAGCATAATAGATCACTGTAGGTCATGGTGCAAGGGCCGAGAAGGCCCACCCCTTATACATTCATTCATTCATAACCTGGTAGACAATGTTCTTCACATAACCCCACAAGAAAAATCCACTGGCATTAAATCTAGCGACCTAGGGGGCCAAGGGAATGGTTCACCTCTGCCTAGCCATCTCTCTGTCCAGGTGATTCCTAACATGGTGGCAGAAATGTGGTGGCGCTTGCATGTACGCCAGGCATGAAAAAGAACTTTCAGCGTTTTCCTTTCCAATGACATAAACCAGATACGTGTATGACAATTGGTTTCTGAGATGTACATTTTTTATTTTGAATACCTTTCATCCAGACACCTGGTATATATGCCAAAATGATAATACAAATTCCTCATCAGTATTTCTTATTCCAATGCACATTATTGTATCAAAGCAGTGCTGTGCCACCCATCTTATGTGGGGGTTACATCCTAAAGACAGCACACTTAAACCTAAAATCAGATACATCTAGAATTAACCTTGCAAATCCTTTAAATCGCCCATAAAGTACGTGCTTTTATACATAACCTGTAATATGTATGTATATAATTTATATAATATAGAGTACATATACAAGTAAAATGTACAGGAATTTTTTAATTTCATAAAAAATTGAGAGATGGAAGAATGAAATAATAAAAAAGGAAAACAGTAAACCTGAATGCTCACCAATCATCCTGCATATTCTGATGATTAATCTTCATATTGCCCCCACTTCAGTACCTCAGGGTAGTCAGATCTTGATAGTGTCATGTGATTAAGTCACTATAGATGGGTTTTGGATTGATCAGATTTATTGGACTCTTTGATACAGCACGACCACACTTTACAGTTCACTGTTACACACACACATTAGTGTCCACGGTCATGTCTTCACTGCCGTTGCTTGGTAGCACCTTCCAGTGGTGGATGTTCCCTTCCTTTGAGTTCCCAAATTATTCCTGGCCTGAGGTAACATCTTCTCACAGCAACAGCTCACAATGACTGAACCACAGCAGTCTTCTAACTCACCCACCAACACCCAGGCTGGTGGCCATCCCGCACCAACCTCCTCCTCTTCTCGCTGCCATTTCAAGACTCCTGTAAGTCCAAGTCACATTGCAACTGACGGTCAGTCAGTCTGTCCCCAGATGGGGCTCATGACCAGATTTTTTTTTCCTTATGTGAAAGTTACTGTCCTGTCCATTTGGGGCGCCCTCTCACAAAAGGTCAGGTCTGTCATTTGTCAGTCATAGTCCGTATTAGTAAGTCCATTGTCAGTATTTACATATATTTACAAATTTAATCTTAATTCCTATTTTTATGTACACTATATACAAGGCCTCTGTCAATCCAACCTCAGTACAGCAGCTTATGCCCTATTTCTAGTAGTATTCGCTACTATGACAGTCTAGTCACTTGAACAGTCATATGCCTGATGTTAAGATGTCACTTCCTTCAAGGCAGTAACTTGAAACATAATATTTTCCACAAAATTCATTGTTTCTGAACGTGAAAATAATTAGTTATATGTTATGTTACCATGACATTTGTAAACTTGGAAGTGCTCAGAAAGTGAAAGTTACTGTATGTTGAAAGTGGTAGACATCATCAGTTGGGTGTTGCAGGGTGTTTTCCAGGGGCAGATGGCTAGAAAATTTGTCTACAAAGTTTGATTTGTTTCATTCTGGTCCGTCACACTAACAATTACAAATATAAATCACTCCATCCAATGTGACCTGTAAGTTTTTTGCTACATGAAAACTTAACACCCTTACATGTTTCAGTCTCTGTGCACCATCTTCAGAGGGCAAACAAATGTTTGCGTAAAGTACGTACACATATATGCTACAATACATAGTACACAAAATATAACATTTCACAAACATAGCAGTTTCCTGGGAATGTAAAGTTTTTTAAAAAATTGTATAAAATTTCTTGACCCTAATTAAAAATTTTTTGGATTGTCAATAATTAAAATTCGTAAACATGCAGGCTCGTGTTCGTCCTCCCATCGTCCCTCTTATATGGGGCAGATATTGTGCCACCTGGCTATCTTGATGTGGAGGTTCTTTATATCGTCCAGGGTTTGCTCGTGGCTGCTGTCCTGTTTTCACTGTGTATGTACTTTACGTCTAAACAACTTATGTGATGGTGGTTTCCTATTTGTAGTGATGTTTGCGCTCTGAAGATGGTCCACAGATACCGAAACATGTAAGGGTGTTAAGTTTTCATGTAGTAAAAAACTTACAGGTCACATTGGACGGAGTGACTTATATTTGTAGTTGTCTACAAACGTACATTTAAAGGGTTCAAGAATCTTTACTGATCGCCCTGGCTATTGTAGTCAGAAATGAAAAAAATAATTGGTCATGTTTATTGTATTTACTTCTTTTTTATTTTATTTGGTAGGACAGATTACTGACTTTGGCCTCACGCGTGAAGCTCCCATGATCGTGTGTGGCAATATAACAGTTTTGGGAACTCGACCGCAGACTGGGATCGGAAATAATGAAGTCCATGAAAGAAATCTACAGCCTGGAACTGAACGCAATCATGAAGCCACAGAATGTTTGCGCAGAAAGTAACGATTTTTATTAGCCAAAATTAGTGTAGTATAGAATCGCTTCTTACGATGTACTCCTGTTATTGAATTGAATTACAAGACCTGGATGACCAACAAACCTGCGGTATAAAACACGAAAATGGTTATTCTATTTGTTTGTTCGAACGCGGTGCAAACATTGAAAAGGTGACCGGATGTGACAGGCTGTAACCCCTGGTCAAGTAGCGGAATGTGATTTCAAGTATTCATTTTCTCGATTTCTCGATATTGCTTCCCTGACAAAGTCGATTTATTTCGTACTTTCAGGCCCATACCAAACAATCCGTCAGACTCTTCCACTGATATTCTTAAGTCATTTTTGTAAACTTCTCTAGCTTCTTAAGCCAACTGCGTAATGGTGGTAACGGTCGTAAAATTGTTGTACTCTTTTAATCGAAATTATCTCTCTCAGAGTCAGTTTCCTCAACGCATGGATCGAACATCACACGGTCCTTCGTAGTACTTCTGAGACGTCGGAGACCATGCAGGCCATGTAGTGATCCATGGGTCCGTGGGTGTCATGACGGGAGGTGCTGCTACCTGTCGATAAACGCTGTATCATGTACGTAAACTGTGCTATTTGAAACTTTGAAATGCTGTAGTTGCTGAATGGTGGAACTTGTTTTAGCGGCATAAATGCAAAGATTGCCTATTTATAAATGTACTTTACATAGTTAAAAACAATTTTTGTGGTGGCAGTGCATTTTGTAGAAGCTGCGCTTCAAGTGTGTATAACATCTGTTGTTTTGTCATATTACATGTTGAAGTGAAGTGTTCGAAATGTCAGACGAAGAAAATGTAAATCTTCGTTTCGTAGTTCCGAAGGGTTTTAAGAGTGAGATTTTTTGTTCCGAAGATATGAAAATGGCATTTCAGGTATAATTTCTTCCAGCATTTCGTTATTGTACCTTGTGTTTCTCAAAACTCATCCCTTAAGACAAGCCCCTAATTATCATCATCTTCGTTAGTGATTTGTTTACCCCTTGTTTCTTAACATATGTTGTTTCTTTTGTAATGCTCGTCCACAATTGGGTCTATAGATGTTCTGAAGCACACTAATAAATAAATTGAACTGAATTATTGTTTTTTGCATTATCATCAGTATTTTGCCTGCAATTCCAAATTTTGTAGAACGAGATACAAGTAAGATATTGTACATTTTTTCGGAGCAGTGTATTTATACAATAAAAACTTTGGCCATTATCTATGTCAGTGTGGACTTGTTGTCCGATGTTTCAGAGACTTTCTGTCTCCATCAGCTGAGGTTGATGTGATTATTGGGATCACATGCTGTATTTATACATATGACTCGTATCTGTCACAACCCAGACTGCCTTGACATGGTAGATAGCCCATGAGGACTTCATTTTCAGTGTATACTCTTACAATGAAAGCTTGAAATCATGCAAATAATATCCGTGTGACACTTTTTCCAGAGCTGTGTGGAACATGAGCTATCACCAGAATGGATCTCAGAACATAAGTGTGCATCTCTTAAGCCAACGAAACAGGATGTCTTCGTGTTTCAGCAATTTGAAGGAGACACATTTTCTCAGTATCAGAACCTGAAATGTGTGTAAGTCATTCATTATGCAGTTACTGTGTTGTGAAAGTGTTATTTTCTTGAAGTATGAGTATGTTTTGCCAAATTTTGTTTGGACAGTGGTAAGCAGTGATTTCTGCATGTCTCAGATATTTACGTATGTGCCAAGGTCTTGAAGGGTGTGGACATAATGGACAGTTGGAAATACCTGCAGTCTTAATGTGGTGGGCTTGTTGAATATTTTTTGCAACTAGAATAAAACTATAGTTTTCCATTCTTTGTTGTGATATATTGACACATGTTTATCACCAGAATTTACTTTGCCTTCACAATTGTGACTACTGTAAAGATTTATCTTCCTCGCTCTTAAATGAGCCAGGTGCTGAATCAGAGATGGAGCCCTGTGACAATATGCTGTCTGGTCAGGATTGTCACACACTTCAGGGGCTGGTGGGAGATGAGTTTGGAGCAATGATGGAATGATTATTAGGATGGGGAATGTGAATAAACAGAGAGAGAAACCTGTTCAGGTACCACTTTTTCCACCACCTATCCCACATGACTATCATGCAATTGAACTTGGGTCACTGTGTTGGAAGACAGACAACTAACTGCCTGAACAATGGCATGGCCTAGGCTGATGGTATCATGATCTATTCCTTTTCTTGAATGCTACACCTGTACCTGCTGTTGGCACAATGTTTTATGATGAAGATATTGTCACATGATGGAGTGACTGTAAATGGGTAATTAGATTTATTGACCACTTACATATTGTAACTGCAAGTAACTATAGTGCTATCACTAATTCACACACTTTGCACTTCACTACAGTACATACTAAGTCTTCTCAGTTTGTTTTCAATAGCTGTTTCTTGGTAATGGATTCTAACAGTGGCCTCTGCTTATGGTGTTACTGGCTGACAAATGCCTCAGAGCTGTCTAAATTGTAGACCTGTCCCTCTTAAGCACCTCAGCATGGACCACATAGAAAGCACCATCCCTCTATTGCTGTTCAATTGTTGCTTGTTAGGAATCTGTTGACTAACAGCGGGCATTGGCATTGTTTGTAGAGTCATTACTTAGCAGTGGGACTACATGCTACAGTATATTTTTGTCATAATGTGAGGACTTTTTTTTTTTTAATCTTCACTGATTAGACTGTTACAGTTTGCACCTTGTTCTTTAGACCTAAAAGCCTCGTGGAAAGTCATGAAGGCTGTAATGCATGCTGTTGTAAGCATGTGGTTTGGATCCATTTTTCAGAGGGCCACTAAGCTATTAGCAAGATTATATACAGTAAGTCCGTGTTTAATATTATTTCAGTTAACATTGTTTCTTTATTATTTTAGTGCTCTTTGTATACTGAGACTCCACACAGTGTTGTGTTTTCTTGTTATTGTGCTCTTCATCCCAGAGTTTAAGAAAATGGTTGAAGAGGAGAGTTACTTGCACGATCAAGTGTTAAATACTGGCATGACTTAGTCATCATCTAGCAATTCAATTGCAATGCAATCAATGCTTTGGGCATTGGTGAATACAATGTATCATCATAAATGTTAACTCAACTTTGTGGTTTGTAATAGCATGTATTTATAACCAAGAATATACAACAATTTACAATTGCCTAGATATTATCTATATCGCAGTATGTGTTTTTTGGAAGTGAATAGAGGTTGAGGAATGTAATCTACTTCTTTCTTAAGTTTCTTATGATAAAAGCAGATCTATACTGTCCCAACTTACAGGAACATATCCACAACATTAGATGAGTACTTACTGTACTACTTTTATAGTACATGAGATTTGAGGTTCATATAGTTGTGAATATTGTCATAATAAATGTGGTTTGGATTGGTAATTGAATTTACTGAGCTGTTAAACAACACGTGACTACACTTCACAAATCACTATAACACAAGACTAGTGCTCAGGACAAGCAGCATTAAGGAGGAAGCAGTTGGAGAGTAAACACTTTGAAAACTGAGCCATGGGGAGGAAGGTGAGACGTATCACAGATGTCACAAGCACAGCCCTTGGAAGTGAAGAAGTGGCAGTACACCTGTAGGCCATTTGGGATGAATAGCTGCTGTGTGTCTTGAAAACAAAACATGCAACACCACACACAACAGGAGAGAATACAACCTACCAACTGAAGCCCACATGCGCATCGAGGGGACTCTTTAACATACTGTCACGTGTTGGGTATGTAACGCGACAAATAACTCACGCCGTATTGGATATAGCGAATTTATTCCACTCGCTCTTACAGTTACACAATTTACAATTTCACAATTACTGCCATTGGCAGTATCACAAATACGTCTTCTGCTGTAATCACTTCCATGCACTCGATACAACTCAACTCGTATTTGCTGGACTTCAGTTCATACTGGATACCGGATACTAGTAACTCAGTACTCACTACTCCTGAATAGTGTTTGCTGCTCCTTATTTAGGCTTGGCATGGACAACATTGAGAATACATTGCTGATCAGCAACAGATATCAGTTATTGTTGTCAGGTGTTTGTACCTATGCATTGCCTAGCAATAGTCGTTGCACAGACTTGCCTGTTGCGTGACAGCACAGCCTAGCGGGGAGGGGTGTTTACCGAGCGTTGTGTAATGATGGGAGAAGTAGGGGTATGTGACATCACTCATGGAAATGCAGAGTTCACGTGACCCCTACTTCCTGTTGCACCATCCACATTACAAAATGAACGAAACAGAAGACAGCAGTTTCATTACCCAATAATTCCAACACCTGATGATGACCACATTGGTTGAAATGTGTAGTGATAAACTTTTAAAAGTGAATAACTCTTAATAAATTTGTAGATCATAATGTTGCATGTGAGACTGTAAAAACTAATTGACACTAAGCTCTTAGTATGTGTGCCTAGGTACACATATAACAGCTGATAATATATTCACCTGTATAAAGCAGCTCTTAGTGCATGAAGATGCTGTAAGTAGTGTTTCCACTGCACATTACAGATATCAGCAGTTCCCTGTCCAAGTGTAATTAATATCTGGGTCATCATTATATCTTGTGAAACTCAAATTCAGGCAGTGTAGGGCCCTGGCACATTTATATCTGTAAAGACAGGGACTGGCTCTCTCGATTTGATCCAAGTGAGTAGGCTTTTACCTCAGGACGGAGGCAGAGCAGTCTCCAAAATGTCTTTTTTAAATAAAAAAGAGGACATGAATAATGTCCAAGAAGTATATAATTGTAAGGCCCTCTTCTAATTGTTACTATATGCACAGGCAGTAATGTGTGAAAAGTTTGGGGATTTATATGGAAGATGAATTTTAAATATATGTCTTCTTATACTTCTAGAAGACTCTGGGGCCTTGGAGCAACTAGATGACTGCAAATGAGGTGGAGTGACATGGGGGAACAATAATTTCAAGGGCAGCAAGCCCAGAGCACATGACCACACACAATATTATGTGAAAACATAACATTTTGACCCTTACCACCTATGTGAGAACACTGCAATGTGTTGTTTTGTTTCTCTCTTATTATTTTCATACAGATTAGAACCAGTAATGTTATCTGTTTTCAGCAGGTTATTAGGGCCCCGATGTCTGCTGTCATGTCTAATGGAAGGCTCGCCTATTCCAGACAGCTGCTCCCCCATCTTCACAACAGCAATGCGAGGTTTGGTTGTGACCACAACAAATTTTACTGGACAAGAAAAAGTAAGCATTTCACAACAGATATAAAACTTCATTACTCAGGACTGCAAATACACAGTGGAAATGTCGCACTGAAATATGTTGTATGTGGAAATACATAATTTTCTTAGTCATATCCATTTTTGGACCATATGTTCAGATGTATACGTTTAATCAGCAGAATGGCCAGTCACGGTAGCTGAGTGGTCTAAGCCATGTACTGTCTTCGCTCGCTTGGAAACCAGGATCATGGGTTCGAATCCCACTCAGGGCATGGACGTTTAGTTTGTGTGTGTGCGTTTTTCTGTGTGTGTGTGTGTACAGGTAGAGGCCTTGCGACGAGCTGATCACCCGCCCAAGGTGTCCTACCGAATGTGTAAGATCTAGAAAAACTGAAGTGAACGGAGAAGTTCGTGGAGGTAGGCCTAGGCCCACTGGGGCTGTAGTGCCAAGGAAAAAAAAACATCAGCAGAATGAGTGGTTGGGTCGTCTCACTTGATATAAGAAAGTTGTATGACAACCACACAGCTATATGTATAAATTCCTGTGTTCATATCATTCACAAATTTTCAGCATGGCTCTTGGACCATTTGGATTTGTGCTATAAAGAAATTTAAAGTTCTCATGGTGCGGAGTATCAAAGTTAAGGTGTTCTGCAGTGCAACACCATGTAGTTTGGTAGGTAGGTTATAAAGTTTCCCTTCATTTTTAGGGTCAGATATGAATATTCAGGTAGCATGTGCCTCTGAAGTGGTGGTGCCTGTCTCCCAGCTACATGGAGCCACATCCTAGATGATTATGATAAAGATAGATATGAAGTTAGTAACATTCATAATATGCAGGTTTGGCTGTTAGAGTAATATTATATTTAAGCATTGTGTTGCACCAGTTGATTTCTTCTTCTCAGTCTTACTAACGCAGCTTTCGTAGTGTTTCAATGGTTGCACGGCTACTGCCACGCTGTCACTATATCTTACATTACATTACATTCCCTGGATTCAGAGTTAGTCAAAATGACTGTAGGATGTGGAATATGCAGAAACATATGTACAGTACAACTGAAGTTTTCACGCAAGAAAACACAGTGGTTACGCATAAGGCTATTCGAAAATACATCCACATATATACATCAATACTGTCAACTTATGCTATGTGCACAACCTTTAAACAGGTGAGTCATTTTTTAGACAATAGATATTCATCAAGAGAGAAGAATGAGTATTTGTTTAAGTATCATTATAATGCTGTTTTAAATCGTGCTTTTTCATTCTTAAGGCTTGGAGATCAGGTGACAAATTGTGAAGAAAGCAATCTTCTGGGATGTGGCGATGTGTAGATATTGTGTTAACCGACGTTCTTCTGAAACGTTGGTTAACACAATATCTACACAGTGCCTCATCCCAGAAGACTGCTTTATTCATAGTCACTGCCATGAGAACCTAAAATATTGCAGATGACAGATTATTCAGAATTTGTGTCCCACCATAATATGTGCTTTTCTGAGAGCATGAGAGGTTAGCAATTGGTTTATGAAGATAGTGCTTGTGTTAACACTGTGTACATCTACATTTGTCTGGAAATGTTCTTCTTTATTTGTAATGAAGTTTATTAATGAAAATATGTATTCGTGTGGAAGAGGTAAAATCTGTATCCTCTTAAACAGATTTCTACAAGTATTATGATCATGATTCTAACAGTTTTGTTTCACAATGTAAATACCTTTCTTCTGTCAGATGAATTGTCCCAGAAAATTATTCCATTCTTCACTGATGAGTGAAAGTAAGCAAAATAAATTGATGTTATATTTTAGCGTCCTGTTGCACTGATTTAAGTCCATGATTTATTTAATCCGTCTTGCAGTGCATACACTCATTTATCTCCCTCTCTCCCTCGCACTACATGTTTCGGCATAATAATGCCATCTTCAGGTGCTTACTTATCCACGTCAAACCAGTTCATTGCATGCCATGTTCACCCATTAAAATAACTAAAATATGTATCTATCATATACATTGTCAAACGTTAAAAATATTAAAATTGTTCAGGATACCACATCGCTACGTCGCCCCTCACTACGTCAGTCACGCCCATTCTCCTTTGTTGGAGCACTCCTTCATTATCTTGTGTGTTGTGCTTTTGTTGTGTCGTGCTCCTGCGACTGCGTGTGTTATACCGAAACATGTAGTGCGAGGGAGAGAGGGAGATAAATGAGTGTATGCACTGCAAGACGGATTAAATAAATCATGAAAATAAATTGATATGAGAGAACATAGATCTAACTGCATAACATGGTCCACTTAGCTTTGGAATCAGCTGATCCCAGATGTACGCCATGAGTGTGGCAAGGTATTTGTGGGCAGACTGTCAAGGTGAGCCATAGGGAACTTGTATGACATATATGTCTATTCCAACAAGACAGGTCACACTGGATGGACGTAGCATTGAATGAGGTCATTGCATGAACTTTGAGGATACTATAGCGCTTGTTAGAGCTACAGGCTACACGCATCACCTGGTCAGGGGGTCCATTGGATATGTATCTGTGGGTACACTCATTTGGTCATGTTATAGGATGCACCCTGCTAAAAAGAGCTTTATGTCTCTCATATCAATTCCTGATGATGGCAGCAGAAACTGTCTCTGAATCGTTACAAGTTCTTTCTCTACATGTGCACAGCTGAAGACTTGAGTGTTAAAAACTCTCCCATTTGTACTCTTAGTACCTTTTTTATTCTGGAATGTGGAATTCAGAGAACATTATGATAATCAGTTATTTTATGTGTGTGCAGGAGGACTTAATAAAGAAGACTGAATACATGGGTGCATTATTTTCTTCGAAGTTGGTTGGTGGCACAACACATCTTGTAGCAAAGAATGTTCTCAGTATAAAATATGAGGTAAGCCCTCCTGTTTAAGGTAGAATAAGCACATATCTGGGATAGTCTAGTGAAATTCTTGTCTGGTGTTTCACTGGAAGCTATTGTATTTGAACACTGTTATGGCAAAAAATCTTAAATGGCTGGAATTTGACAGTGAGGTAAGGGGGCTGGTACCATAGAAATTAAATGTCAAATGATGAAATGATTGAAATGAAAAGCTTTTAATGTGGATACGTTTAAAAAATTAAACTTGTGATGGTACCTTTTTGGAAAAACGTTATCCAGAACTGTGGCATTGGAACTGGGAAGTTTGTTTCATCTAAAAAATTGTTAGCATTGAACCCTAACTGAATTGTAATGTAGCTGAAATGTAATTGGATTTACAACCATCAGCATACTCACACATAAGCTCTGAGCAGTATGTTGAATGTGTGTGGTGGTGAAATCAGACTTTAGACTGGTGAATTTGAATTCAGTCTCTAAGGATTTACCATATTGTGCTGTGTCCACAAGTTACACTATACTGTCAGATTTGCATATCTCAAGGAGTGTTTGAATTGTGAAGGAGTGAAAATTGCTGTATGTAATTGACACATCAAATTAATTACAACAGTTATGAGAATGTGCATGATTTATTATGTGAGGTTTGAGATTCTCACAGTTTTGGTGAATATGAAGATTGCAGTCTCCTGGGAGGTGACATCATGTCAGCATATCAGGTGGCAGGTCAGTTGCCTTTTTCTCTTACCATGTTTGTTATGAATCATATTGCCACGTGTATGAGTGATGTTTGGATTGGTAATTGTATTTATTGAACACTTGCAGATTGTAACTACAAGTAACTATAGCACTATCGCTAATTCATACACTACAGCATATACTAAGTCTTCTGAGTGTGCTGTATCTTCGCCGGTTGTCACCTGGTAATGGCTTCCAATGTTGTAGCTTCCTTGGTTTTTGTGTTCACGTCCTTACTGGTTAGCAACTGTCTCACAACTTACTCATTGCTCAAACTAACTTAACTGTTTACACAGCTCTTAGCAAGGGGTCTGCATGTCACAGTATGTTTTCAAAATGAATTTTAAGACTTCAAAATAATGTATTGTAGCGTGTTAGTGTGTCACGCTACAAATAAGTTCACGCCGTTCTTTGGTATAGCGAGTTTATTCCTATCGCTCGCCTCACACACCCTTTACAGACATTTACACTTGCAGTGTCACAATCACTGCTTACAATATTCGGCGAGACACTGGACTCTTCTCCGAAGGCTGATCCGAGTCTTTCTTCTCCGAAGGCTTGGTCACGGCTGGCTTCTTAGCTGGCTCTTCCGAGACTGACTTCTCCGAAGACTATTCCGAGAGTTTCTTCTCCGAAGGCTATTCCGCGACTGAAGGCTTCGTGTCGAAGCTGGGCTATTTATAACCTTGCCCGCTGCTAGGTAACGAACCCTCTGTTATAGCGGTGGAGACGTTGCATTGTCGGTTCCGCGTTCCCTACGCAATGACCCATTGTTATTGCGTTGTCTCTGTGGGAACGCTTCGCGTATTCGTCACCGTGGAGATTCGATGTTCTCGGTACAACGGCTCACTGTTGGGATTACAGTGACGCTATTGTTACTTCCTATGTAACGGTCCATTCTAGCGTTTCCATAGAAGTTCCTCCTCTGGTTTGCCGACACGTTACACTGCTCCCTTCTAAAGGTTGTTCGTCCCCGAACAGCCTAAAGGTTCTCCCTCGGTTTCGATTCGCGTTGTTCTGTTGGCAACGTCTGCAATCGGCCTTTGTGTCTTTCGCGAGTCTTATTGCGCTGCTCATCTTACCGCATCCGCCCCTCTCTTCAGGCGTGCTCGTCCTGAGCCCTCTCGTGGTCCACAATTTGTCGGTCGCCTTTTTTTACATTCACTCGCTTTCTATTCATCCTTGTTGGGGAGGCCGGTACTTCCAAGTTACCGGTTCCTCCCATAAGGGCCGTTTCCCTTTTTCCTTTTCGGAGGGGGTCGACCCCTCCACAGTGTCCAGTGTCTAGTTTTCGGTAACTCGCTGGAAAGTCCCACTGCTAACTTCACAAGTTTTGACCCGATGGCCTTCCTCAGTGTCCGGCTGGCTGTTCTCTCACTTTTTGGATGCAGCCGCTGTTTTGTGCATGCGTCTTTTACTCTCATGTTCCCCTCTGGATCCTCCTCGAGCCTTCGCCATTTAGGGGTTCCCCTTGCGACGTTGTTCCAAGTTGGGTTGGTCCCCATGGTGTGTCCCCTACGTCGTGCTACTTTTGCATGGAGGGACATCCTCTTGTTTATTGGCGTTCTCCGTGCCGCTTTCTCTCGGCGTCTTGTCTGTCGGGTGACGGTCAATTCTTTACGCTGGCATCCGAAGGTCCCCTGGGGGGTTTCCTTCTTGGAGTCATTTCTCCAACGTCGTGCCACTGTCGCGCGACGGGATGTCGTTCTGTGTGTGATGGCCAATTCCTTTTGGGGCCCACGATTTTACCCTGTTGCATCCTTCGCTGTCTGGCGGCGGCACTCCGCGGCCAGTTTCTGGTCCCTACGCCTTTTCTTCGGTTCTCCGACCGGTATTCTCAGGGCGTCATCTACGGGGACTTCTTCTCCCTGCGTCGCCTCAGGTTTCGTGTTCACTGAGACTGGCTCCAGTACATCTTGGCAGGCTGTCGTCTCTTCCTGCCAGGCATCCGTATTGGCTTGCAACCTCTTCTCTCGCATGGCGGCCGTCCTTTCTTGGATGGCTCTTGTTTCTGCTCGGGTGGCTTCAGTTTCTGCGACAATCTTTTCTCGCCAGGCAGCCATCTCTTCCCGCCAGGCTTTTCTATCAGCCTCCGTTTCTTCCATGTAGGCTTTTCTATCGGCCGACACCTTTTCCTGGTAGCCTTTTCTATCTTCTCGCATGGCCAGCAGGAGTTCCAGTATCTGCTGCATTTCCATTTTATATCAGTGAGGTACTCGATGCACAATAAATAGTGTGTGGCGCGTGTTAAAGTTCGATCCCACTTCTGACACCAATGTAGCGTGTTTGGTTGTCTGTCACGCTACAAATAAGTTCACGCCGTTCTTTGATATAGCGAATTTATTTCGTTCGCTCACGCTTTACACACACTTTACAGGCGTTTACACTTGCAGTGCTACAATCACTGCTCACAATATTCCGGCGAGGCTGACTCCATAGACGGATATTCCAAACTGACTTCTTAGACGGGCGATCCGAAGCTTTCTTCTTCGAAGACTATTCCGCGACTTTCTTCTTCGAAGACTATTTATTACAACATTTCTGGAAAAGAAAACTGCATCCATTGTTTTCTTCTTTGTCTTCAGTCATCATTTCCATTTTATGTGAGTTGATGGATGAAAAGTCTCTTGTCCCTCTTATTTTTTAAAGGCTTTCATTTTCAGTTTCTTGCCGATGTCTGCCACTGCGTTGGTGAACCATTTCGCTTGGTTTTCCCAATTTCCTTAAATTTTAATTTCAATTCCCTTCTTGGCATGCTTGTACTATTCCTTCTTCAACCATGGTCAACATAATTTAGATGTTTCTCATTCACCTCTTCAGAAATTTTGGATTCTGACTTCTTTTCTAAATTTGATTTGAGATTGTCACACTGAAGAGTATAATGTTCAGGGTTGCAACATGATGTGTTACAGTAGAAGCCCACAATGGTAGGGTTGAGTGCACTCCCTTCATGTTCAAGGTCGAAGGGAAAGCCAAGATAAAAACTAGTTTGCAGCCTGGTTTGTGCTGGATTCGTGCTTTGACTTTCTGTTTTACCTTGAAGATTGAGGTGATACATTTCTCCAAAACACTGCTAATTTCTACCATACTGTATGGCATTAAAATCCAAAAGACTGTACACTTCTCTAGAAATTTCACGTTTAATTTCCTCTTGTCTTGTTCTTCTTCATTACTTCTTGCCTGCCTTTTTGCTTTTGTTTCTTTTTGTAAGGGTCCATGTTGCAAATTATTTAGTCAAAAATGATTTCAATATACTTCACAGTTTTTTGGGGGGATGGGGATTGTTTTAGTGTCTGTCTGTTCCATAATATTGCTCTTACAATTTGAAAGAATATGGAACTTTTTGGTTTTTCTCTTGATCTCTCCACTTATTTCCTTTCAGAACATGTCTGCATCTACTTCTGTGTTATTGATTTTAATTTCTGACATTTTACTGCCATCAAAGTGGCTGAAGTCTTTGGAAGCAGTACCTGTCAGTGTGTCTCAGTGGGTTACACCATGAAGATTTCTCTATACAGAAGGAGGAAGAGTTATAATTTCTTCACAAAACTTCTTATTATATTTACATTCTGCACCCAGCCTTTTAATTATGTCGCAAGGATCTCAGTACCTCAAGACTGTGATGAAAGTAGAGAAATCTAAATGCAGCGTTTGATGAGATGTAATGTAAGATGAAGGTAAGTGGTATTAATTTGTTTCAGAAAGCAGTAGAGAGAAGTCTTACTGTCATGACTCAGGATTGGGTACATTCTGTATGGGAGGCAAGTTGCAAGAGGAATGTTCATGCATCTGACCCAGAATTCCAAGTTTACAAATGTCCTGTGTTTCATGGCCTTACCATCACTTGCTCAAACCTGCCCAGGCAGCAGAAAGAAGAACTCAGGAAACTGATAAATGATAATGGTGAGGGTACCAGAGATCAGTTTACTGTAAATTGTTTGGCTTATAACATTTGATATTCGAGGTTCTTGTGGCAGTGAATATTAATATTACAGTCTTCTTGAATGTGACAGCATGCAGTATGGTGATAGTTGTCTGCCAGACAATACTGCATCACATCATAGAAGGCTGCAGTCATAGTGAATAGCATATGTGACTTGGCTGGTTCTGAATCTGCTTCTCAGTGCATTTGGGCCCTTGTAGGTTAATTTGTCAGTATTATGCCATATCTTCTTTGTTATTCTTTAATGATTTTATTCAGTGAACAGTCTTTACTTTCTGGATGACCTGTGTATGCTATTAAATGGAGGTACATTTTTCCTGTACAGATTGGATTTTTGTATTTTAAATGGGGTAAAACACTAGGATGAGAGACACTGAACTGGTGAAAATTATGCATTATTTGGGTGGGGATTTAGTTGGGATGGCAAGAAATGAACACAAAAAAACTAAGAAGCTCTTGAAGTGAGAAATCTTATTTCATGATTCTACCTATTTCATCACACTTTCACCACCCTCTCATCACCTCTACCATCTGGTGAGAGGTGTATTCTCTGAGTACGTTTGAATTTCCCATTGGCATATGAATGCACAGACCTTGTTTGAAATGGAACCCAGTGATGCCTTGCTGCATCAGCATCTGATATTGACAGACTTTTGGTCTTGTTCTGTGTGAGGTATGTCATGAAATAACACTGATCTCATAATCGTTTTTTCATTTAGGTGGAATTTTCAGCGGACAGCTAGAGTGTGAGAAAACGAAACTGCTCATCATTACTAATCCAACTGGAGAAAAATACAAGTATGCTTGTGAATGGAAGTTGCCATGTATCCTTCCATCTTGGGTTCATGAAAGTGTTTGTGAAGGTTATGCAGTCTCAATAGAACCCCATCTGTTGGCACACAAAAACGTTGTCAAATGTTCAACTCCGAATCCTGATGAGACACGTGAGTATGATACTGATAGCTCATATGCTTAGAATAAATTGGAGGATGATTTGCCCTTTCTCACTGTTCCATATTTCTCCACATTTGAATTTAATTTCACAGGCATTGTTCCAGCTCTCCTGGATTTGACTCCACATGCCAGAAGTTTTGCACACAGTTTGTAACATGAAAATAACAGCATCAGTTTGCATTAGACAATATTAATGAACTGCGGGGTACAGAGTATGCCTTGAAATATACAAGTATGTATGTATGTATATTCTCAGGTGGTCAAGCAAACTTTGTTCCTTTTGTGGAAGCCAAAACCCCATTACCATTCTCACTAAAGCTGGCCATTGGACTGTCCTGAAACATTCAAATCCAGTCCATACATTCATGTTCTATTTCTCTTTGGTATTTTGTCCTCCATGGAGGTAAGACATCACATGCAGTTCATGAAACATACAATAAATATCTTACTAGAATGATGCAATTCTTTTCTGTAGCATCCCCCCCCCATGTTAGGTGGGTCCCCTGTCACCACATCATGGCATGTCCTCAGGTTGTGGTTGCAGGAGATGACCTCCAGATATGGAAGGTAGCTGCAAATATATTAAATAAACAGTCGTGGATAGCTGACAAGGAGTGGTCCTCCAGCTTGGGGGTTGGGCATGAAGCTAGCAACTCCCCACCATAAAAAATTAGCTTGTTATGAAAGATCACGAGAAGCCTCGGACCTGGACGGATTCTTTGGATAAACGACCTAGGTGAAAGAAAATGGATATGGATTTGGTACGTGGAATGTTAGAAGTATATATAAAGGGCAGGTTCGCTCGGGCAGTGGCAGAAGAAATATCAGAAAGTTAGATCTAGTGGGAGTACAGGAGGTCAGATGGGACGGAGGTGGCACTGAGCCAGCAGGTGAATATACATATTTCTATGGAAATGGGAATGAGAACCATGAATTAGGTACAGGTTTTTTCGTACATACGAGAATCGTATCAGCAGTTAAGAGGGTAGAGTTTGTTAATGATAGGATGTTGTACATAATACTCAAGGTCACTGGTATGATATCGTTCTGAATGTACATGCCCCAACAGAGGATAAAATTGATGATATGAAGGACATGATCTCTGAAGAACTAGAACATGTATTTGATAAATACCCTAAATACTGTATGAAATTTTTGTTAGGAGATTTCAATGCCAAAGTAGGTAACATTCATAAATCCTGATGGAAAGACTCACAACCAAATTGACCATTTTTTTATAGATAGGAGATGGCATTCAAGTATACTTGATGTCCGATGATTCAGGGCAGCAGATGGTGATACCGACCACTCTCTGGTTCTGGCTAAAGTTAGGGAGAGACTGACAGTGAGAAAACAAACAATACACAGAGTTCATATGGAGAGGTTCAATCTCTAGAATTTAAATGAGGTAGAAGGTAAAGAGCAGTTTCATGTTGAAATCTCAAATAGATTCATGGCTTTACAGGAGTTAGACACTGAGGTGGATATTAGTAAAGCTTGGGAAGCTATTAGAGAGAATATCAAAATATCTGCCAAAGAGAGAGTTGGTTATTATGAATTGAGGCAGCATAAACCATGATTTGATGAAGGGTGTTCAGAATTATTAGACCAAAGGAAACAAGCCAGATTGCAGTGGTTACAGGATCCAAGCAAAATGGGGATAATCTGATCAATATAAGACAAGAAGCCAGCAGGCATTTCAGGAATAAAAAGAGGGAAGGTCTGAAAGACAGAATTGATGAGCTTGCTACAAACAGCAACAAGTACATTAAAGATCTGTATGGAGGAATAAATGACTTCGAGAGAGGTCACCAACGTAGAAGTAACTTAGTGAAGGATGAGAATGGTTATTTGCATGCAGAGTCCCACAATATTTTTGAATAGGTGAAGAACTTGCAGAGGAGCAGCCAATTAATAATATTTGTCCATTTTCTCAGTATCTTAGGTAATGGTATATAGGAAACACTTGAAACTTTTGTGGCTAAATTCTGCACCATTGATCGTGAGTTTTTTTTTTTTTTTTCCAATACATCAGAACTATGTGTCATATTTCATTAATAATATAGGTGTACCAAGTCTTTTCTGTACCACATTTTCTTTTATATAAACAGCCAATATGCAATAATGATAGCCTGTTCATTTGAAGAACCCATCCTTCTTATTCTCTAGAGCATTTTCAATTAAATTGTATGTTACATATGAGGAGCTCATGATCCATGTGACATCACAAGTTTATTGTTGCTTACCTCATGTGTCTTGTTAACCCTCTTTCGTATTACTCTGTTCTCCATCTAAACCTGGGCATCTCTTTGCTTAGCAATCATAATGTTCTATTTAATTATCAGTTCTCCCATTCTTGCTGCATGTCCTGCCACACATAACATGGCTGAAGCTATAATGGTTCTCACTAGTGTTTAGAAGGCATCTGGTTTGCATCTCAGCCAGGATGCAGCCTACCCTAAGTTTTCTTTTGCAGTTTTTCTCAGTCCCTCCAGGCAAATATTGGGGTAGTATGTCTACTTAGGCCACACCTGCTTCCTTTTACATACTTTCAAGTTTATTATTCATTTATCCTACCATTTGGCATTGAACTGAGTGATTCCTGATGTCACAAATAAAATAAACATGTCTTTCCCATCTTCCATGATTTAACAGTAACAAAACGAAATCTCTGGGAACGAACTTTCTTTTTGAAGCCTCACCTTCTTGTTGGTTGTTTTCAAGCCACTACAATTTTATTACATATTACATACATTTTAGGATCATCTTTGTTTTTGCTTTTGGGCCTATGGTAGCTCAGGACGTTAGACAATGCATTCCTGTTGCAGAGCCTTGGATTCAGTCATGGATGACTTCATGTGACATCTGTTGCAGATGAAGTGGCTCTGCATAAAGCTTTCCTTCAAGTTTCTCTGATATTTCCCATCTAATCTTCCCATTATTGCTGCATACTTGCCTGTCATTACTTCCCGAGGTGTGCGATAGTCCTTACCAAGGAGCATATTATGATATCCTTGGTCTTTTAAATTTGGAGCTTCATTTCTTTGACCCAGCAGTTGACTGGTTACAGAGCAGGGACGTTTATATATAAAGTTTCTGTTACCTTTGTTTCAGGATCATTGCCAGACTTTTCCATGGTAAGCACTATTGCAGGAGGTTGTGCCACACATGTGAATGAGACAGCTGCAGATTCTACAATACACAGTTTCCTTACAAAGAACAATGCTGTAAATAGAAATTCACAGGCAAAACACTCAGGTTAGTAAATTATATTCTGAAAATGGAGTGACCTGTTTTGGACACAGAGGCACTGTGTAAATTGTAATATATTCTGTGTACCCAGTACAGTGTGATGAATATACACGGTGTGTCCAGGATCCGTTAGGACTCATTTTTTAAATTTTGTCCTGCAATGCCATCTGTTGGCGAGCTGTGGCATTAAGATTCTTGAAGTTTCAGCTGTGACTCTATAATTTCAAAGCGCAAGCATCGCTGCATCACGTGATCTGACCTTGAATATAACAATACTGTTCTGACGCTCGTCGGAAAATGGTGGTTGAACAGAGAGCCAACATCAAATTTTGTTTGAAGTTAGGCAAAACAGCCAGAGAAGCATATGAAATGATGAAAAATGTGTACGGTAGTGATTATTTGAGTCGCTTGAACATTTTTCAATGGTATGCTATATTTCATGACAGCAGGGAGGACATTGAAGACGCTCCACGTGCATCAAAGCCGAGAACAAGTCGCACTGAAGAAAATGTGAAAAAAGTGACCAAAATCCTTGCATCAGACAGATGTGTTTCTGCAAGACTCATCAAGGAGCTTTTGGGAATACCAAAAAGTACTGTGCATCAAATTTTGACTCAGGATTTGGGCAAACGGAAAGTCTGTGCACGGTGTGTACCGCACACGCTGTCAGGTGATGAAAAATATGCCAGAGTGGAACACTGCAAAGACATGTTACGGTCGGCCCAAAGCGATACAAAATTTACAAAATCAATTGTTACTGCTGACGAGACATAGTGTTTTCAATATGAGCCTCTCACAAAGCAGCAGAGTGCAGTGTGGTTGAGCCCAAAGAAGCCGAAACCAAAGAAAGCGCACATGTAAAAGAGTCAGGTAAAGACACTGCTAACCATTTTCTTCAATTCCAAAGGAATTTCTGCCAGAAGGTCAAACAGTGAATTCTGATTATTATCTTGGAGCCCTCAGTCATTTGTTGGTGAGAATTCTTCGAATTCGACCTGAATATCGAGAGCAAGGTTCCTGGTCGCTTCTCCACGACAATGCCCCACTCCACAAATCAAAGAGTGTGCGCGATTTTTTCCTCGAAAATGGATCACAGTCCTTGATCATCCTTCGCCAGATTTGGCTCCAGCAGATTTCTTGTTGTTCCCAAAAGTTAAGTTAGCGATGAAAGGAGACCATCATGACACCATCCAGGACATCCAAAGGGAATGAACTGCAGTTTTAAATGCGATTCCACAAAAGGAGTACAGTGACTGTTTTTGAAAACTTTTCAATCGGTTCCAGCTATGTATTGATTCAGAAGGAGACTACTTTGAATAAAAAGAGTGAAATTGTGAAAATAATTCACGTCTTGTATTTTTAATGAACACAGTCCTAACAGAACCTGGACACACTGTGTATTTGTCTCTGTCTCACATTATTTTACATGTGTAACTGAAATATTCTCATAAAATGCAAGCAGAAGCAGCTGTAGTTCACCCAGGATATGTTTGCTTCCTTTGTGAATATTACAGTATTTATTAGCAAAAACTTTGAAGAAGGAATAACACTCAAATTAGATAATTATGAAGTTTATTCATATGCTTATAGAAGCAGAAAGACTGGGTCCAAACAGATTGGTTTGGAGGTAATGCTGAAGACTTGTGTTGAGAAGGGGCTCAGGTAGAATCACAGCTGGGTCACCAGCTATCCTGGCTTAGGTTTTTCATGGTTTTCATCAGTCCCTCCTGACTAACACCAGGATAGTATCTCATCTAGCTGATCCTCTTCCTTCCAAATCCTTTGCAATTCTTCTGTCATCCCACTGTTTTATGGTGTAGAGTCTTGGTACCAAAAGCATTGTTAAATATCCCCCCCCCTTAAAAAAAAGGATTGGGAGGGCTCATCACTTTACAGCCTTGACTACTGTACATATTGGTAAGAGTATACAGTACAGTACAGTTGTTGTCTATTAGCTTCACAGTAGGAAAGTTACATTTTCCTGTATGTATGTTAGATGTACATTGATGATGAGCATTGTAATTAATTTTATTGACTTGCCCTTTTAGATTTAAAATAAGTAATTTAAATTCCAGTGTCTACACATGGTTAGGTAATAATAATCACATTAAGAATGTGGTCTTCTGGGATGTATGCTGTTTAGTCTGATACATGGTTACCAACTTTTTTAGGTACCTGCTGCCTCTGTTGCCTCACTCTGCCTTGAAGATGGAGGCATTAGGTTGTGAAAAAATGTTGGTAACCATATGCGAGATTACATGTCATCATATCCCAGAAGACTACTCTTAATATCCACTGATGCAAGAATCTCAAATCTCAGATTTCTCAAGTTCTTTAATTGTTTTCATTTCTTGCGTCCTGTTGCGTTATTATATACAATTCTTTGTCGGAGTCTGTAGTAACACAACAATGGTTGAGGTTAATGTTACCTTAGCTACATGTTCTGGCTTTTAAAGCCATCATCAGGCAAAACACATGATCACTATATTCATTCATTATTGAACTGCAATTTCATTATGATAGTAAAGCTGGATACTTGATAACTGTTACATTATAAAATACATGGTATGAAAATACAATGAATTATAAATTGTATTGCATTGTACATGTATTTGATTGCCTTAAGATATGTGATTCCTTTCAGGTGCGTCACGATATTCGGAAACGTTAGAAAAGCTTGACTTGAGAGAAGCTAAAAGGGCAGGATCTTTTCTAGATGGCTGTAATGTAAGTATCCTGCTACGTTTGTGCTGTAAACATGAGACTGTAATACAGTGGAATGCCCATCCTGTGTTGCTTGATTCAGTGCCAGTGGTCCCAGTTCAGCTGTCACAGTATAAAATTCCCTCCATATAAGAATTGCCTCATTTTAATGTACAAATCCAGTCCCCCATGTAGACACCTTAAAGATTTTAATTCTGCAATATTGTCAGGGTAGATGAAAATTATGTTAAATTTCACACACTAAAGTAGGAAGCAAATACATTTCCAGATTGTCGGTTGGGTACAGAAGGAGGCATGAAATTGGTAATGCTATTGCTGCTTCCTTGCAGGTGTACTTAAGTGGATTCAACGTCGAGCAAACCGAGAAATTACGTCGTGTGCTGAATGGAGGAGGAGCAACAAGATTTAATGAAATATCAGACTCTGTGACCCATATTATTGTTGGAGACATAGTATCTGCCGATCTGAAAGCCTTAAAGTGTAGTGGTTTGAGGTATGGTGTCTCTTTGCTTTTAGTTGCTGAACCTTCATGTGCTGTGTTCGTTACAGCCCCATCAACTCATTTCTTTTGGAAGGAGCTTAGTTAAGAATTGCACTTTCCTGTTAAAGGTTGAAGTTTACATGTAAAATGTATTTGTGAGATGGTTAAAAGTCTGTGGTTTCCTCCCATTGTTTTTGAAGGATGATGGGTGAAAAGCCTCCCAATCTATCGTCTTCTCACATGTTTGTTTCTTGATTTTTTGATAGCTCTTTCCTCTCTTCTTAATGCCTTCTAGTGCCTGAATGAACCACCTTTTTCTGGATCATCCAGTAGGTCTCATGCCTTTAAATTTTAATTCTACTACTCTTCTTGGTATCCTTGTACCCATTCTTTTCACATTGCCGGACCACTGCATTAGTTTCTACTCTGTTAACAAATTTTTAATTCCACATTCTCCGAAAGATTCAGTTCTGATTCTGTGTCTTCCTGTTTTTCCCTTAGTACTTCTTGAAAATTTAGTGTCTGTTGTCTGGATTCTGTTTTTAGTCAACTTTCCTTGTGTTAAAAAAGTAAAAGGAGAGAAATAAGTCAAAAGAGGATAAATATATGTAAAACAAATAATGGAATGTGTCCACAGTATAACAGTTATGGTGTTTGCTCCTTTTTCTTTAATTATCTGAAAATTAAGAAAAAGTTTGTTGGGTATAGAATGTGTGATTCATTGTTGTCTACAACTTTAATTCTGAACTTTTTGTTCTGGTAAACGTTTAATGGAGAAGCTGCCACAAAAATATGTTTAGGTCTTCATGTGAAGTTTCTGTTATGTGCAGGTTGTAATCAGAATTGGAATGTGCCAAAAGATTTTAGCAAAATTCTCCTATATCAGATTTAATGAAAATCCATCGAAGGTTCTCAAGTCATTACGTGTGGGCAGGCATAGTTAAGTTGGTTGGATCATTTTTATAGCTTTTCATTGGAAGTGAACCAGAAATGAATGTGAGCAGCAGTAAGTATGGAAATAATACTGCCTTTGTTTCAGTTACATGTTAAAAGAGAGATTACATATTCATTAGAACTTTTAATCTTTTTACATGTATTGTGCAGACCATATGTTGTGACAGTGGACTGGTTGTTGGAGAGCATGAAGCTAAGATGCCCTGCTTCTGAAGAGGAATTTTTATGTACCGATATATTGCTACAGCCAGCTGAGCCACCATCTCCTTTAAGCAAGAAGGTGATTTATATGTTAATATGTGTCTGCCTGCTCTGCTAGTGGCTATTAAGATGACTGTACTTGTTAACAGATGCTCCTTTTTGTTCTGTTGCCTGTATCCATGCTTGAATTAGCTTATGAATTTATAAGACACTTCCTAGATCAGTATGATCCTGTGGTAGTGAATGATGGGCCACAAGAAAAATTGATGAGAGAAGATACTAGCAAAATTGTGGTTTAGAAGGAGGACTGCAGGTTACACCCGTTTGAATCATTGGAAAATGAAGAAAGTTTGGTAGAACTAAAAATTTCAGAAATAACAATTTGTAGAACACTACAGAAGACACTGGAAAGTAAATATGAACAGGATGAACTCTGACAGGATTAGAAAAATCCAAATTAAACAGTGGTAAGATTCGGTTTGGTATTGTCTGTAACAGGTTTCGTTATGTCCACTACTGAGGAGAATGAGGATGAAGTAAGTGTTTTTCCTAGTTTAGCGCTTATTGAGAGTTTTTAAATTGGGATGCTAATGATTACAGTGGAACTTTATTATGCAAGAATTTATAACAATATGATGTGTGTTCATGTGAACTAAGAAAGGGTGGAGAAAAGCACATGTTACAGCAAAGAGTCTTAGAAAATACTCTTCTTGAAACTGATGAATATTGCTGTGTGTAACATAATGAAATTGACTGTGTATTAGAAAATGTTTACTAAAATGAAATATTCATTGTACGAGGGTTGGAACTTTAATAGTGGCAACTATTTATTTACAACTGATACAAAATAGATGCATGTTTAAAAGTTTTACTGTCCTTAAATGTAGTCACCAGCATTGTGTACAACCCATCGCCAGCGATGTGGAAGTGGTAGGATACCTTTAGCAGCGCCTGTTGTGTTGATAGTTCGAATGGAGCGGTCTACTCCCTGAAGAATCTCTGTAACAGTTCTGAAGCGAATGCCACGAAGTGGTTCTTTCATCTTAGGAATCAAGTCGAAGTCACAAGGGCTTAAGCCCGGGGAGTATGGTGGATTGTACAGCACTTCTCAGCCCCATCGATTGAACAAATCAGTCACAGCTTGCCATTTCTGCATTTCTGTCAAATCATGCAAAACCCATCATGAGGCAGTTTTTCTCATGCCCACGCGTTCCTTCAGAATGTGAAGCACAGTCATATGCACTAATCCTGTCTCTCGGGCCAGCTCACGAATTGTATGGCGTCGATCACTCTCCAGTAACGCGGAAAGAGCATACACTTCTTCACTCACACTAGGACAACCTGGCCAATGCATGTCTGCCACATATTGGCATCCCTCGTTGAAGGCTTTTACCCACCTTGCCACTGTTCTGTAAGGCAATGCAGATACCCCGCAAGCCTCTTTGAAGACCTTGATGACACTGTCATGCTGTATGGCCTCTGGCACATTCAATCTTTATCCAACTCCGTTGTTACTGTTTCGAAAACATCATAACAACACTACATTAGACCACCAGCTAACACGAGGCTCTGTTCTTCTCATCGCTGCACATGCGCGTGATATGGGAAGGGAGAATCCATTTGTTCTGAGGTAAGGTAAGTATGTAACTAACGTGGTATAAGCGACATTATTTGGTTCCGTTGCATGGCGTCTCTACAGCAGTGTTGCCACTATTAAAGTTGCAACCCTTGTACATTGTGCTTACACTGTAATCTCTTAGGATGAGTTCGGTACTGTCACTGAATACTGAAGTGGTGATTTTGAACAGGTTTGGGCAGTTGTGTCTCCTGCAATTCTCAGAGACACATTTTTCAAATTATATATTTACATCCATAGCAAATTGAAAAGTACTACAAAATGGACTATTAAAGTTAACAAGAAATTGAAAATCATATTTGTTACAGGCTACCTAGTTTGAGAAAAATTTGTTGTATACTGAGGGAATTATTTGGATGAAAGAGTGAAGTCTAGGGGATTATTGTAATAAACGGTTAGTTTCCATGTGAGTATTTAGGCAGTAGCCTATGACGGTGAACTTCAGCATCTTCCCTGACCAGCACATTTTCCAGATTTGAACATCACTGAACCACTCTGGTCAGGTTTTGAGACTAGAGTGAGTAATCTCCAACATCTCTAATTCAACTTGTATGAGTCCATTCCAAGAAGGATTGCAGCTGTATTTAAGGCAAAAGGTGGTCCAACACTGTATTAATAAAGAAATGTGTACAGTATCTGTAGTGTTTCCATTATTTTGTCCACCCTTGTGCGTGTGTGTAACATATGTGTTAAATAATAATAATTTATTTTTTATTATTATTATTGTTGTTGTTGTTGTTATTGGGATTCATGAATGAGTGGGTGACTTTCACATGTAAAGTAGTGGGAATGTAATTTTTTATTTAGGAAGTTTCACCTAACAAACAGTTTCATGGAAAAAGTTACTTCTGTAAATCAAGAGATAGCTGTGTACATTTTTTCTTCCTTAGGACTCAGTAAAGTAATAAAGAAAGTTTTTTGTTATCATTTGAAATGCATCCCGCAAACATTTTTATTTTTCCTGAATTGGTCCTCTTGCAGGAAAGGTTGTTCACCACTGCCCTCTAATTTACACACGCAGCTCTGTCAGTTAGTCCTTGGCTTCTCAGTGTGGCAGCCAATGTCAGGTTGTTTGGGATTTGTGGTGGATAGAGTGGCACCAGGTTATATTTTGTTTGAGTATTTTAGATTCACCTGCCAGGTGTCATTCCACTAACTAATTTGTATCCAACAATAATTGTATCATCCATGCTATGTGAGCTTGTTACCGACAGCGGTGTTTGGTAGTGAACTGAAAGACCTTAGTAAATGCATTTTTGATGTGATTGGATGTCACTATATGATCTGGGTTCCATTCCAGGGAGACAGTGCTCGTTGTCTCCATCACATCCAAACTGGAGCCTATCAGCCTCATGTTCATTGGATGCTCTTGTGGCTGTCCACTGTTCATATATCCCATGCTCCATGTCTTCTACTACTCAGCTTTGTGGCATGATAGTCATAAGAGAACTTAACCTTCATCAGAGTTACAGTGCTGTGATGAAATGTAACTTTCATCCATTAGGGTCTTCAGTTGTTACGAAGACCAAATGAGAGGCCTGTACCCTGCCTCCAACTTGTTAGTGATTCGAAGCCCTCCATCCAGAACACCGACAAGACGTTACCTCCTGTGGCTGCTGACTTGTTGGATCAGTATCTACCTAACTCACTCTCAGGTATAGTAATTTATTTTACTGTGTAAATATTTTTAAACTTACACAAGTCTTGAATTTTTTTAGATAAAAGGGAGGAAAGAATCATGATCTTGTGTTTTATCCTGAGGTGGGGCAGGTTGGCAGGTTGAGCGGTTCTCTTGGGAAACAATTCAGGCTGTGCGAAGCACTGCAGCTGTAAGTTACTAAGATATTTATTGTACAAGATAACTATACACTAGTTGAATGAGTAACCAAGAAGGACAAACTGATTGCCAGAGGAAGGACAGTGGCTGACGTCTAATAAGAGAAGCAACTGCACCATGCAGAGACACATGTCTTGAGATCGGAAAGTAAATTAGGGACAGTGGTCACTGGGTATTTATATGGGTTTAGTGATGCCGACCTTAGAAATGTTTCTCGAATAATGTTCAAATAGTGTTACAATTATTTAAAAAATAACAATCTTTTAGAGGTCTTCCTGCATCTCAGTACTCTGCTGTTATTTGCACAGATCTTGGCTTGTTGCTCTCACCCTGACCAGAGGGCATGTAGCTTCCAGATATGCTGCAGTCTGGAATAACAAGGGGAGATGACTGGTTACAAAATTGTTGCCATAGAAAGCAATAAATCTAATGTAATAGCTAATTAAATGTTGATTACATTCATAACAACAATAGTTGCATCCACAACACTTGATTCGGACATTGCTCTTTCAGTCTGACTTCAAGAATTTTTTGATAATTACTGTTGCCTTCCACAGCAGCGCACAAACTACCCAAGCCATTAGAATCATGATGAGTGGCAGTACTAGCACAAATAAACTTGTCAGTGAAATCAGTCTTTGTTGTTTTTTGCCCATGGGGAAAGAAGACATGGCCCTAGAATTAAATTTTTTAAAATGCATTCATTTATGAACATTTTTCCTTCAAGAAGCGTCTAGTTTCAAAAGGGAAAGTAGTCCACTTTGGTGCACCATGAAAATGGTTAGTTTTTAAATTGTGTTCACAGTGAGATAATTGGTCTAGTATAGTATAATTCTTGTTCCCATCTTAATTCTCAGAATTTTTCCAAGTTCTCATATTCAACTGAAAAGCCACTCTTGCACATGCCTAAACTTTTTGCATCTTGTGATATCTGCTCTTCTCTATGCTGTGATGTTTAATTGTTGGATCACACGGTCACCCTCGCCCTTCCACTGTGAGGTGGTACTGTGTACAGATGCTACTGGGGATGACTGCTTGAGGCTTCCACTTTGTCCCTACTGTTGTATTCCCCCCTGGCCTGTGTCCACCAACCCAAACCATTTGTTGGTAGTGAAAATGAGATAGCACTGGACATTGTGATCAAATGGTTAGCTCTCCTACCTTAAATTCATGAGGTCACCAGTTATAACCTTGGCTCGCAGACCAGCTATCCTGACCAAGGTTTTCGTGATTTCCTTAATCTCTCCAGGCAAATGCTAGGTCACAATTCTTTCTTCCCAAATCCTTTGCAGTTCATTATTCAATAGTCATCCTCCCATTCACTGCATGTAGTGTGAACAACTGACACTGTTGATAAATGAAACTGTCTGTCCTGTTAGTGGCCTACCGGGTGCCAGGGCAGAGATAAATCCCCAGATTTAAACACTAAAGATGTAATAATGTGGTGCCTGGTCAAAGTTAAACTTAAGACACTTGAAGACAAATCTGCTCAGCTGTCACTTTGTCCATCATAAATCTCACGTGCACTCACTTGTTGATGTTTTCATGTATGAAACCTAATGTCATCAGAATTCTGTTGGACTGGGTTGATTTAGGTTTCATTTCTTATTGTCCGAACACAAGGTACTGTGGTGAGAAGTCGGTGCCTTATTGCTGGAACTGTGGCATGGCCCTATCGATAAAATAGATAAAATCAAAACCCGTACAAAAGTAAGAACGTTCTGTCCTCATGTGTAAGTTCTTCTATCCTGTTGTGGCAGACAACTTACAAATGTAAGAATGTTCCATTCTCACATGTGCATTTGCATATGGTATCGTGCCATTTCACTTAACTGATGTGAATTTGTGTATTTTGCAGAGAGTGGTGCATTTCAAGAGTTGGAAAGAGGTGATAAGGGTAGGCAGTCAGCTGGAAAGTCAAAGCCTTCATTTGTCACTGAAGCAGAAGAAAGGCCTAATGAAAGACAAGTTGATGGAGACATTGAGACCGGGCAAGGTGCAGCAGTATGTCACAATCCAGACCTGAACACCCAATCAGAACAAGACAGCACACAGTATACAGAATCAACAGTTACACCTGTATTCAATAGTGAGTGGCATTTGCTTTTCAAATTATGATAACACAAGGAGAGGGCTTGATACTTGTTTTTCAACCTGTTATCCAGTGGGTCTTGATCATAGCCTTTAGAAGTTTTTCATTTGTGACCGTAATATGGGATATCAGATGAAGGAACCAGGAACCTGGTAGTGGAGGGTATAATCTTGCAGACTCACAGTGAAGAGATCTCAAGTTTGATCCCTTATGCTTCTGGGTATGTTTATTCCCCCTCTTTTTTGTCACCAGTAAGCATCTAAAAGCTGTCACAAAACATATGAATTTGTTATATGTGTAATATGTTCATATAACATGTCTGTATATGCATGTCTTCAAATTTCATTAGAACCGTGACATGCACCACTTTGATGCAGGAGATGCGAAACAGTTACATTAAATGTTTTGTCTGCATGTATTCAGTGAGGCTTATCACTTCCTAGAGTGTTATGTGTGTATCAGTTCATGAACTTTATTATTATTATTATTGCTAGTGGGGTGGGACTAAGTCCCCTTGTATTGTGGCCAGTTCTGGTCTATTGTACCAGCTCCAGATGATAGGTGAAGGTGACTGTGGAGCAATTGGTGGAATGAAGATTGGCAGGGGAAAGTGAAGTACTCGGATAAATCCTGCCTCAGTGCCACTTTGTCCACCACATATCCCACTTGACCAGACCCAGGATCGAACCCAGGCCGCCCCGGTGGGAAGCCAGTGACTAACCACTTGAGCTGTGGTGCGGCCAGTTCATGGACTTAACATTTTTGCTTTGATGATATGTATCACCCGAAAAGATGTTTGCTTTCAGTCAATGCTGCTGAGAAGGAAAGTGATTAGTAAGTATTGAACTTCTGCCAGGTGTGAGCATTAACCTTAATATGGGTGTGCTGCCCAGGAGTTCTACCGATATTATCTCTTCATTTGTGTCTTCATTGGCATTGCATGCAGAGAGAAGTTGTATACTTCCATATGCCAGTGACACAGTTATAATATTTTTTATATTGTTTTTGATCGATAGAAATAAGTGTTTTTATGTATTTTATAAATTCTCGTTATACTGGGATTGCACTGTATTTAAGAGTTCAAAAGGTATTGCCTTCTCATATACCAGGAATTTATCCAGTACTGTACTTTTATTGAACCTTCATAGAAGACCTCTTCATATTGTACCTTGGCTGCCCTGTTTAGCTTTATTCTAATGGTAGCTTGTCCCTGCTCTTCCATCGCTATCTTCATTTTGGATCTCCTTTTATATGAAATGCCTTCTTTGTTCAAAGAAGGATCACAAAATCATGCAGCTGTCATCTGTTGATCATGAGATAATGCTCTAGCCCAGTCTGAGTTCAGATTTCAGAATGTTTCTGAGATGTTGTATGGCTGTTCGGACAGAGTAGCCAACCACATCTTGGAGACAGTGTTAGTCGACAGTATGTTAACAGATTGTTATTGTATACACTTGTGCAGTTTATTAGGTACTTTAGTAAAGAAATAATTTTCAGTGTGTTTCAATTTCAGGTTTAACTTTTTTTATCATCGATTTTGATGATGAGGAGAAAGAATTGTTGAAGGATGCCATTGAATCCCGTGGTGGACGTGTAGTTGGCAAGAGCTTTAAAGGAGTTGCTGATTATGCAGTTGTGCCCTTGCATGGGGCTAAATTATCACAGGCAGCCACTGAGGTTGTAACATATATATGGGTGGTGAGTAATGTTTGGATATTCTCCCGACTGAGCCATTTATAAACACCCATTTGAATTTATGCATATACAGTTTACTACAGATTAGTTTTGTATGGGTGTGAAACTTTATTCCTGCACTAAGGGAAAAGCATGAAAGTGTCAGTGATGGTGTTTAAACTCAGGATGCTGAGGAGGATATTTGAACCTCAGAAGGATGAAGAAATATGAGGCTGGAGAAAATTGCATAATGATGAGCTCTGTAATGTGTACTCTTCTCCAAGCATTAGTAGGATGATCAAATGAATAGGCATGAAATGGACAGAGCATGTAACATAAGCAGGAGGGAACAGAAATGTGTACAGAAGTTTGGTCACAAATGTTGAAAGGAGGAATCCTCTTGGAAGACATAGGCATAGATGGAAGGATGATATTAAAATAGATGCTGAAGAAACAGGAAGCTGAACTGTACTTTAGAAAGTAATGTAGTCTTTAAGATTACTGTCTCCTGGGGTGTGACACCATGTAGTTTGGTAGATAGCTACCAACATTTTGGAGGAACCTGCTGCCTTTATCTTCAGACTGGAAGGTTGAGCAAGGTTCCTGTGAAACATTGGTACCTCTGTGAGGACTTCAGGTACCATATTGTCATGTGACTGAGTGACTATAGATGGGGTTTGGATTGATTACTGGATTTATTAGATACTATAACAAACAACTCATGACTACACTTTACATATCACTCTCATACAAAGACTAGTGTTCTTAATCATAGTCTTCCCTGCTCTGCTTGGTAATGTCTTCCAACATTGGGTGTTCCTCTACTTCCAGGCTCATGTCCTTGCAGGCTGGTGCCCCTCTGACACCAGTCTCCTGCTCTTGTAACTGCTGTCATCCTCATTATATAGCCTTGGCACTGACTGCACAGAAAAAAATATCTTCCATTATTGCATGTGTGTCTGTTGCGGCTATCACGTGACAGCTAGTGAGCCATTGCCTAACAGCGTGCATGTTTGTAGAGCTGTTCCCTAGCAAGGGCTTTCACAATTCTGGCTTTCAGCAGACACGCCACAATATAATACAACAATACGTAACACAATGAAAATATAGTATATTCCCAATTATATATACACAAATTATCCCATTTGTGGCTTATCTCCACATATATAATCTTGTACAGTACGTATTAAGTTTGTGCAGTCCAGTCATCTGCATACATAAAACAGCTCGAGAACTGTTGGATGAATTTCTTGAAACTGGGTATTCGAGAATTTGACAGAAAATTGTTAAGCTGTTCCAATTTTGCTTTAAGTTGTACAATTGTAATGACCACTTTGCACATAACTATGTGTTTCAAGTGCATTTATTTTTAATATGCATTTTCTTTAAGTTTTATTGGTTTTGAAGATAAACAAGTAGGATGCTTGTTTGTGTGTTTCTGAATTTCTGGGGTGTCTTAAATTTTATGTGTTTTTCTATTATAAGGTGTATCTTTCTGCCTTCATTAGTGCAGAATTTCAGGATGTATTCTGTCCGAATTATCACCAGCTGTGAGTTGCTTGAATATAGACTTAAAAGGAATTTAAAATGAAGTCCAAACCAAATGATTCATCTTACCAATCCAAGAGTAAAGATTGGTCTCTGCCAGCCCTCAGACACCGTGTACTGTATGGCAGTAGCGAAGGGGGCAAGAGATGGGTGAGGAAGTCACCACAGGGAACCAATGTGGAGGAGGTGGTGTGAGCTGAAGCACAGCTGCTTTACAAGCAATAGAGATGTTCTGTACAGGGAATGAGATAGAGAAAAGAGATGCACTCCAGTAAGCAATGTTAAGTGTGTGCAGTGTACCAACAAGTCTGCTCTGGGGAATGTCAGCCTTGTAAGGAGGTGTATGAAAGAAATGAATAGTACTGACCTCTGGGATGTGAAGCTGTTCTGTCTGGTAGGTCTCGTTACTGCTGTTTAGGAGAAGCTTGTTGCCTCCCTCTTCTGTCGTGAAACATTGGCACCTGTCTACCAGACTACACGGTATGACATTCTAGGAGTCTGTAATCATAGGTACTCACTGCAGTGAGGACCTCTGATCTCACAGACTATTAAGTGCAGTTTGTGTTGCACCAAATAAACATCAGCTTGTATTCGTGGCTGGAGAGAATCGCATAATGAACAGTGTTCTTTTTTTTTCTTTTCTTTTCTTTCTTTTCTTTTTCTTTTTTTTCCCCCTTTTCTTTTCTTTTTTTTTCCCCTTTCTTTTCTTTTCTTTTCTCTTTTTTCTTCCCCCCCCCATAACACTAATATTATCATGTGTATGAGTGAATATAGACAGGGTTTGGATTGGTGATCGGATTTACTGGAATCTTGCAGAACATAACTACAAATAACTACGACAGTCTCACTGAGTTACACACCCCAAAGATCACTGTAATCACAGGACACATAAATTCTTCTCAGTCCTCCCTAGCCATTCCTCAGTAGTGGCTTCCAATGGCAGATGTTCCCCGTACTCTGGATTCCAGAACTGTCCCTGGCTTCAGCTACAGCAGCTTTCAACTAAGTCACTCACCAGCTGACTCCACTCCACTGACTGCAGGTCCCAACTTGTCCCACTTCAAACATCTCAACATGGACTGTGCAGAAGACACCATTCCTTGTTGTAGTTCAGTTGTTGGTGTGGTCCTAGCCCAGCAGTGGGTCTACATGCCTCTATATAAAGATCAAGTCACAGATTGCGAGATGGAGCAGATTAGAAAGAAGGAGTGAGATCAGAAATACATACAACATTTTTGGCAGGAAAACTAAGGGAAATAAACCTCTTGTGAGATAGGAATAGATGGGATGAACTTCAAGAAATAAAGGGGAGGGAGTGGAGTGGATTTGTTTGGATCAGGATAGAGACCAGTGGCAGGTTCTTGTGGGCACAGTGATGAGTCTTTGAGTTCTGCGAAGGGTGTGGAACGTCTTCAGTAGTGAGCTACTGATAGTTTCTCAAGGACTGTGCTCCATGGGATTGTGTTTGTGTTGCAGGAGGACTGCCATCATCAGGATGAGTTGTTACCTGTGCTGTATTATCATCACCCAATATCCATTGATCTGAACAAGAAGCCATTGTCTGGTTGTGTGATTGGCATCAGTTCTTACACTGGAAAGGAAAGGGATTTCATCTTTGCTATTGCCCAGTTGCTGGGAGCTATGTGAGTTGAAGTCATTAGCTAAGATCACGGTCTTCTGGGGCATGACACCATGCAGTCAGGCAGCTGAGTACCATCATTAATGAACAGTGTTACACAGATTGAAAGTTTGGAGAGAGAAATTGAATAGCCTTTGTGTTGTAGAAAATTTTAACATTGGAAATATGAAAACAAAGTTTACTTTAAATGAGGTATGACAAGAGATGCATCATTTTTAAGTTCCTAATAATTTAATTTAACATTAAAAGAGTTTATTCGTGTCTCAGCTTCGGTTTTCAGTTACAGATTTTAATTCCAGCTGTCTCTTATACATAGCTTATACATTTGCCCAAGACTATCAAAATACAAAATAAAGTATAAAAACTTGAAGCAAACAAAGCATAGATTATGGGCACTGCAGAAATTTTAATTCTGTAATTTATTATATGCCAAAGACTTGTGTAAGATAAAAGATAAATGTAGCATGTGCCTGTTTTGTTCTCCTGTGTACTGCATGACTCCTGTGGGGTCCCATACCTTGTTACTGCCATCACAAGTGCACTTTAATGTGATAACCCCTAAAGCACACTATAGGACACAGGCTGATGTCACATTTATCACATCAGGTGAAGTGTATGCTTATCTTCCGTCTGCATTGAGTAGACACAGCACTGCAGTTGTTTGTTTTGTTTATGGTGGCCAGTGGTTGTTCCTGTTAGCTTCCATGAAGTTCAATTTTGCAATAGCCTAATCCTTCCAGCCGCACTGTGGCCCTGGGGTCAACTCAACCTCTAACGGAAGTGAGTACCAGGAATCTTCCTGAGGGTAAAGGGCAGCTGACGCGTAAGGCTGACAACCTTATTGCCATATGTGAGCCGATTATCTAGATAATATGGGAGCCTCGACATCTCACAACCCTATGGGCCTCTACAGCCTGTGACAGGGATAGCTTTACTTTTACTTTTTTTTACATGGCATTATATTCCAGAATATAGAACTCTTCATCCAGTATTTTGATTTTAAGCTTTGTTCTCATGTTTCATAATATTTTACTTCTTGTGACAGAACCCAGGAGACATTTGCACGAAAGAACAATGAGAAGAAGAATGCATTAGCATCAACTCACTTGGTTTGTTGTGAGCCCGGAAGCCAGAAGTACAATGCTGCTCTGAAGTGGGGACTGCCTGCCGTGAATCATGAGTGGCTGTTGGCCTGTGCAAGGGAGGGGCGGCAAGTGAGTGAGGAACCGTATCTTGTTGGAGAGAGCTCATGTAAGAATGCCACATCATCTTTTTTCTTAGTTTGTCAGAGTCAAAGTTATGTTATGACTGATCGTCAGTTGGTCAGTCTGTCTTGGTGTCAAGCATCCATCTGGGGCCCAAGACCAGATTTTTATTACCATCAGACGGTTGCAGGTTTGTTGATATGGGGCACCCTCTCTGACAAGAGGATGGGTCTGTTGTGTATATTTGCTACTGGCCCTTGTGCCATCACAGTCATTTTTGGGTTGGAGTCCCATGGGACTTTTGACCATATTTTACTGTCTCAAAATTGAGAGTCCCCCAACCTGAAGGGACACACAGGAGAAAGCCACCCTTGTTCATCTGTAGTTTCCCAGTGCAAAAATTGTTGAAGGAATGAAACCAGAAATTGCAACAGGGCAAGAAGATGAACAGTTTCTGCAAATCACTGTAAAATGTTGATGATACACATAACTTAAAGAGGTAACACTTCAGTCATTGTGGGAAGCTGTAATCAATACCTAAGGGGTTTTATAAGCTCAGCAGTTAATAGTCAGCATACTTATATTGATAATCAAGAGTCTTCTATAGTGTACAGTGGCATGGAGGTAGCCTTAAGTTGTAGTGCCACTCTTATGTCACTATGTGCAACATGAAGGTAATCTGCATGTGGGTATATGTGGTATCTCCTCATATATGTACCCTGAATGATTTATACAAGAAACAGTTTGCTTCCTTGTTCCAGGTTCTGCAAGTATGGCTAACAAAACTACTGAAACACCAAAGACTGACTGCCCAGTAGGTGTCCAGGTGAAAGATGGGAAGCGTAGTATGAAAATTCAGTCTCCCATGGTGTCTGCAGATCAACACCAAGATAGTCCTGCAGATACACGGACACCGAAGTCAGAGTTGAAGCCAATCAATAAAAGAATTGTGGAACTGCAAACTAACAGTGTGATGGGCCCACCTGCCAGCCCAGCCAAACAACAGGGAAGCTCTCCAAAAGATCACCAAATAATGCCTTCCCTCAAAAACAAACATGGCTTTAGCCAGGAATCTCCACTGCACATACCAAAGTCAGCAGGATCCACTCCAAAAAGTGATACAGGTTGGCCAGGAGATCCAAATCAGCCAACTCCTAAGGGACCCTTCTCTGTCTCCACACCCGAAACTCCATATGGCCAAGTGCTGAGACCGAACCCTTCACCTGAGACAAGAAAAAACTGGAAGAAGTGGATTGATAATTTTCCGGATTTCCAGAAGGAAATGAGCCCTCCAGAAAGGAAGAGGAAGCTCAGCACTGTAAGATACTGGTGCACTAGGCATGTGCAGAAATGCAATTCTGGTTCAAAATTTGAGTTGGGAAAAGTTTTGAGAATGAGAATTTTCTCTGCTGGACCAATTTGTTTCACTGCAGTCTCAATTTATAGCACTCTCCACTGTTTCTCAGCACTTATTTCTTTTGATATCACATTCTTTTTCAGAAAACTTTTCATAATTTAGAGCACCAAGGGGCTGTTTCTCGTGGGAGTAAAGTGGAAGGGGCATGAAGCTGACCGCTCGCCTCCATCTAGTGCTGAGGTCAAGATTGGTGGAGCTATACCTCCATTCTTTCATACATCTTCTTTGCGTGGTGCTTAATTAATTAAGCATAGGGACTACCTCACCTTATCATACCCAGAGAATCGCTAGAGTATACATATCTCAGAGTTACTTTGTGTGCTATTTTAGGTCTATCAACACTTGGTTCTCATTCACTATGTCTCTTGGAGATGCGCTGATATAAAGAAAACCATAAACAAAGGAAATACAGCACTCTCATAGTGGAGGTGTTATAACAGAACTCAGCTCAAAATGAAGTAAATCTTAGTTCAAGGAATGGAAAATGGTGATTTTACATTAATTTGTTGTCATTGCTGTGTTGTATTAGCAAAGCAGGAAAGTTGTTAACAAGATGTGGATGTTTCTGACGTATGTATTTCTATAGTATGTGTAAATGACAGTCATGAGGACTCACATCAGCAGTGATGTGGTCCACAAGTACTGATTGAGTCTAGAAGAGCATTATAATGTTCCTACTTGGCAAATTTCCAGGTCTCTAATTCTTGTTATGTTCGCTGTTTCAGCCATTGTCTGAGTTGAAGCGTCGCTGTTGGGAAATGATTCTTCCAAAAGACAGACCACCAGCCCAGAATGTAAGTGAAAAAGCATTCTAATGCCGGTTACTGGACTCTGTTAACTTGTATGATAAATCTTATTCTGTATGACTGGTGTCTCTTAGCTAGAGTTGCACGAGTTCATCTCTTGGCATCTTATGATACACATGACAGTCAGCAGTACCCTTTCTTTGTGCAGGATGTGCTTGCTTTCCTTATCAGTACTACAATATGTAGTAGCTAAAACTTTAAAAATGTAGTAATTCCCACAGTAAAAAATTAAATTTGAATTGTATGATAAATAATTGCATCCAGAAACTATATCGAAATGCTTGCTCATTGCTTTAACAGCCATGGCTGCCATATTGACATGAGTAAACAGTAAATTTCATAATGTCTTTGTGTGTCTACATCTGTTGTAGGAAGCTGAGACAGACAGGAGAGTTATTTTCTATAGATACAATGTTACATTATGGAAATGAATTGACTTAAACATAGTTTCTGGGTGAACTGGAATTATGTATTTGATTTTTAAATTTGTCTCCAACAGTTCTGAATTCAAACATCAAATAAAATACTGATTTTTGTGAACATCTGTAGTTTTAATTTATGGAAGGTGGTTTATACTGTTACCCCTTCAAAATCTCTCTTTGGTCCAAATATTCTCAACACCCTGTTCTCAAACGACCTCAGTCTATGTTCCACCCTTATGTCAGAGACCAAGTTTCACGCCCATACAGAACCACAGGCAAAATTATAGTTTTGTATATTCTAATTTTTATGTTTTTGGACAGCAGACCATAAGACAAAAGGTTCTGGACTGAATGGTAGCAAGCATTACTAGAGTTCAATCTCCTCTTAATTTCCTACTGAATCAGGTTTCGATCTGTTATCGTTGTTCCCAAATATCTGAACTGTGCCACATTTTCAAAACATCTGTTTCCTAGCTTTGTGATAGGTGGGCAGGGCATGTAGCATGAATGAGGGAGACAAGGAATTCATACAGGATATTGGTGGGAAAGCCAGAAAGAAAGAGACCACTGGGAAGACCAAGGTGTAGGTTGGTGGACAATATTAAAATGGATCTTAGAGACATAGAATGGGGTGGTATGGATTGGATTGATATGGACCAGTGGAGGGCTTTTGTGAACACGGTAATGAACCTTCGGGTTCCATAAAAGTCTGGGAAATTCTTGAGTAGCTGCAGAATTGGCAACTCCTCCAGAAATGCTCAGCTCCATGAGTAAGTAAGTAAGTACCCCTTTAAAATACACTGGTTACTGTATGTACCACCTGCTTTAACACTGAGAAACTACCTTTTTCCCCTCACATTGTATTAATTTGTTTCAGCATTTGAAGAGGTCTGTTGTCTGGTATATGACACCAAGTGTTCTAATGAAAGTCAACCAGTGTTTCAAAGGAGTATGTCACGTCCATCTTCAGGATTGAAGAATAAGTCAAGCAACAAACCAGCTTGAAGCATAGCTCTGCTTGCCGTCTGCTTCATGCTGGTTTCTTGATTGACATATTCTTCAAACTTGAAAATGGAGGTGATATTTCTGCGATAGATCAATTAATTTTCAAAGGACTACGCAGCATTGTCTCCCAGAAGATGGAACTCTTCATAATCACTGCTGTGAGAACCTTAAATCCCACAAGCAGCAGTTATTTCCTGAAACAAAATTAAGTGATCCTGTATTTAAGCATTCTGTTGTTATTGTACTACACAGTCTGTCAACAATGCAACAAATTGTTCCTTCCTTCTTACACTTTCACTTTTGACACAACATGTTTCGGCCCTAAATGGCCATCTTCAGGTGTCTTACTATGCTAAAACTGCTACACTGCACTAATATTGTCCATTCGTCACATATGTGACTTCACACTTCATGATTTAAACTCATAGTCAATTGGTATGCACTAAAATAGCACACACTGTAGTTCACTTAATTTAAATCAAATAAAATTATTAAATTTCCTCTAAATTTTGTAAAATTCTTATTAAACCTCACAATGGGCATCATCCACGTGTTTTGATCTGTATCTTTTCTTCAGATGTTTTATTGTGGAAGCCTGTTTTTCTATTCGTAAGCCAGTTTTGTTATGTCTGCAATCTGTAATTTTTCCCCTTGTTTGTGTGTTATTCCCTCCAGCAGCGTGTGGTGTTGTCTTCACTTGTCACAGCTCCATGACGTTAGTCAGCATATTGTGTCTCTATGGGTAATTGATTTGAGCCAATAATTTGCACCCTGCTATACTGTGGTCTGTAGATCTGTTCTGTAACACTGGGTTTGCTTTGGAAATAAAGACAAAGACCAGTGACTCTTCTTATACCCAGTAGGTTGGTAGAAGGTGTCACATGAACTCTAACAGGAATAGCTGCTCATGCAGTTGCACTGAGGAATGCAGTTTGGAATACAAATAGTTCAGACTGGATATTAAACCTTGCAAGCAGCAAATGCATTCATATTGTAGTCCTTTGGATATTGACACTGGGTTGTAGTGTAGTAGATGGATAGCAATTGTTTCTTAAGAACACACTACCTCCATCTTCATGGCTTCTTCAGTACTTCTCAGTTTTAAAAATCAAATCCTAAGATAGAGGCAGTGTTTTCTCCAAAGACATTAGTTTCCACCTATGAGGCTACAACATGCTATCCCAACCCAGAAGACAGCAGTATGATTCCTTATCACTCTAAAAAAAAGATCTTAGAGACAGCAATGTGGTTTGTTTAGGGTGCTGCCAGTTCTGAAATGGGCTTAGACTGTCCAGTAAATCCTGTTCGCATGTCTTCCAGTGGAAAGGGGACATTAACTTCTGGATCTTCAGTCTCAAGAAAATCTGTGAGTTTCTTTATTTCATCTTACATCCAGTTGCCGTAATGCATTTTTATAAACCAGAATAGAGCCCCTTAGTAGGATGATAATTTAAGAATTTTCAGGCAAATATTTGTAAGAAATTTTAGGCTAGTTAATTTACTTAAGTTGTGGGCCATTTTCTGGTTATTCATGAATGCCATATGTTCCAGTTCACCTGCCAGGAAATTGTAGACAGAGTCGTGAAGAATTAACTACATGTGCAGGTTGTCATCTTAGTGTAATTCGTTAAATATTTCTTGGAGTAAAAAAATGTTTTGAACAGAAGTTGTAGAAGTAGATTCCAGAGGGTTCTGATGATCGTGTATAGCACTCAGAATTACTGGTATTCTAAAATCTATAGAAAATAATTTTTGGAAACTGCATCTTTTTCCATCTTCTGGTGAGAAGGGAGACACCTACTCTGTTGGGTTCCTTAGAAGTAACCCATAGAGTAGATGTCTCCCCCCTCACCCTAGGACAGGAACAGATCCAGTTTCCAAAACATTGTGTTCTCAAGTTTTTAGAATAATGGATGATGGACAAAGTCCAAAAGCTAGTAATTCTGAGGAGTTGTAAAGAAAAATGAAATGTGCAAGTAATATTCAGTATACCTTTTCTGTAGGACTTCCTGTTTTTGATATAATCAAACAAACATGAGTAGACACAAAATTGTTATTCTGTGCTTATATTTCTTACCTTGTTATGCTTTCTCTCACTGTCATATTCATTCAAATTGCTTTTATCTGAGGTGTCCTTATGATTTCAGCATGGCGAAGCATCTTCCACCTCAGGTTCAGACCCATCGCTGTCATCTGGAATTCATACGTAAGTACATATCGTTTTGAGCACTGCATGAATGTATAGTCACATTTTACTAAGGAAAATTTTTCTGTATAACTAAGGATGTGTTCCTCTGGCTTCTTTAAGATACATTTCAGCATTATTTGCTTATCCAAGCCTATAGCTTATGACGGCCTCTGTGGTCTAGTGGTCAGAGTTCCTGGCTACAGATCCAGAGATCCGGGTTCGATTCCCAGCACTACCAGATTTTCTGAGAAGTAATGGGTCTGGAACAGGGTCCACTCAGCCTCATGAGGTTAATTGAGGAGCTATTTCAAGGAATTAGTGGCTCCAGTCTAGAAAACCAATATTAATGGTCGTGAGGATCCGTTGTGCTGACCACATGACACCCTCTATCCATAAAAGTTGGCACTAACTTCGCTGACAAGTGGCGGTCGCTCCGTCAGTATAGTTTGCTTGTGGACTACAGATCACGGAGTTGTTAATTTTATAATCATGAAATACATAACACTTTCAGCATAATGTAAGTCTAGTGATGGAGCTAATGCCATATGATTTATTTGCATGAAGTGAGTGTGTTTGTGGGGGTAACATGCCAGCTGGTGCATGCCTCTTGTTCACCATGGGAAAGAGACTTCCCCTCCTCCTCTCAACTCTTTGAGAAATGCAGAACACCTCATCTGCTTATGAAAGCATGGGACAATTTTAGAACTGTTGCATGCACTAAGCAGTTGCTGCTAGCCTTAAATCGGTCAGGAGTGGGGTTGCAGAGAAGTGCATGTGTGGGCCACCAGCACAGAGATAAGTGCATGTGAAATAGTGTGTGCTATCAGTTGCACTTGGTTCAGTGCAAGACGCAGGAAGAGGACAGAGCAGTGGGGTACAGGGAAAGAGTAACGTAGAAGAAACTGGTACCTGGATCATAGGTGGCTGCTCACATGGCAGAAGTAATTGTTCATGGAATACTGAAGTGTGTGTGGTCTGGATTTCTCACAACAGTAACTGTTAAGATTACAGCAGCTGGGGTATGTTTCTCTATAATCTGGCATAGTCTTAAGTTAAAACAGAAAAGCTTGCTCAGAAGGAATTCTGTTTGTCATGATCAGGAGTTATGTTCTTTTGCAGGCAGTTAGCGCAGTTGAACCAGCTTCTCTCAAGCCGACAGTCTGGAGGGTCGGACACTGAGCCCAAAATCAGACGCATCTGGCCCAGTGAGGCTCATGTGCATGATGAGCATTCAGATGAAAATAAACAGACAGATCCTGAAATAGGTAGGTCAGAGTCAAAGTTATGCTGTGTCCAATGTATATGAGTTCCTTCTTTGTTTGCAAAAATGAAAATTAATGTGCATGGCCTAACAGTTGAGGATTTGTGACTTCAGTGAGTGAAATGTATGATTTTGGCTTCTTAGTGTGTGTTATTAACCTTTATAGGACGAACGTCATCATATGATGTCGTTAAAAGTAAGGGCAGCTGGCCGAACGTCATCATATGATGTCGCGGATTCCACGCGTGTAAGGTTTTTTTTAATATTATATTAAAAATATAAATTGTTGTTCTATTTACATGATTTTTGGTCA